AGTGTCAATTTATCAAGCCCGAGTGTCAGGTTTCGATATCGTCTCACATAGTTTCGTAGCTCAGTGTAAAACTTCCGGGAGGTATATGGAGTTGGCTCTATAATTTCTGAGTCTATATTTCTTCCTGGTCAGTTTTTTTAAGACTTTTTTTTTTTATTAATGTCTGTTCTGTTGTATGTGTGTTTTTTTTTAAAAAATATTCTGGTGGTTTGTATTTTAACCTTTTTTCAATAAAATAAAAAAAATTGAGGAAAAAAAAAAGAATGATGATTTATTGGGATGGCTTTTCCTTCAGTTATGTCTGTGTGTATTTGACAACCAATTGCATCCAGGCCTAAATTTTAACGGCAAAGTTGTGCTTTGGGGTGTGTGATGCAAAAGTGAATTTCAACTGAGTTCAGCAAAAGGATATTTGCTCATTTCTTCCCATTCCAAGAACTCACCTAGACTTAAATTGCTTTAAAAACATGTTTCTCTCTCTTTTTTTTTTAAAGGGTGTCCTATTGAAAAATAAACAAGTTGAAAAGTTGAAATATTACATTGTCCAAGTCAGCAAAAGTCACTGAGTTTAAAAAAAAAAACCAAAAAACCAAACAGGCCCCTATTTTGTCTTTAAAAACAGCCAAAAGATTAAAAATTCTACCAGTGTAACTTGTACCTCAATGGAGCTTTTCTGTTAAGTATCCTAGCTCATCCCTGGACTGCCCAGTTTTGGCTACAAACCTGAAATGATGGTTTGTACAATCCACAATGGCTTTAAAAGACCTCATGGGCCTGCAGGAAATTTTAGGAAGATGATTCATTTATTTATTTTATTTTGTTTGTTTGTTGAGTACGTATTAGATAATATATATAAGTATAAGCGTGAATTGAATACATAAAATGAATACAATTAAAGGGAACATTAGGACAGGGACGGAAGGCATGCTGGTGCTTTTATGCACGCCCCTTACAGACCTCTTAGGAATGGGGTGAGGTCAACAGTAGACAGTCTAAGGTTAAAATTTGGGGGGGGGGGTTGGGATGAAACCACAGAGTCAGGTAGTGCATTCCAGGCATTGACCACTCTGTTGCTGAAGTTGTATTTTCTGCAAGCGAGTTTGGAGTGGTTTACCTTGAGTTTGTATCTATTGTGTGCTCATGTATTGTTGTGGTTGAAGCTGAAGTACTCATTGACAGGTAGGACATTGTAGTAGATGATTTTATGAGCTATGCTTAGGTCAGACCGAAGGCGGCGTGGTTCTAAATTTTCTAAGCCCAAAATTTCAATTCTGGTAGCATAAAGTATTTTGTTGCGAGCAGAGGAGTGGAGGACTCTTCTTGTGAAATATTTCTGGAGGTGCTCAATTATATTAATGTCCGATACGCAGTGCGGGTTCCAGACAGATGAGCTGTATTCGAGAATTGGTCTAGCAAATGTTTTGTATGCTCTGGTTAGTAGTGTGATATTACCGGAGAAGAAGCTACGCAAGATTAGGTTTACAACTCTTAATGTCTTTTTGGCGATGTTGTTACAGTGGGCTTTGGCACTTAGATCATTTGATATGAGTACTCCAAGGTCCTTGACAGAGTGAGGGTCATCTACAAGGTCATGTCCACTCAGCTTGTATTTTGTGTTTTGATTCTTTTTGCCAATGTGTAAGACAGAGCATTTGTTGTTTGAGATTTGGAGTTGCCAATTTTTTGACCGTTCCGATACAAAGTCAAGGTCTTTTTGAAGGGTAGCAGCATTGGTGGTGGTGTTAAATAGTTTTACATCGTCGGTGAAGAGAACACAGTTACTTATAATATAATCACAAAGGTCATTTATGTATAGTATGAAGAGTGTTGGTCCTAGAACGCTGCCTTGGGGGGCACCGCTATTAACAGGTGCAGGATTTGATAGGGCGCTCCCTATTTTAACCACTTGTTGTCTGTTTGACAGGAACGCGGTTATCCAATTATGGAGGGGTCCGGAGATGCCATAGGATTTTAGTTTTAGAAGTAGTTGGTCATGTACCACTGAATCAAAGGCTTTACAGAAGTCTATGTAAATTGCATCTATTGCTTTGCCCTGGTCAAGATTTGTAGTCCATATGTTTTTGCAGTGTAGAAGTTGTAGATTACAGGATAATTTTTTTCTGAAATTGTTTATTAGAGAGTGGGTTGTTTGCTTCTAGGTGGAGGGTAATGGATTGGTTGATGATTGATACCATGACTTTGCAGGTGACGCAGCATAAAGAGATTGGTCTGTAATTTTTGACTAAGCTGGGGTCTTCCTTTTTGAAGATAGGGATGACCGTGGCTAGTGACCATATGTTGGGTAGGGAGCTGGTCCTGAAAGATTTTTCAAAGATTATGCTTAGAGGTTCTGCTATAGCAATGAAAAGCTTTTTTAAGAAGTATGCACATAGTCCATCAGGTCCAATAGATAGAGATTATTTCAGTATACATAGTGCCTTTTCAACGTTATCTTCTGTGAAATCTATTTGTGTTAGATTGTTGTAGTTATTCGTGAATGAACCATTCATAAAACGGTTCATTCCCATGAAAGGAAAGTAGAATCATTTCTCCAGTTAAATGTAGCCAATTCATAGTTTGCCGAAGCTTTGGAAAGTTCTAGGAGTTGTATTTTCAAGCTTGTGTATCCCTCATTTTCCACCCCAAAACCTTCAGGAATTGGTAGCAGTTAAATCAGCAAAGGGACCGTAACCCATCTGGTTTCAATCCTTAAGCCCATTAAGAGATTTCGATGTTCAAAGATGGAAGGTCTGATTTATTTCCCGCCGACACATCAGATTAGCCGTGGCGTTCAAGAAGGTGTGTGCCAATCCTTGTGTGATCGTTCCCTCTCGTTTCATCTTATAAAGCCCCTTCCGAGCCCCTCCTTCCCTTCTATCTTAATGTTCACACACAACTTCAGGGACACATAATCCACAACACGCCAAGCAAGTGCTCAGAGGGTAGAAAAAAGAGACTCGTCTAATCCACTCCTTGATTAGGATTAACCAACTGGTCTCAGAAAATTTTCCTGGAATCCCCTGGAATCTCTTTCGCATAACAGATAACAGATGAACTGGAATTATCTTTTTTTTTTTTAAAGTTAACAAACGCCACACAGCCCTTTCTGAAGTTGGTAGTCATTCTGCACTCTGGTGATATTTGTAGATAATCTTATCACGCCAGCTGGTACTAATACTCGTACGGATGGAAGGGGGGGAAAATAGTTTTGAAGTGTCAGAAAAGCTTAGAGACGTCATTGGAACTGACATGGGTTAAAAATTCACTTTAACTAGTAACTGTTAAAATGTTTTTTAAATGCTTACAATAGCTGTAATGATTTATAGTGTTAAAATATATCCATCCAAGCAAAAAGAAAGAGAAAAATGGAATGATATTTGGTTAGGATTTAAGATTTAAGTAACGGGTTTTTGGGATAATGGCATCGTTAAATTGATAGAATTTAGAGAAGTAACTGAGTAAAATATTAAGTTGTGTTAATTGGAAGTTAAGAATTGTTCGTGATTTGTATTAGTTTGTGACCGGATCAATGCTTCGTTTTGGAAAAGATGTGTTTTATGTTTGTGTTTTAAAAAAATAAAAAAAAACTTTTTTCAACCCCCCCCCCCAAAAATAGCAACTGTTACCGTGTTTCCCCGAAAATAAGACCCTGTCTTTTTTTTTTTGAACCCCGAAATAAGCACTTGGCCTTATTTTCGGGGAGGTCTTTGAAGAAAGGCGGCATATAAATTGAACTAATAATTTTGGAGGAAGACGGGGCTCCTCTTGCTGTCTTACCTGATTTCCAGCTCTGCGTTTAAATATTTTCGGGGGAGGGCTTATTTTCAGGGAGGGGCCTTATTTTAGCGCATACGCTCAAAAACTCGATTGGGCTTATTATCAGGGGAGGTCTTATTTTCGGGGAAACAGGGTAGCTATATCTGTGCTTTTATAATTAGTCCTTACAACGGTTTCTTTAGTGAATGTTTGAAGTCTCACTGGCATTGGAAAAAGTGACTTATGACCATTTTTCACACTTAATGACCATTGCAGCATTCCCAGTGGTCATGTGATCAAAATTCCCCGTGGTCATTTATCAAATAAATTATTAAGACTGTATTACTATTATTCTTCTCTTCCTTCCTACTATCTATCTCTTCCCACTTATGACTATAACCATGTTGCTTGTATCTTTCAATTTATATTGTTTTTATTTGTTTCCTAATACAATTTGATACCTTGACTGTCACTAAGTATTGTATCTTTGTGTTCTTGATGAATGTATTTTATTCTCCTTATGTACACTGAGAGCATATATACCTAAGACAAATTCCTTGTGTGTCCAATCACATTTGGCCAATTAAGAATTCTATTCTATTCTATTCTATTCTATTCTATTCTATTCTATTCTATTCTATTCTATTCCATTCCATTCCATTCCATTCCATTCCAATCTAATCTATTCTCTATACTCTTCTCTTCTCGTCTCTTCTCTTCTCTTCTCTTCTCTTCTCTATTCTACTCTACTCTAATCTAATCTAATCCTATCTATTCTCTCTTCTCTTCTCTTCTCTTCTCTTCTCTATTCTATTCAGGTGCTTGGCAACTGACTCATATTTATGACGTCCTGGGATCATGTTTTTTTTTTGTGACCTTCTAACAAGTGAAACCAATGGGAGAATTCACAGATTCACTTTTCGACCGTGTGACTGACTTAACAACTGCAGTGATTCACTTAACAGCCGTGGCAGGAAAGGTTGTAAAATGGGCTATTTGTATCCAGGTGTTTATATTGTTTGATTGTGCTGCTGTAAACCTACCCAGAGCCCCTTAGGTGAGATGGGCAAAATAGAAATTTTGTAAATAAATAAAATAAATTGCAAGAGGAGAGAAACCTCCATGAGATTTATCTTCCCAAACTCTTAAGAGTTCAAGGGGTTAGTAATCTTGCGTAAAGGAACAGCTGTATTGCGCTTCTGAATTCCAGACAGGAAGAATAAATACCTTGAAAGTCATTATGTCATTTAGAGCTGTGCGTTTTATCTCGCCGATAAATATTAAGACTTCCTTCTTGGCATGCGGTGTCTGTCCACGCGCAAGGAAGCTGGAAAGGGTGTCAGGACACGAAAATCCGTGGCTGGCTGAATTGCGATCAGTGAAAAGTCCATTTCAGGCAGGAGGTACAGGACCCATTTTGATAGGAGTTTGTTCAGAAGTAAGTCTTGTGCAGTCAGCAGGATTTTCTTGACCAGGCTGAGAAGATAGGGAAGGAAGGAAGAAAGGAAAAGAATAGAGACAAAGAGGCTGGGAAGGAAGGGGGAGGGAAGGAGGAAAAAAAGAAGGAAAGGAAGGGAGGAAGGAAGGAAAGGAGGAAGGAAAAAAGAGAAGTAAATAAGGGAGGGAGGGAGGAAAGAGAAGGAAGGGAGGAAAAGAACAGAGACAGAGGCAGGGAAAGAGGAGAAGGAAGGGAAGGGAGGAAGGAAAGGAGGAAGGAAAAAAGAGAAGTAAATAAGGGAGGGAGGGAGGAAAGAGAAGGAAGGGAGGAAAAGAGGAAAAGGACAGAGACAAAGGCTGGGAAGGAGGGGGGAGGGAAGGAGGAAAAAGAGAAGGAAACAAGGAAGGAAAGGGGGAAAGAAAAAAGAGAAGTAAATAAGGAAGGGAGGGAGGAAAGAGAAGGGAGGGGAGGGAGGGAGGGAGGGAAGAAGTGAAAAAAAAGTTCCATGTGTTTTATGTCCCAAATCCTGCTTAGTAAATCAAGTGTAACCTAATTTCTTTTAACATGGGCTGCAGGTTGAACCTTATCTGTCCTGAATCTTTATATATTTTGCTTTACCTACCTGTAATAAATTCATAGCTGTGAATCCTTATTAGGGAGGTTCTTAGCTTCCAAGTCAGGAAATTGAGGGAAACTGAGTCAGAATCACTTCAGGTTATTAATAAGAGCAGCTGTAAGAGTTACTTTGTGGTTCTAACCAGTTCTGGAGATTGAAGCTGGAAGGAAGGGAGAGAAAGAGAGAGGAAGGAAAGGAAGAATAAGAAAGGAGATAGAAGAAGGAAGAAAATGAAATGAAGAGGGAGGCGGGAAAAGAAAGGAAAGTGGAAGGAAAGAGGCAGAAGGGATAGAGAAAGGAAGGAAGGGTGAAGGGAAATAAAGGAAAGTAAGGAAGAGAGAAAGAGGAAGGAAGGGTGAGAGAAAGAAGATGGAGAAAGAAAAGAAAGTAAGAGGAAGGAAGGGAGAGGAAGGAAAGAAGATGGAGAAAGGAAAAGTAAGAGAAAGAGGAAGGGAGGGGGAGAGGAAGGAAAGGAAAAGGAGTGAAGGGAAGAGAACGAAGGAGAAAGTAAAGAAGGTTGACGGGAAAGAAAGGAAAGCTAGAAGAAGAAAGGGGGCAAGAAAGAAGGATGAAGGAAGGATGAGGAAGAAACGAGAGAGGAAGGGTGGAAGGAAAAGAGGGAAAGGAAAGAGAAAGTGGAAGGATGAGAGAAAGAAGAAAGATGGAGAAATAAAGTAAGGAAGCAAGAGAAAAAGGGAGAGAGAAAGGAAGGAAGCATGAAGGGAAGGAAGGGAAAGGAAAAGGAATAAAGGAAGAGAACGAAGGAAAGGAGGGAATAAGGAAGGATGAAGGAAAAGAAAGGAATAAGAGGAAGAAAGGAAGAGAGATAAGAAGGAAGGATGAAGCGAGGACGAGGGAGAAAGGAGAGAGAGGAAGGATGAAGGGAAAGAAAGGAAAGTAAGAGGACGAAAGGGAGGAAGAAGGAAGGATGAAGCAAGGACGAGAGAGGAAGGATGGAAGGAAAAGAGGGAAAGGAAAGAAAGTGGAAGGATGAGAGAAAGAAGAAAGATGGAGAAATAAAATAAGAAAGCAAGAGAGAAAGGAAGGGAGAGAGAAAGGAAGGAAGGATGAAGGGCAGGAAGGGAAAGGAAAAGGAATAAAGGAAGAGAACGAAGGAAAGGAGGGAATAAGGAAGGATGAAGGAAAAGAAAGGAATAAGAGGAAGAAAGGAAGAGAGATAAGAAGGAAGGATGAAGCAAGGACGAGGGAGAAAGGAGAGAGAGGAAGGATGAAGGGAAAGAAAGGAAAGTAAGAAGACAAAAGGGAGAGGAAGAAGAAGGAAGGATGAAGCAAGGATGAGAGAGGAAGGATGGAAGGAAAAGAGGGAAAGGAAAGAGAAAGTGGAAGGATGAGAGAAAGAAGAAAGATGGAGAAATAAAGTAAGGAAGCAAGAGAGAAAGGAAGGGAAAGAGAAAGGAAGGGGAAGGAAAAGGAAGGAAGGAAGAGAACAAAAGAAAGGAGAGAGAGGAAGGATGAAGGGAAAGAAAGGAAAGTAAGAAGACGAAAGGGAGAGGAAGAAGAAGGAAGGATGAAGCAAGGATGAGAGAGGAAGGATGGAAGGAAAAGAGGGAAAGGAAAGAAAGTGGAAGGATGAGAGAAAGAAGAAAGATGGAGAAATAAAGTAAGGAAGCAAGAGAGAAAGGAAGGGAAAGAGAAAGGAAGGGGAAGGAAAAGGAAGGAAGGAAGAGAACAAAAGAAAGGAGATAGTAAGGAAGGATGAAGGGAAAGAAAGGAAAGTAAGAGGACGAAAGGGAGAGGAAGAAAAAGGAAGGATGAAGCGAGGACGAGAGAGGAAGGATGGAAGGAAAAGAGGGGAGGGAAAATCTGGTGCGTGGACTTCTCCCATCCTCCGCGTGTGACGTGTGGCTGACATTCGTCTGGGTCGCTGCTGCTACCGCTGCCCTCCTCCTCCTCCTCCTCTGCCTCCTCTCCCTCTGGCCCCAGCCGCCCTTCGGCCAGCTGAGGAGGCAGGCAGAGCTACCATTGGATGCTCCGGCAACCCATGGCCGGGCTGCGATTGACGGAGAGCACAAGGGGTGGGCAGCGGAGGAGAGCTCCGTGCTGCCTCTCCTCCCCTCCTCGGCCGAGGAGGACCTGCTGGAGGCCCGGATCCTGCTCTGTCCCAGCCATGGAGGCACCGCCGAACGGCACAAGAGGGGAGACTTAACGGGAACCCCCTCTGCAACCTCCCCCCCCCACCCTCCCCGCCAGAGGAGACGAAGGAGGAGGCTGGATTTCTAAAGCCACATCATGCTGCTTTCTCCCGCCAGGTCATCCTAGCCCCCACAACAAGACGGGGGTCCAAGCCTTCGGGGTAAGTGGACGTCTCCCTAGAGCTGCCTCGGCTGTGCCAGGCCAGAGGGCATCTTTCGGGCAAGCCATTTGGCCGCTCTTCCCCTCGCCCCCCTCCCCAAGTTTCTGCGCTTCTCTTTTTTCCCTACAAATCTCCTTTATTATTTTGTCTCTTTTTCTTCCACGTAAATCTCCCCTCACCTATTTTTTTTTTAAACTAGGGGAAAATATCTTAACTTTTCCATGCTAGTGCAGAGCCTTCGAATAACACTCCCCCACGCACACCGTGGTTTTTGTAGAATCAAAAGCTAATTCTAAGGCATAGCCCGGGTCATAATGCCAGGTTTGCAGAAGGAGGAGCAAGGTCACCGTGTATAAAGTGTCCCAAATGCCATGCAAGACACAAGAGAACTTCCTGAGATCAGCACAAACTGGCTGGGCACGAAGAGGGAACGGTTTATATATAACCACCCTGTAAGTAAATTCCGTCTTGGAATTGGGTGGGAACAAACGAAAGGGCTGAAGTTTGCATGCATTTACCATTGTACCGTACTCATTGTACATTGTACCGTACGTGATACTGTTATACCGTACTAAATTTACCATTTAGGCAAGAAAAACAAAATGCACAGGTACGGTATATGTAGTATCTCGCTCAATAGCAGTCACTGCGAGAGGGATCTTGGAGTCCTAGTGGGCAACTATTTAAATAGGAGCCAGCCATGTGCAACAGCTGCCAAAAAAGCCAACACAGTTCTAGGCTGCATCAACAGAGGGATAGAATCAAGATCACGTGAAGTGTTAATACCACTTTATAAGGCCTTGGTAAGGCCACACTTGGAATACGGCATCCAGTTTTGGTCGCCATGATGTAAAAAAGATGTGGAGACTCTAGAAAGAGTGCAGAGAAGAGCAAACAAGAGGATTAGGGGATTGGAGGCTAAAACATAGGAAGAACGGTTGCAGGAACTGGGTATGTCTAGTTTAATGAAAAGAAGGACTAAGGGAGACATGATAGCAGTCTTCCAATATCTCAGGGGCTGCCCCAAAGAAGAGGGAGTCAAGCTATTCTCCAAAGCACCCGAAGGCAGGACAAGAAGCAACGGATGGAAACTAATCAAGGAGAGAAGCAACTTAGAACTAAGGAGAAATTTCCTGACAGTTAGAACAATTCATCAGTGGAACAACTTGCCTCCAGAAGTTGTGAATGTTTCAACACTGGAAGTTTTTAAGAAGATGTTGGATAACCATTTGTCTGAAGTGGTGTAGGGTTTCCTGCCTAAGCAGGGGGTTGGACTAGAAGACCTCCAAGGTCCCTTCCAACTCCTCTTCTCTTCTCTTCTCTTCTCTTCTCTTCTCTTCTCTTCTCTTCTCTTCTCTTCTCTTCTCTTCTCCTCTCCTATCCTATCCTATCCTATCCTATCCTATCCTATCCTATCCTATCCTATCCTATCCTATTCTATTAGGTTGGGGATAGCACAGATGTACCCTTGGCAGGGACTGTCTACAGGATGGATAGCCTCAAGAGATCCCAGACTGGTTCCTTGTGCTCACCTCTTCGTTAAAGGAGAAATTATCCTCTTTAGCACCCACAAAATATTCTCTTCTTTCTCCTCTAGAGCCCCCAAACACATAAAGGTAGAGTCCGCCGTTAAATTCGCCAAGGATTACAGGCAATCCTCGACTTACGACCACAATGGACCCCAACAATTTATGTCGTTAAGTGAGACATTTGTTAAGGGAGTTATGTCTGTTTTCACGACCTTCCTTGCCACAGTGTGGTTAAGTGAATCACTGCGGTTGATAAGTTAGTAACACAATTGGTTGTTAAATGAATCCGTCACACAACGACGGTCACACAGCGATGGTCATAAATAAGAGCCAGTTGCCACGCATCTGAATTTAGCTCACGTAACCATGGGGAAGCCTATTCTATTCTATTCTATTCTATTCTATTCTATTCTATTCTATTCTATTCTATTCTATTCTATTCTATTCTATTCCATTCCATATTCTATTCTATTCCATTCCACTTCTATTCCATTCCATATTTTCTATTCCATTCCATTCCATATTTTCTATTCCATTCTATTCCATTCCATATTTCTATTCTATTCCATTCCATTCTATTCCATATTTTCTATTCCATTCCATATTTTCTATTCCATTCCATTCCATTCCATTCCATATTTTCTATTCCATTCCATTCCATTCCATATTTTCTATTTTATTCCATTCCATTCCATTCTATTCCATTCCATTCCATTCCATTCCATTCTATTCCATTCCATTCCATTCCATTCTATCTTTTACTGGGGATGATGGGGTGGCTCAGGGGTGCAAACTATGGTTTAGCATGGTGTGAACAAACGTAACCACCAGTTGTACAATCCAGGTTGAACTCAAGTTTGAAAATGTCCACTGCTGTTTAATAACGGCATCCTAGGGGGATTAACAGGAGCTGCTGTTAATACTAACAATATTAACAAATAATGTTAATAGCTAATCGCAGTTAAAACATTAAACGAGCGTGTTCAGAAACCAGGTTGCAAGACTTACTTAAGTCTGAATTCGGGTACTCCTCGATTTACGACCCCAGTGGAGCCCCAGATTTCCCTTGCTAAGTGAAAGTGTGTTCTGCTCCATTTTACGACCTTCCTTGCCACAGTTGTTAAGTGAATCATTGCCGTTGTTAAGCTAGTCACACGGTTGTTAAGTGAATCTGGCTTCTCCATTGACTTTTGTTTGTCAGAAGGTCTTAATTAAATTAAGAACTGAACATTAAGAAAACGAAGATCGTGGCATCTGGCCCTCTCAATTCCTGGCAACTAGACGGGGAAGAAATGGAGGTAGTGACAGATTTTATTTTCCTGGGTTCCAAGATCACCGCAGATGGGGAATGCAGCCAAGAAATCAAAAGACGCTTGCTCCTGGGGAGGAAAGCTATGGCAAATCTAGACAGCATCCTAAAAAGCAGAGACATCACCCTGCCAACAAAAGAGCGTATAGTCAAGGCTATGGTTTTCCCAGTTGCAATGGATGGCTGTGAAAGTGGACCATAAGGAAGGCTGAGGGCCAAAGAATGGAGGCCTTTGAACTCTGGTGCTGGAGAAGACTCCTGCGAGTCCCTTGGACTGCAAGGCCATCCAACCGGTCAGTCCTAGAGGAGATCAACCCTGACTGCTCTTTAGAAGGCCAGATCCTGAAGAGGAAACTCAAATCCTTTGGCCACCTAATGAGAAGGAAGGACTCCCTGGAGAAGAGCCGAATGCTGGGAACGATGGAGGGCAAAAAAAAAGGGGACGGCAGAGAAGGAGGTGGCTGGATGGAGTCACCGAAGCAGTTGGCGTGAGATTCAATGGACTCTGGGGGAAGATAGAGGAAAGGAAGGCCTGGAGGAACGTGGTCCATGGGGTCGCAATGGGTTGGGCACGACTAACAACAACAACGATGTTGGAGGACTACCTATAGTCCACAGATGGTTTACTCATTGCCTTTATCTACAATATCCTCCCCTACCACAAGACAAAACAGGCCCATTAGTCTCAACAGAGTTGACTGAAACAGGAAATACAATTCCAAATTCCGCTTGGCTTCATAGGACAAATGGAGAGAAAAAAAAGGAGAAATTTCCAGACTGTTTTTGAAATTGATTCATATGCCACCCGTTTCTTTTCGGCTTTATAACCTAAGGCCGTGATGGCGAACCTATGGCACGCGTGCCACTTTGTGGGCATGCGTGCTCAGCTCCGGTGCCAGTTGATTTTCGGGCCTTCCGGGCCCACTAGAAGTAGGGAAACAGGCTGTTTCCTGCCTCCGGAGGGCCTCGGGAGTGGGGAGGGAAGGCCTGTTTTTTGCTCTCTCCAGGCTCCAGAACCTTTCTAGGAGCCTGGGGAGGGCAAAAACGGCCTCCCCCCCCCGGAGGCCGGAAACGGTCTGTTTGCCAACTTCCGGTGGGACGGGAAGGCCCATTTTTTGCTCTCCCCAGCCTCCAGAGCCTTTCTAGGAGCCTGGGGAGAGAGAAAAACGGGCCTACCAGGCCCACTATGCCTTCACATGCCAGGAGCGGGGGGGGGGTCGCATGTGTGGGGGTGGGGCACATAGAATTATGGGCACATGCACACGACCCCCCCTTCCCCCCGCTCCTGGCACACGATGGCAATAAGGTTAGCCATCACTGACCTAAGGATACCGCACAAGATAAAAAAGGGAGTCGGAAAGGAGGAGGAAAAAAATCGGGAAACTTCAAAATCCAGAAAACCGCAAACCAGTTTGGTTGGTTACAGAAAAAAGCAAAATATTTTTCCTTGGTCCTAGGACAGCACCCTGTATCCTCGGTTGGCTTACTTGCCCTTTTATCGGAATATTCAAATAGCAACTGGTGCTCCAAAGAATAGATAGTCCTTGACTAACAACAGTTCATTTAGTGACCATTCGAAGTTGCAACGGCACTGAAAAAAACGACTTATGACTCATTTTTCCACCCTGATGACCGTTGCGCCATCCCCACCGTGACGTGATTTACATTTGGACACTTGCCGACTGACTCACCTTTACGACGGTTGCAGTGGCCCAGAGTCACATGATATCCTTTGGCGACCTTCTGACAAGCAAACTCAAGGGGGGGGGGCAAAACAACCGTGTGACTAATTTAAGAACTGAGGTGATTTACCGTATTTTTCAAAGTATAAGACGCACCTTTCCCCCGCCCCCTAAAAATGGGTGAAAATTTAAGTGGGTCTTATAGACTGAATTTAGGGATGTGGGTGGCTCAGTGTCTAAGATGCTGAGCTTGTTGATCGAAAGGTCGGCAGTTCAGCGGTTCGAATCCCGAGTGCCGCATAACGGGGTGAGCTCCCGTGACTTGTCCCAGCTTCTGCCAACCTAGCAGTTCGAAAGCACGTAAAAAAAAATGCAAGTAGAAAAAATAGGGACCACCTTTGGTGGGAAGGGAACAGCGTTCTGTGCGCCTTTGGCATTGAGTCATGCCGGCCACATGACCACGGAGACGTCTTCGGACAGCGCTGGCTCTTCGGCTTTGAAACGGAGATGAGCACCGCCCCCTAGAGTCAGGAACGACTAACACATATGTGCGAGGGGAGCTTTTTCCTTTTATAGACTGAATACTGAAAAAAAATACATTTTTTTTCTTGTTTTCCTCCTGTAAATTTAGGTGTGCCTTATAGTCCGAAAAATACGGTACTTAACAAAGTCGTAAAATGGGACAAAGCTCACTTCATTAAATTTCTCGCTTAGCCAACATCAATTTTGGGCTCCGTTGTGGTCATAGGTTGAGGACTCCCTGCAGAAAAATTTAGGAATTTCCCTCCTTGTAGTGTCAAAACTCTTCTTTAGGTATCCCTGCAAAAATAATAATAATAATAATTTCATGATTTTGAGTATCCGAAAGGACACTGGGATTACCGACCTTCCCGAAGTGTGGCCAGTCCCAAATTCAATGGGTGTTGAACAATTTTGGGGGGGCTTTCCAGGATTTGAGTAGTTGGACCCCCCACATACACAGCAAAGAGGAAGTTGATTTACTTGTTTGATCCACAAAAGCAGCTTGTAAGTTACAATACACGCCTTTCAGGCCTCCTATCTCTGTTTAGTGTTTTTTTTTTCCCCACCCAGTTTGGCAGATGGTGAACTTAGAGATTGATGGTTGTGAAATTTTGGACTCTGTTCTCCATTAAAAAAAAAAACACACACACACACAAAAAAACACACACTCACACAAATTGCTGCAAGCAAAGTTTGACCCTGGACATTCTTGGCTGCCGAAATGTTTTGTTTTTTCCCCGGTTATCTTCTAGCGTGTGATCAAGCATTTCTTTCGACCCACAAGGAATGAAATGGAGGCGAAAGGTGTTTTTGGGTACTTTCCCCCAGCTCGGTCGGACTACACCCTCCCTCATCCCCAGCCTTTGGCCTGGTGACAGATGCAAAACTTTGGGAGAAAAGGCCAAAGCCAAATTCTATTCTATTTCTGATTCCTGCCAGGCTGAGCTTCACCACCCACCACCACGCCCGGTATCAAATGACCACGAGCAGAATTTTTGCAAATTTGACACTTTGTGTTTTGCTAAAATGCCCAAGCTAGAACTAACGTCGTTTGTGAGTGTAGGCGCAGTACCAGGGGTGAAATGCTACCGGTTCGCTCTGGTTCGGGCAAATCGGTAGGGATAAAACTGCCAGTTCAGGCGAACTGGTAGTTTAAAAAGCTACCGGTTTGTGCGAACCGGTGGTTAGCTTTTGGCGTGCATGCGCAGGCAACGAACCAGTGGTGATCTGAGGTGGATTTCATCACTGCGCAGTACTTGTGTTTCTGACTAACCAGGTGGGTTATGTTGTGTGAAGGCTGTTGCGGAGCCTTTGTGTCACCCAAGCTGGCCACTTCCAAAGCTGTCTCTCAAGCGGGCAGGCATCTGAAAGCCTCTGTAATCTAACAAGTGCCATATGGATGCCGCCCGATCGATCTTCTCCGCAGCTAGCCAGGTTTCTCTGCCATCTGGTTCCTGAGAGCCGGTTTGTGATGGGAGAAAACAGGCTAATTTTTACCCACCTTCTGCCGGCGCGTTGCGGTTGGAGAGCTAATTGGGTGATCCTACGTTACCCACATTTCATAGTTGTTTTGTCACTTCGGGGCAAACGCGTTAGCACCGTTGCCGAACCTGACAAAAGATAAAAAGAAGCCAAACATGTTTTGTCAGCTTGTCGGATTGCAACACACGGTTGGCCCTGGCGGTGGCACGTCTCCTCTGCCACGCCCAGCCTTGGCACGGAAAGGTAGACGGTCGGGCAAGGCGATGCCTGCCCCGTAACAAAAGTTTTCTTTTCTGCCCTTTGCTTGAACGCCCTCGAGATGATTCCAGATCAGTGAATGTCTGAGTTGGCATCTTTCCATCATCGTCTCATTCACCAGTTTCTGGAGGAACCTCAATGTGGACTAGAGTGATGACGATCACCCAACTTCAGTCTACAACTGAAACAATTGGATGGGTGCATTTTGCTCGGAGGTCCCGCCCAACATGAATTAAAGCAACATGGCAATTTATTCTTCTATCTGTCTTTTGTGCAATCCATCACTGAGCAAAAGTGATCTAAGCCAGGGATGAAATCCAGCAGGTTCTGGAGAACCAGTAGCGGAAATTTTGAGCAGTTCGGAGAACCGGCAAATACCACTTCTGGCTGGCCCCAGTGTGGGGTGGGAATGGAGTTTTTGCAATATATTTCCCCCAGGAATGGGGAGGGAATGGGGATTTTGCAGTATCCTTCCCCTGCCACACCCACCAAGCCACACCACGCCCACCAAGCCACGCCCACAGAACCGGTAGTAAAAGCATTTGGATTTCACTACTGGTCTAAACTGTAATCCCTATTATAATTTTGGACTGTATTATTCTCCTCCCCTCTTCTTAACAAGGACATCTAAGGAGGTTAAAGGACCGAGTGGACATAGGCGTGAATTTCCCCAGGCAGAAAATTTGAAAAGTAAAATTTTACCTTTGCAAGCACAAGAGGGGGGGTGGGGGAAAAAAAACCACGCACTGATGCCCTGAGCTGCCCCTGCTTTTTTAGCTAATCCCTGCATGGATTGCACGTTGCCCCTTACCCACGAGTGGATATGCCCACTGCGAATTACCTTCTAGAACAGGGGTCAGCAACCTGCAGCTCCAGAGCCACATGCGGCTCTTTGGGCCCTCTGCTGTGGCTCCCTGTCGGGTGATCCCACCACTGGCTGGCCCCACCCCTCGCCCTCCCCTCCCAGTCACTCCTCACCTGGCCTGAGAAGGTAAGGGTGACGGCGGGGTGGGGGGGAATGGAGAACCGGCCAGGGCAGAGGCAGAGAGAGAGGGAGAGAGAGGGGGGGAGGAGGGAGGGGAGAGAGAGAGAGTTATCAAAAGGGTTTTGTGGTTCCCGGTGTTTTTTAACAACTGGTTCTCTGCCCTAATGACAGCTGGGTAGGTGTGGCTGGGGGGGTCATGTGACTGGGTGGAAGTGAGTGACGTTGAGTTGGCCACGCCCACCCAGGTTTTGTGGTTCCCGGTGTTTTCTTTTCTGTGGGAAACGGGTCGAAATGGCTCTTTGAGTGCTTAAGGTTGCTGACCCCTGTTTTAGAAAGAAGAGGCTTTACACACGAGGACAAGGATCGAGGGAAAGCATTTTTTTTTTTTTTAGAAGAGCAAACTCCCTGCTGAACAGATTTAATTTCCTTTTCTCCTCAGGGAAGCGGCAGGGGAAGTCACGAGGACAGAAGCCCCAGGAAAGTGTGGGAGACAGAGTGAGATGACCTCTTCCCAGCCCGCCAAAAGGGCATCACTAGGTACCGTCACCTGCAAAAAAAAAACCAAAATCAGACGCAAAGAGGTTCCCAGGAATTGGTGCGAGAGCTCCCGGAGATCTGCACTTATATAAAATACCTGTTTCCAACTATATCCGTGATGGCGAACCTATGGCACGCGTGCCACAGGTGGCACACAGAGCCCTGTCTGTCGGCACACCGGCCGTCGCCCCAGTCCAGCTCCATCGCACATACGTGCGCACCTCCCGCCACCCAGCTGGTCCTTGGATCTTTGCCGCGCATCCGCGGTGGGCACGGCCTTCCCCGTTCTCCACAGATTCCCCCCAGTGCGCCCTTCCTTTTTACTCCATTTCTGCCACCCACACCAACCTGGAAGTCAAAACGGGGTGTGGGGGGGGCACGGGAGGGCCCCCACGCCCCATTTTGGGCCTGGGAAGCCTCCTGCACCAACCTGGAAGCCAAAATGGGGTGCAGGGGGGGCACATGCACGGGGGGGGACACTCATGCATGCATGGAGGCGGGGCGGGGCACATGCATGGGGAGCGCTGACATTATATTTTGGGGGTTGGGGCACGCACGCGTGCATTTGCACGCACGCTTTGGGCACTCGGCGCCAAAAAGGTTAATCATCACTGACCTATATCCACAGTGCCAGGGAGTTCAGTTTGCAGGTAAACGCAGAGAAAGAGGGTAGATCTGTGATGGCGAACCTATGGCACGCGTGCCACAGGTGGTACACGGAGCCATATCGGTGGGCACGTGAGTGTTGCCCTAGCTCAGTTGTGTGTGCCGGCCAGCTAATTTTTGGGCCTTCCGGGCCCACCGGAAATCAAGCAAACAGGCCATTTCTGGCCTCCAGGTGGTGGGAAGGCTGTTTTTGCCCTCCCCAGGCTCCAATAAAGCCTCTGGAGCCTGGGGAGGGCCAAAAACGGGTCTACCAGGCCCACCATGCCATCGCATGCCGAAAGCGTGGGGAGCGTGGGGCAGTTGTACGTACATGTGCAGGGGTGGGGCGCATTGAATTATGGGTGTGGGCACGCGCATAACCCCCCCGTGCTCCCCCCACTTTTGGCACGCGACGGCAAAAAGGTTAGCCGTCACTGAGCTAGACCACATTGTCGCTGGAGGGAAAGGCAAACTTTTTTCTTCCGACAGGTAGTCTTCGATTTACAATCATAACTGAGCCCGGTCGTAAAGTGTGCCAGACCTGTTTTTATGACCTTTTTTGTAGTGGTCATTAAGTGAAACTGGGGATCGGTAAGCAAAGATATCATTCAACATTTTTTGCAGAAAAGTAAACCTCCGTTTCTGGTAAATGGTAAATTGTAGTGGGTGACCATAAATGGGTCCGTCGTAACTCAGACCGTCACTAAGCGACTGGTTGTAAATCAAGGACTGCCTGGACCAGTAGTCCTCGATTTATGACCACAATTGAACCCAACGTTTACGTTGCTAAGCGAAGTATTTAAGTGAGCTTGCCCCATTTTGCGACCTTTCTTGCCACAGTTGTTAAGCGAATCATTGCATTGGTTACGTTAGTCACACGGTCGTTAAGGGAATCTGGCTCCCCCGTTGACTTTGCTTGTCAGAAGGTTGGAAAGGGGGATCACGTGACACTCATAAATATGAGTCCGTTGACAAGTGTCTGAATTTTGATTGGGTGACCGTGGAGTTGCGGCCACATTTGCGTGAAAAACGGTGATAAATCACTTTTTTTCAGTGCCGGTCACTAAATGAACTCTTGTAAGTCGAGGACTACCTCTACTTGCAGTTTAGACCGCGGTTCCTGTTGGAGGGGACTTTAAAAAAAAAAAAACTTCCCACCTTTGCATTCCTGCAACTTAAACTTTTAAGTCTTGCCACGAACCTCCGTGCTTTAGACCGTTTTAAAAATCGCTTTTCCTCCCGAAAGTTTCCAGGGAGACTTTCTCAGCGGCTTGGCTTACTTACACGAGTCGGTAGCAATGTTTACCCCCTCCAGCTTTAATCCCTGGTCTTTACGGGGGCAGCTGGACCTGATCTAAATCGGGACTCGGCCGAAACCAGACTCCGCGCAAGGACGTTTCACTCCAAGCTGAGCTAGAGAAAAGGAGGCCCAGAACAGAATGACGAGGGGGGGCGGGAATCATATATTTGAAAGAAATATCTGGCTTTTTTGCAGCTATCCACTTTCAAGTCTGACTTTTGTACGTTTAGAACTAGATCTACCAAGCAGTGGCGAACCGGTAGTGGCGGTGGCTGTAGGCTCCGCCCACCCACCTGGACGTCATCACTGACTCTCTGTGCATGTGCAGAAGTGCCATACATGAGCGAAGCGAGCCCGTGCACGCTGTACAAACGTTAGTTTACTAAATTAAACCAGTTTTTTAGATACCTCTATATAGGTAAAGGTAAAAGGTTCCCCTTGCACATATGTGGTAGTCGTTCCCGACTCTAGGGGGCGGTGCTCATCTCTGTTTCAAAGCCGAAGAGCCAGCGCTGCCCGAAGACGTCTCCGCGGTCATGTGGCGGCATGACTCAACGCCAAAGGCGCACGGAACGCTATTCCCTTCCCACCAAATGTGGTCCCTATTTTTCTACTTTCAATTTTTTATGTGCTTTCGAACTGCTAGGTTGGCAGAAGTCACGGGAGCTCACCCCGTTAACGCGGCACTCGGGATTCGAACCGCTGAACTGCCGACCTTTCGATCGACAAGCTCAGCGTCTTAACCAAAGAGCCACCGCGTCCCTTATACCTGTATGTAGCAGATTTTAAAAAATGGGATTAGGAACGAACAGAATAGCATTAATCAGGTCAGGTCCAGTGGAAGATTCAAGCCAGGAAATCCAAAGTCTGAATTGGCTTTGTTTTCCGCTCTTTAGAAGTGGACTGAAGAGTGTTTCATGAGGACTAGCTCCTTTCCTGCCCGAATTTACAATATTTCCTTTTCTCTGTGTGCAGGGAGCGAGGGGGACGGTGATGATGTCGGAGAAGCCTTTGAATTTGAAGATAGCGAAGAAGACGATGCCACCCATCTCGTGGTGAGCAATGCCAGGACCGAGCTGGGCACCAAGGGGGCACTGCAGGACCCACCCCTCAGGCGACGGTCCAGCATCAGCGATGACCTGGAGCCGTTGGGCGGCTGGGACGCGGAAGAGGCACTCCTGGAGGATCGAGTTCCCTTGACCACCTCGGATTCCAGCTCCCATCTTGGTAAGGGCAAGCGAGCGTTCAGACCTCATTTGGCCCCCAAATCAGATTTTATTTAGCAATTTTATTTTATTTTATTTTATTGAAAAGACAGCGCCACGTCAGGATAACAATGCAAATAAAGCAAAACCAGAGACAGATCAATGATAAATCTCAACATACATGTTAATAACTACAACTGTACTGTGTTAACAGTAATTGCAACAATACAACTTCAACTAAGTTTCTACTTACATTATTTACAAATTTTTCCAAGAAGAGCCACAAAAGAGGATTAGGAGACTGGAGAATAAACACATAAAGAATAGTTGCTGGAACTGGACATGTTTAGTTTAATGAAGAGAAGGACTAGGGGAGACATGAAAGCAGTCTTCCAATATCTCAGGGGCTGCCCCAAAGAAGAGGGAGTCAAGCTATTCTCCAAAGCACCTGAGGGCAGGACAAGAAGCAATGGGTGGAAATTAACCAAGGAGAGAAGCAACTTGGAACTAATGAGAAATTTCCAAACACTGAGAACAATTAATCAGTGGAACAACTTGCCACCAGAAGTTGTGAATGCTCCAACACTGGAAGTTTTTAAGATGTTGGATAACCATTTGTCTGAAGTGGTGGAGGGTTTCCTGCCTGAGCAGGGGGTTGGACTAGAAGACCTCCAAGGTCCCTCCCAACTGTGTTATTCTATTCTATTTAGGGTCTTCCTGCCCCACAGGTTCTGTTTAGGACCCTCATTCTACTGAATCATCATCATCGTTGTTGTTGTTGTTGTTATTATTATTTTTTTATTATTATTATTATTGTTATTATTGTTGTTATTATTATTATTACAGCTGGTGGCACAGTCAGACAGGTGTTTAGGACGGATTTAGCAATATTATCCATTTACGGAGTCCTTCCTAAGAACCTGGGATAGGAAGATGTTGTGGTTTAATAATATTAAAAGTATCATCCCAGGATGTAAGCTTTTTCCAAACAAAGCTGCAATTGACCATTGGGGATTTTGTCAATGCCAACGGTGTTTAAGGGGTGCTCCAGATGTTTTGGAATATTATCATATTGATCAAGACTTCCAAACATTGCCTGATTTTAAATTGCTTTTAAATTTAAGCTGCTGCACCATAGAGAGTATTTTAACTTCCTGCACCTGTGAATGGTTTGCCAATGGCACAGTGGCAGATAGGACAGCGCTCCAGAGGGTCAACGTCATTGCCCAGAGGATCATTGGAGTATCCTTCCCCCAAAGTGGGGTGGGAATGGAGATTTTACAGTATCCTTCCCCTGTCACGCCCACCAAGCCACGCCCACAGAACCGGTAGTAAAAAAATTTGAAACCCACCACTGACACTTATGAAGGATTTTATGAAGAATGGCAGTGGCGGTATAAAGAAGAAAAGTGAAAAAGTAGGAAAAAACGAGATAGACAAAAATGATCCCCATGTTAGTTAATACTTCGTGGGGTAAACCTTTAGCATGAATGACGACCTGACAACGTCTTCCCATGGGGTGAACCAAGTCTTTTAGTTCTGCAGCTGTTATCATGTGAAACCAAGATTGAATGATGGCTTCTGTTAACTGGGTTTTATTGCTGGGTCGCTTCTGACTAACCAGTTTCTTTAGTCGGCTCCATAGATTTTCCATGGGGTGAAGGTCTGGGCTGTTCCCAAGCCATTCCAACAGTGGAATAGGATTCTCTTGAAACTCCAAAAAAAAAAAGTGGTGTTATTAGCCATCAAACCTCAAAAATACACTTTTCCCAAAAGGTTTCCACAATTTTGGCCACTACTATAAATTCCTAGCAGGCGAAGGCAGAAAAGATTCCCAATCACACCTTTTCCCAGAAGCCCACAAAGTAGAAAGACTAAAAAAATACAGAGAAGGCTGCTATTTTTCGCTATTCTTCTTCACTGTGTTTCTGAATTTCTCAGCTTACCAAATGATGGGAATTATTTATTTTTTCTCTTTTTGACAGATTGCCGAGATCCTCAGGCTGAAGCCGAGTAAGTGACCCCACTGTATTTACACTTCATACACAACAACCCAGAATAAGGAAATTGGTGCGTGTTGGCGGGAGAGAATTACATCCTGCCTTCTTTTCCTCCCCTGGTTAATCACCGGGTGTGTGGAGGTTACACAAAGTTACAGGTGCGGCATTGTGGCAACTACCCTCTTCTTGTAAGGGTGGGGGGGAGGGATTAATCCAGGCAGGGTCTCTGTAGCTGCTCCTACAGATGTTGACAGAGGTAGGACAACTGTTTGCTTCTTGTTTTATGGATCCGGCACCTGGAGTTAATCATGCTAAACTCCCTCCCTCCCTTCCTTCCTTCCTTCCTCCCTCCCTCCCTCCCTTTTCTCCTTCCCTTTCTCTCTCTCCTTCCTTCCTTTTTCTCCTTCCCTCCTTTTTCTTTCCTTCTTTCCTTCCTCCCTCCCTCCCTCCCTTTTCTCCTTCCCTTTCTCTCTCTCCTTCCCTCCTTCTCCTTCCTTCCTCCCTCCCTCCCTCCCTTTTCTCCTTCCCTTTCTCTCTCTCCTTCCTTCCTTTTTTCCTTCCCTCCTTCTTCCTTCCTCCCTCCATCCCTTTTCTCCTTCCTTTTATCTCTCTCGTTCCTCTCCTTCCCTCCTTCTCCTTCCTTCCTTTCTTCCTCCCTCCCTTCCTTTTCTCCTTCCCTTTCTCTCCTTCTTTCCTTTTCTCCTTCCCTCCTTCTCCTTCCTTCCTTCTCCTTCCTTCCTTCCTTCCTTCCTTTCTTCCTTCTCTCCCTTTTCTCCTTCCCTTCCTCTCTCTCCTTCCTTTTCTCCTTCCCTCCTTTTCCTTCCTTCCCTCCCTCCCTCCCCAGACTGGATTCTTAAGTTTTTCTTCCTCCTGGCAATAATTTTTGGAAAGCCAATCCCAAGACCCCTGGCCTTGCATGCCACAGATTGGTCTGGCAGCTTCATTTATGGGTGTTTGGACAGGGTGTGTCTCTCCAGGTAAGGGAGGGCAGGGCAGGGCAGGGCAGGTGTATGTTGCTTTCCTCCTCTAAGGAAACAGCCCGGATGGAAGAGAATAGCTTTTGAAAAACAAATAAAAGCAGGGCAATCAAATGCCAATTTACCTGCCGGTAAGGTGTTCATTTGGGGTGAAGTGCTTGCCTCTGTGTTGCCAATGGGGGGTGAGGGGGAAATGTTGATCAGTAGGTTGGATTATAGTAGAATCTGTGCTGACTCCCCACCTCCACCCCCCCACCTCCAAATATATGGTAAGTATTTTAAATTAAACCACAGAGGGAAAAAAGTGGAGAGCAGTGTATTTTATCAGTTTTTGTAATTGTGCTTAGCAAACCAATTTGTATGGTTTGCTAAACTAAAAAATAAAGTTGTATCAAAAGAGTCCCATTCTTTAGCATATAAGTAAAAATGCATTCAAAGCTTTCCTTCCTTCTTTCCTTTTCTTTTTTTCTTTCCTTTCTCTTTCCCTTTCTCGCCCTCTCTTCCCCCTTTCTCTTCCTTTCTTTGTCTCTTTCTTTCCTTCTTTCTTTCCTTCTTTTCTCCCACTTTCTCTTTCTGTTCCTTTCTCACCCTCTTTTCTCTCTTCTCCCTTTCCCTTTCTCCTTCCTTCCTCTGCCTCTTTTTCCTTCCTTCTTTCCATCCTTCCTTTCTCTCCCTCTTTTTCCTTCCTCTCCCTCTCTTTATCCTTCTTTCCTTCCTCTTTCTCAACTCTGTCTCTTTCCCTTTCTCTCCCTCTCTCTTTTCTCCCTTTCCCTTTCCCTCTCTTTCTCTCTCTCCCTCTATTTCTTTCTCCTTTGACAGAGTGTCACTCTCTCTAAAACTAGCCAGGGCTAAAAGCTGATTGTTTATGCTCCAGAGGAGCGTGTGAATGTCGTCTCCTTGTTTTCATTCTCCTAGTCTTGTTCTATACCCCTTCTGTTTGCTTGAGGAACTGGAAGCTCATTGAAGCAAATACTTCCAAATCCAGTCTCTGTGAAGGATTTAGAAAGAAGCCACGAAACCTAAAAGTACTTTTAAAAAAAACAAACCACAAGGAAGAGTCATAAATGGTGAATTTGGTGTTGTGTGTGTCTCCTTCGCTGTGTTTTGAAGGCCATGTCCAGTCATGCAGGTTACAGAAATGTGGTCTGGCTAGTTGTGAGGCTGCGGCAGGTTTATCTTCCTTTCCCAGCGAAGCCCATTTTGTTTCTGTTTTTTTTGTGACCTTCCTTGAGTTGATGGCTCTTACTAGCTCTAGCAAGGACCTGGATGAAGGTCCCAAACACAAAAGTCAAAAGGAAATTGTGTCATTTTCACAATTCAGCGATGAGGTTCACAAATGCATCCTTAAGCCAACATTGAACAAGCTATGATGTGTGCCACGTGTAAACTCCCTAGCTGAGTTTGCAAGGCCGTCTCAAAATCGGTGCCTTTGTTAAGCCCCAAATGCAAAGCTGGTTTAAATTTAGGTAAATAATAATAATAATAATAATAATAATAATAATAATAATAATAATAATAATAATAATAATAATAATAATAATAATTTTATTTCTATACCGCCCTTCTCCCGAAGGACTCAGGGCGGTGTACAGCCTATTTAAAAACACAAGACAAAACATCGATTAAAAATTTAAAATAAAATAAAATAAAATAAAATAATAATAAAATAATGTTGGCTTGCCTACATAAAAAAGATGTTGGCTTGCCTATTTTGTATCAACTCAATTTCTTGTGTTGGTTGGCGGTTCGTAACGCAAAACCCCAGAAAGTTTTTTTTTGGTGGAATTTCTGCCTCTAGAAAACCAGCTGTTCCTTGCAGATGTGGGCATACCCCACAGAAGAGCCCCCCCCTCCCCAAAGTTTTGAGGGAGCAGCCACGCCAAACCTGCTTTGGGAAAATTCCAGTCTTTTTTAAGTTTTGACAATCGGGGTCTTTTCTTGGCTAGCCGCAGTGGAATTAGGCTTGGATTAGGAAACTTAATGCAGATGTTGAAAAGCACATTCTGGCATCTGGGGATGGGGGTTTCCAAGACTGGGAGACGGGGGGGGGCAGGAAATTAAGGAAATTAAGAAGGCTTAATACATCTACAATATTTTGGATGCTAGGAACAAGCAAAGCGTGAGGATGCTGAAAGGTCCATTCTGCCCCCTAGTGGCAGCAGGAAGGAAAACGCAAATCTGAGTTTGGGCGGCTGATTTTTACAGTATATTTTTTAGAGCCAAGGAAGTTCAAGTCTTGTGCTATAGCACTGATGGCTAACCTTTTTGCCGTCGCGTGCCAAAAGTGGGGGGAATGGGGGTGGGGTGTCGTGCACGCACGTGCGTGCCCACCAGGGATGGGTTCTGAATTTTTTTACTACCGGTTCTGTGGGCGTGGCTTATTTTGTGGGTGTGGCTTGGAGGTCATGTGACTAGGTGGGCGTGGCTAGCTGGTCAGAGTCATTTCTGGAAGGTCCTCGCACTTACAACCAGTCCGCGCACTTACAACCAATCCTCGCACTTACGACCCGACTCGTTTGTTTGCTTTTAACACTGATCAGCTGTAGGGCGGCCCTTTGAAGCCCCGCGGCAAGAGTTTAAACAGTTTTTTTCCCTCTAGTCATCAGCTGGGACTCAGGAGGCAGCAATAGATTGGGGGTGGGACCAAATAAAAGGTAAGAATAACGTGGGGGGGTGGGAGAACTGGTTCGGTGACATCATATCATCACCGCTACCGGCTCTGCAGAACCGGACCGAACCGGGAGGAACCCACCACTGGTGCCCACCCCCACAATTCAATGCACGCGCGACTCCCCTGTGCTCCCCCTATTTTTGGCACGCGATGGCCCGGTAGGACCATTTTTCGCCCTCCCCAGGCTCCAGAGGCTTTCTAGGAGTGAAAACAGCCTTCCCCACCCCACTGGACGCCCTCTGGAGGCCGGAAACAGCCCGTTTGCCAACTTCCGGTGTGCCCAGAAGGCCCGAAAATCAGCTGGCCTGCGTGCTCATGTGCGCTGCAGCTAAGCTAGGGCAATGCTCGCGTGCCCACCGATTTGGCTCCGCGTGCCATAGGTTCGTCATCATGGTGCGATAGAGACATCATGGGGCTTGGTCTTAGCTTATTGCAACATGAAAATCAAACTCAGTCATTAGAATTTGGGATTCGGCAGTTTAGAGTGTATCGCTGAGTCAATTATGGAGCCTGGATAGCTCAACAGACAGAGCACTATGATTTAACACCAGCTGTCTGCAATTAAAGTAAGTTCGAATCTCACCAGGCTCAAGGTTGACTCAGCCTTCCATCCTTTCTAAGGTAGGTAAATTGAGGACCCAGTTTGTGGGGGCAATAAGCTGACTTTGTATAAAAATATACAAAAGTATGAAGGCTATTGCTTAGCGCATTGTAAGCCGCCCTGAGTCTCCGGAGAAGGGCGGCATATAAATCAAATTAAAATAAATAAATAAATAAACTTCTGAGTTTGCTATCATGACTGAACTCTGTTTGACTCTTAGTTCCAACCTCTTGTAAAAGGGACACCTGAAGACAGTCCAACCTGGGTATCTTCTACCTTCTTTCAAATTTCGCCTGAGAATTTTTCCTTGTTTTTTTTTTCTTTTGTTAAATTTTTTCAATTTTCGAAACGAGTCTTTTTTTCATTTTGAATCAGCCCAGCGTAGATGTGGCCACGATTAGGAAACTTTTCCTTGAGTTACAACAACCAGAGTTTTTTTTTCCTCCCCTTTTTTTGCTGTTTTTTCCAGTAGTTTGAATTAATTCGGGAAGGGATCCTATTCATTTTGGGGCCCCCCCGCCCTCCCCCCCCCAAACCGAGACAAAGGAAGGGATCAAATCTTGCAGCTGTGACCTGCGAAGGAAGAATGCAAGCCAGCAGCTCGTCTCCTTTCCTGTTTCTGGGAATTTTTCATTTATCCCGAGCTGCTTCCTGGTTCCCATAGAGGAATCCAAACAGACTTAAAAGGCTAATGAAATTTTTTTTTTTTTTTAAATTGCCTAGTTAATGCACTTGGCGAGAGGTTTTTCTGTCCCTTTTCTCTTGCCAGTGAGAGTAGCTTTTATTGGGAGTCAATTCCCGGCTCTGTCCATTAAGCGGAGGGGTGGGAGGAGGCGAGCTTGAAAAAAGGGCTCCATTTACAAGGATGAGGCGGGGGGGGGGGGCAGCCCATCTCATGCCCTGCAAAGAGAAGGGAGGGGCCTGGTGCTGCATAAGAGGCGGCTGATCAAGAGGGGGAAAAAAAATCTGAATATCCATCCCCTGAAAGGCGTGGATGCTTGCAAGGGACTTCGGCCAACTTCAGGGTAGGGTTTTCTGGCAATTTTTTTTTAAATGTTATCTTCTCTCTCTTGTGTCCAGAAATTTGGAGTCGGGGTGGGGTGGGCAGAGGGGGAAACCACAGAAGAGATAGGAGGTGGGGGAGTGAGTAGGGAGTCTCACAACTCCGTGCAAAACCACGCAAAACCACGAACACATCGATAGTGCGAGGATGCGTATAAAAACAGTAAAGTCATTATAGATCGTGGGAGATTCTGGGGTTTTGGGGTTGTGTTGTTTGTTTGTTTGTTTGTTTTTTACAGCAAATCAGCTCTGGGCACATTCAAAAAAAAAATCTTCACACTGTGAGTCAGCTGGGACCCAGAAGGCTGGCGATTTGGGGTTTATTTGCAGGAAATCTTGGCAGAGTAACAAAAAACAACTTTCCTTTTCTAAATTAAGATGGGGGGGGGAAGCTTTGGTAGGCTGTGTTTGTGTCTGTGAAGGCGGGTTTTTGTGTGTATGTGGGGGGGGGGGTTGGCCACTTGGCATTGGTGGGGCTTCCTCCAAGGCTCCTTAATCCTAGCAGCATGTTAAATGCTTAGTGACAGTTTCCTAAGAGTAATTGTGGGCTGCGGGTTATTTTGGGGAGGGGGCCTCGCTCTAGCACTTTCCCCTTTTTCCCCCTCCACAATTGCCTGCTAATTAAACCATGCCCTCTGTAAGCTGGGAAATTGGTGCGAAACGGTGCAAGCTTTAAGACCTGGGCAAGTATTTTGAAACCTTCCTTTAATTGCTGCAATTTAGGGGTTGAATAAAACTTTGCATCGGTTGATGCTACAAGGGGACAATCTATTCCAGCGAAAATGGCTTCTGTTATTTAGTTATTTAGTTATTTGGTTATTTAGTTATTTGGTTATTTAGTTATTTGGTTATTTAGTTATTTAGTTATTTAGTTAGTCGAGCATGTATTAGATAACAGATATAAGTATAAACATGATTATGAATGCAGGAAATGGATACGAATAAATGGGGACAGTAGGACAGGGACGGAAGGCATGTTGGGGTGCTTATGCACGCCCCTTACAGACCTCTTAGGAATGGGGTGAGGTCAACAGTAGACAGTCTAAGGTGAAAGTTTTGGGGGTTTGGGGAAGGAACCACAGAGTCAGGTAGTGCATTCCAGGCATTGACCACTCTGTTGCTGAAGTCGTATTTCCTGCAATCGAGTTTGGAGAGGTTTACCTTGAGTTTGTATTGATTGTTTGCCCGTGTATTATTGCGGTTGAAGCTGAAGAAGTTGACAAGTAGGACGTTGTAGCAGATAATTTTGTGTTCTACACTTAGGTCTGACCGAAGGCAGCGTAGTTCTAAGTTGTCCAAGGCCAAAATTTCGAGCCTGGTTGGCATCAGGGATTCTGTTGCGAGCAGAGGAGTGGAGGATTCTTCTCGTGAAATACTTCTGGACTCGCTCAATTGTATTAATGTTGTTGTTGTTGTTGTTGTTGTTGTTGTTGTTATTGGTTAATCTTTAGTGAGATTCACAGCCTTTAAGGCTGGTTAATAGCTCAGCAGCTCGAGTCCTAACCAAGAACCTAAGAAATTATTATTATTATTATTATTATTATTATTATTATTATTATTATTATTATTATTATTATTCACATTTCTATGCCGCCCACTCTCCGAGGACTCTGAGCGGCTTACACCAAAGACAGCATATTAAATAGCATATTGCCCCCTAACAATCTGGGTCCTCATTTTACCCACCTCGGAAGGATGGAAGGCTGAGTCAACCTTGAGCCGGTGAGATTTGATCCGCTGATCTGCTGAACTAGCAGTCAGCTAAAGTAGCTGCAGTACTGCACTCTAACCACTGCACCACCTCTGCTCAGTATTAATGTATTATTAATATAATTAATGTATAATTGTATTAATGTCCGATATGCTTCTCTTTGCCATTCTTGATAGTTTGGGACATGGATTTGTATTTTTAGGAAGGGTGTCCAAGGAAGATAACAAGATCCCTTACCGAGTGGATTCTAGTGGATTTGGGGGCATGGCATTGTTTACTTCCTTTAAGACGCACCTGCCCAGGTGCCATAAAAAGGTTTTCGGGTGGGCAGAGTTCAGAGATATCCACGTTGGAGGATGGAGGTTACAAAATTAGGGTCCCCGTGAAAACTTAAAACGCAGCATGTGTTGAAGGGCTGCTGATCCGTATCAGCCCCTCTTTTGAGACGGAATAATATTTTGCTTGCTCGGGTTGGGAGCCCAAGAGAAGCCACGAAGGGTTTATGGCTGCGAAGCCCAGTTTTTTTCAAAACCATAATTTCTGTTCCAGATTGGTGGGCACGGTGAGCAATGGAGATTTTTCCCAGACGGGGACACGAATCTACAGCTGGAAGCGAAGACATTCATCTCAAGGTAGGGTCTATTTTCTAACTAAAGGCTGAATGCAGGGGGGAGCAGCGGATCTCTCGCTCCGAATGGCTCCCCGGTGCAGCTCCAGCAGGCCAAGTTTCTAGTCCTTTGCAGTCGTTGGCTTCCAAGTGGTCGGATTCACCCTAGGCTCAGTTGCCCTCCCTACCTTGTCTCCGTTCTCTGTTCCAGGTGATCAGTTCACTTTCCCCTCTGCTGACGATGAAGTGATTTACGATGATGTTCCTTACGAGAAAGTCGATTTGCAGCCGTGTGGTAGGCACTAGCACCCCACGCCTCTCTTTCACACGTCTCCTCTTCGCTCACCACCGTTTTCTTTCCCTCTCCGTCGACATTCTTCCCTTCTTATCACATTACTACCTGTCTTACTAAAATGGTCTTCGGCAAAGATTTCTTGCGACAACAACAAAAAAGGAAATGAAGGAAGGAGGCCTAATAAATCTTACAATATTTGCAAGGGTGGGCAAAAAATTTTGCTGGATGGGCATGGCCATGGTGGGTGTGGCCTAGTCGGCCTCCTGCACCATGGTGGGGGAGAGCGGCATTTTTGCCCTCCCCGGGCTCCGGAGGTTTTTCCCGAGCCTCCGGGAGGGCGAAAACGGCCTCCCCAGGCTTCGGAGGCCCTCTGGAGGCCAGAAACGGGCCTGTTTCCAGCCTTCCTGAACTTACAGTAGGCCTGTTTTTTGCCCTTCCCGAGCCTCTGCACGTGCCTTGCACCTACCTGCATCCAAAATGGGCCGCGTGGGGACTCCTGGGAGGGCAGGGGAGGGGTGGGCGGGGCCAGCCAGGAGTGGGATTTGGGGGTTCTCCGAACTGCACAGAATCTTAGCTAGAGGTTCTCCCGAACCCCTGCGAACCCCCAGTGGCCCACCCCTGAATATTTGAATGTGAAATCAGTGAAATCAGGACACACACAGAGAGAAAGAGAGAGAGAGAGAGAGAGATGATAAAATGATAAAACCAAAAGAAAAGGAGTAGTACCGATGCATTATTCTGGATAAATAAATCCGTGATGTCAAGCTTGTTTATCTACCTGCTCTTAACAGAACACAGCCCCAATTTAATTTATTAATTATTTATTAATTTTATTTCTTTAATATTTTTTTCTATTAATTTTATTTCTTTAATTTGTTTTAAATGAATTAAAAGAATACATTTTTTAACTGACTTCCAAATCTTAGAGGGATTTTCTTCTCCAGGACTTTCCTTAAGGTTAATATAAGCAGTCTGCGATTTTCCACTTCATTTTCTTTCTGTGAACAGAAATCAAGAGTGACACTCCGAACATGCTCAGAGGAATTTTATCTGCCCTCCTGCGCCCTGATAATCCTTCATACAAAAGTGTTTCTACTTTATTTTACTTATTTAAATCATTTTTATAGTTCATAGGAAAGCAGGTAGCCATGTTGAGCTGGAAATTATCTGCTGTTCATTTCTCTTTTCTCCCCTAATCCATCCATGGTTAAAACATCAGTTCTTTATACTTTATTTTGTTTTGGATTCCCTTCCCGTCCCCCGCCCCCCTCCGGCCCGATGCAATATTTTCTCTGAAATTAACCCATTTTTATAGAAGCCAGAGGATTTGTCTTGCCAAATGCTTTTTCTACAATTCCTTATTTTCAGAACGAGTTTGTAACATTTTTTAAACCATAAAAGCCAACAAATAAAAGCCCATTTTTATCTTAGCTGGCCTGGTCTGGGATTGGCAAAACCCCGTTTGGGTTTTTCAGAGTGTGCTTATCGTTAAAAAAGTTTCTGTTTTGACATTCCTGTTTTATTTTTCCCGCTCAGCATAGCAAGAAGGATGTTTAATGCTGCTTTCGCCACTTTTAGAGAAACAGTGCAATATTTAATGACTTCCCTTCCCTGTTAGTCATCACTACCGAATATAAGCATTTAGGGGCTTGTGAATTTCTCTTGTTGTAAATAAAAATCTAAGAAGAAATTGATCGGCTTATCACTCAGGAAGGTATTCTAGCGTACAGGAAGCCCTCGAATTACAACCGCAATTGAGCCCAGAATTTCAGTTGCTAACCGAGACAGTCGGTAAGTGAGTTTTGCTCCATTCAACAACCTTCCATGCCACGGTGGTTAAGTGAATCCCTACAGCTCTTGAATTAGTAACATGGTTGTTAAGTGAATCTGTCTTCCCCATTTTTTATTTTTTATTTGATTTTATATGCCGCCCTTCTCCGGAGACTCAGGGCGGCTTACAATGCGTTAAGCAATAGCCTTCATCCTTTTGTATATTTATACAAAGTCAGCTTATCACCCCCACAAACTGGGTCCTCAATTTACCCACCTTAGAAAGGATGGAAGGCTGAGTCGACCTTGAGCCTGGTGAGAATTGAACTCGCAGTAATTGCAGGCAGCTGGATGTTAAATGCTGCCTTAGTAGGAGGCATTAGCCTCCTACGCCTCTCAGGCTCTTTGTGCTTACGACCATTGTGGTCGTAAATTGAGGACTCCCTCTAATCTGAACATTTTTCCTCTTAATTCCGCTTTCTTTCTTTTTTTTTAAATTCATCCTGTGCCACCGATGTCCGCTCTTCATCTTCTTCTTATTGTTATTATTTCTTCTCCTCTTGAAGTCTCCTTGTGCTGTGTGAGACCCCTTTTTCTCCCTCCCTGCCCCCCTCGGCTAAGAACTGACCGTCGTTTCTCCCCTCTTGTCAGATTCAGGGAGAAGCTTAATTTATGAAGATGTCACTCACCCCAAGCTCAGCTCGCAAGAGCCCGACGATTTAGGCTGGAGCTCCAGCGAATTTGAAAGCTACAGCGAAGACTCGGCCGACGAAAACAAAGCCAATGCGGCTCACGCCAAACCCAAAGTTTCCTTCCAGCCGAAGGTAACCGGGGGAATCAGGAGGGAAAGCAACCCCCTTTGCGGGATCTACAATTTATCGGTCCCCTTGGAGCAGAGAGGCCTCCAAACCTTGGCAACTTCAAAGACTTGTGGACTTCAACTCCCAGAATTCCCCCAACCACCCAGAGGAATTCTGGGAGTTGAAGTCCGCAAATCTTTAAGGATGCCATGGTTGGAGACATGCTTTGTCTTGAGGGCATCTCAAGTCTTTAGCTAGAAAAGGACTTGCAATCATCATCATCATCATCTTCTTCTTTTAATCCCTTGCGGGGTGGAGTCTGGGCAACTGAATGGAGCTAGCAGAGTATTTCATGGCCCGATGCCCTTCCTGTCACCAGTGCGGAGTTTTGTTCAGCAGATATATTCTCATTGTGCCCGGAGAGAGAAATATGCGATGCCTCCTCTAAAAGCAATTTCGCTGCTCCTAATTTCTCTCGGTTGGAGATATTGAATTCACCTCCAGGTTCCAAGCTGAGGGTGGGAGCAGGACCCTCGCAAGGGGGTCGTAGGGATGTCCTTAACCCTGCTGCTTCTGCTGCTGTCTGCCAGCTTACGCAATGCTTTGTGATTTCTCCCTGCCTTTGCTGAGTTTCCGGCTTGCTCACCCCGATTTCTGTGCCTGTCTGTCTCTCTCTTCCTTCTCCCACGGCTTCTCTTCGTTGGCGTTCATTTTTGGGGGTGGCAGCTTTCTCCCGACCTTCACAGGCTAAAAGAGAGGTGTTCCAAGACTAAAAGGGAGATCCTGGCTTTGAAAGTCGGGGGCAGAGAGATGCAAGAGCTGAAGCAAAGATATGATTGTAAGGTACCGTCCTTTCTCCTCTGCACCCTCAATTTCTTTTCCCTTTCCTTCTCCCCTCCCACTGTGCTGTTTGGATTTGGGGGTGCAAACCCCCCTCCCCTGCATTTCGTGTTCCTTCAGCTCTTTGCTTGCCACTTCGTCTGCTTTGCAAGAATTAACCTTCGTTTGAAAAACAAAACAGAACACAGAATATATATATTTGTCCTGTAGCTTGTGTCTGTTTTATTTAGACTTTTCTCCTTTGGGCTTCAAAAAAATCACTGAGTGAGGTTGGAGTTAGAGAGCGAGGAGAGAAGATATCCAAAAAAAAAAAAACCCTATTAAAAAAAAAAAACCCAGTTGGATTTCACCCCTGTAATGGACCCAACACAGTCATTAAGGGAGGACTAGCTTTTATTTTTCTGAATTGAAATAACAGCGAGGGGATTTTCCTTCACCAGGATTTAATTAAATTTAATTAATTAAATTTATATGCCACCCCTCTCCGAAGACTCAGGGTGGCTCACAATACATTTTAAAAAATAATTATTAAAAAACAACATTGAAAAATTAAAAACATTAAAAACTCATTCACGCCATTCATGGCGGATCTCGCCGGATCGCAAGAGCGAGATCAACGGCCCCAGGCCTGCCGGAAAAGCCAGGTCTTCACCGCTTTTCGGAAGGCCAATAGGGTGGGGGTGGTCCAGACCTCAGGAGGTAACTGGTTCCAGAGACCCGGGGCAGCCACAGAGAAGGCCCTCCCCCGTGGGCCCGCCAGCCGGCATTGTTTAGCTGACGGGACCTGGAGGAGACCAACTCTGTGGGATCTTACCGGTCGTTGGGAGTTACGCGGTAGAAGGTGGTCTCGAAGATAACCTGGCCCTGAGCCATGTAGGGCTTTAAAGGTAATAACCAACACCTTGAATTGTGACCGGAGACCAATAGGGAGCCAGTGCAGCTCGTGGAGAATTGGTGTAATGTGGGTGTACTTAGGTGCACCCACGACAGCTCTCGCGGCTGCGTTCTGGACCAACTGTAGTCTCCGAACACTTCTCCAACAGCTCCCCCCGTTTGTCTTCTATAATTGTTTTTTAAAACTGATTTTCTGCAGATGACTCAGTTTATGAAAGCAGCCAAAAGCGGGACCAAGGATGGCTTGGAAAAGACCAAAATTGCTGTCATGCGGACTTTCCTACATAAGAAAGATATCCCAGGTAACTGGTTTTATTTGACGTTGTACACACAGGTGACTTAACAGGGGGAAAAAAAAAAGAAAAATTCAGGTAGTCCTCGATTTAAGAACAATTTGTTTAGTGACGGTTTAAAGTTACAACGCCACTGAAAAAAGGTGGCTGTTTTTCACACTTACGACCGTTGCCGATCAAAATGCAGACGCTTGCCAACTGACTCGTACTTATGACGGTCGCAGTGTCCCCGGGGTCACGTGATCCCTTTTTGTGACCGTCTGACAAGCCAAAGTCAACGGGGAATCCAAATTCACTTAACAACCGTGTTACTTCTTAACCACTGCAGTGATTCACTCCGCAACTGTGTCAAGAGAGATCGTAAAATGGGGCAAAAATCACTTAACTGATGTCTCACTTAGCAACGGAAATTTTGGGCTGAGTTGTGGTCGTAAATCGAGGACTGCCTGTACTTGGGACAAATACTTTACTGCCTTTTTTTTTTTTGTATCGTTTAATAGCCCCTTTAAAAGATAAACAGCAAAGCTGTAGGAAATGTAAAATCCAGATTATGGGAAGCATTAAGAGTGAAGCTAGTTAAAATGGCCCAATTGCATTGATGACTGATCTGTTCTCTAAAAATTAGGATTTTGGATGGAATAACCCTGGGCTTCTTCCTGTTTCGGGTTACTTCAGAAAATCGTCATCAGACAAAACACAGTTTCTGTTTCTTCCATCACTTCCCTTATTCTAGCATTCGTGAAATTCCTGTGATTGATGGGAAAAAGAGGAGGGGGGGGAAACTTGGAAACTGAAAGTGCTTTTGATTTTTCTCTGCCATTGGGTTGCTAATGGAGACGTTGATGCAAGAAAATTGGCTGTCTTAAAAAAAAAAAACAGGAGAGAATACCGTGTTTCCCTGAAAATAAGACCCTGTCTTATATTTTTTTGAACCCCGAAATAAGCGCTTGGCCTTATTTTCGGGGAGATCTTATTATTTTGGGGCGCGTGGAGTAAGACAGGGATCCTCTTGCCATCTTTCCCGATTTCCAGCTCTGTCTCCATTTAAATGCACGCTGTGTATGCGTTTAAATATTTTTGGGGAGGGCTTATTTTAGCGCATGCGCTCAAAAGCCCGATTGGGCTTATTATCAGGGGATGTCTTATTTTTGGAGAGACACGGGTATGTATGCTGGAGTAGATGCAGGGCCCCTCCAACCTTGGCAACTTTTAAGACTTGGGGACTTCAACTCCCAGAATTCCCCTTGGTGGTTAGGGAATTCTGGGAGTTGAAGTCCCCAAGTCTTAAAAGTTGCCAAGGTTGAAAATCCCCGTCTTAAAAGAGATAATTGGTAGGAAAGTGACTTGAGAACAGTATCCGTTTTCTGAATTTCTGGGCAAACTTTTGTAGAATTCAGGTCCGTGTGCATTCCATCAACCAGATGCAAAGACGGGGACAGTGAGTGAGTGAATTTTTATTTTTCTTTATTTTCTGGAAAGCTGAGGAACTGAGACCTTTGCAAACTCAAAATGAATAGTTCGGTTTTGATGAACAGAGCATGGCCAGCGAGTGAAGAAACTGAGAAAATCCCCCTCTAAGATTTAGCTTGGAGAGAACTGCAGGAAGTCTATTGGAAGTGATACTGGTATATTATTCTCCCTCCTCCTCCTACATATTTTACACTTTCGTTTTTGGAGTTCTTTATACCATTTCTGGGTATCTCTTTAATTCCGATAGATATTTTCCTTAGAATATTTTTTTTAAAATGGTGTTTCTAATTCTCATAGAGACAGAGATGAGAATTAGATGAGATGAGAATTTCCTTCTTTCTTTCTTTCCTTCTTTCTTTCTTTCTTTCTTTCTTTCTTTCTTTCTTTCTTTCTTTCTCTCTCTCTTTTCTCTCCTTTCTCTCCTTTCTGTACAGTATCTCTTTCTTTCTCATTCCCTCTTTCTTTCTCTATTTCGCCCCTTCCCTTCCCTTCCCTCCTCTTTTATTTATTTATTTATTTATTTATTTATTTATTTATTAGATTTCTATACCGCCCTACTCCCGAAGGACTCAGGGCGGTGCACAGCCAAACAATAAAAACACATACAATACAAAATTTAAAAAAATAGAATAAAATCAAATTAAATAATTTTGGCCCCGACAAATTTAAAACCCCAAACTTTTAAAACCAATTTAAAATTGAATATATAAATACTAAAAAATATTTAAAATTTTAAAAATCTTTTATAAAAGAGGGGGAAAATTAGGCCAGGCCGGCCTGGTGAAATAGTAAGGTCTTTAAGGCGCGGCGGAAGGTGCGCAGATCCGGGATCCTCCGTATCTCTGGGGGGAGCTCGTTCCAGATAGTAGGTGCCCCCACAGAGAAGGCTCTCCCCCTGGGGGCCGCCAGTCGGCATTGTTTGGCTGACGGCACCCGGAGGAGCCCCTCTCTATGGGAGCGTACCGGCCGGTGGGAGGCTATTGGTGGTAGTAGGCGGTCCCGCAAGTACCCGGGTCCTAAGCCATGGAGCGCTTTAAAGGTGGTAACCAAAACCTTGAAGCGCACCCGGAAGACCACCGGGAGCCAGTGCAGCTCGCGCAGGAGAGGTGTTACATGGGAACGCCATGTCGCTCCCATTACCACCCGCGCGGCCGCACTCTGCGCCAGTTGGAGCCTCCGGGTGCTCCTCAAGGGGAGCCCCATGTAGAGAGCGTTGCAATAGTCCAGGCGGGAGGTGACAAGGGCATGAGTGACCGTGCGTAAAGAGTCCCGATCCAGAAAGGGACGCAACTGGCGAATCAGGTGAACCTGATGAAAAATCCTCCCGGTCACGGCCGTCAAGTGCTCTTCTAAAGACAGCCGTGAGTCCAGGAGGACGCCCAAGTTGCGAGCCCTCTCCGTGGGGGCCAATGATTCGCCCCCAATAGTCAGTGATGGCGTCAACTGACTATATCGGGACGTCGGAAACCACAGCCACTCAGTCTTGGATGGGTTGAGCCTGAGCCTGTTCCTCCCCATCCAGATCCGTACGGCCTCCAGGCACCGGGACATCACTTCAAGGGCATCGTTGGGGTGATCCGGGGTGGAGATGTACAGCTGGGTGTCGTCAGCGTACTGATGGTACTCCACCCCGAAACCACGGATGATCTCGCCCAGCGGCTTCACATAAATGTTGAACAGGAGAGGCGAGAGGACCGACCCTTGCGGCACCCCACATATGAGGGGCCTCGGGGTCGACCTCTGTCCCCCTGTCAACACAGACTGCGACCGGTCAGAGAGAAAGGAGGAGAACCACCGCAACACAGTGCCTCCCACCCCCAACTCTTCCAACCGTGCAGCATGATACCATGGTCGATGGTATCAAAAGCCGCTGAGAGATCTAACAGGACCAGGACAGAGGAGCACCCCCTGTCCCGAGCCCTCCAGAGATCATCAACCAACGCGACCAATGCCGTTTCCGTGCTGTACCCGGGCCTGAAGCCCGACTGGAACGGATCCAGATACGTCGTTTCATCCAGGTGCTGGGGGAGCTGTTGCGCGACCACACTCTCAACAACCTTCGCAACAAAGCGAAGATTGGAGACCGGACGATAATTTACCAACATTGCCGGGTCCAGGGAAGGCTTCTTGAGGAGAGGCCTCACCACCGCCTCTTTCAAGGCGGCGGGAAAGTCACCCTCACTCAGCGAAGCGTTTATAATCCCCTGGAGCCAGCCTCGTGTCACTTCCCGGGAAGCCAGTACTAACCAGGAAGGACACGGGTCCAATAAACAAGTGGTCGCGTTCAGTCTACCCAGAATCCTGTCCACGTCCTCAGGGGTCACAGGATCAAACTCATCCCAGATAACATTCTCAAGACCTGCCCCTGTCTCTCCCCCTGAGACTACCCAGTCGGAGTCCAAATCTTCCCGAATCTGAGTGATTTTGTCATACAGATACTGAACAAAATCCTCGGCTCTACCCTCCAAGGGGTCCTCCCGCGCTTCCTGGTGGAGCAGGGAGCGGGTCACCCTAAAGAGGGCGGCCGGGCGATTATCTGATGACGCAATAAGAGCAGCAAAATAACTACATTTCGCTGCTTTTATCGCCACTAAGTAATTCCTAATGTGGGATCTTACTAGTGTCCGGTCAGATTCAAGAAGACTGGCCCTCCAACTACTCTCTAGGCGTCTTTTCCGGCGCTTCAACTCCCTCAGCTCCTCGGTAAACCAAGGAGCCAATTGAGATCGGCGCCGGGTCAGAGGCCGCAAAGGCACGACCCGATCCAGAGCACCAGCAGCCGCCCTATCCCAGGCGGCCACCAGGTCTCCAGTCGAGGCGTGTGCCAGAACCTCAGGAAATGGCCCAAGCTCCGTCTGGAATCTGTCAGGTTCCATCAGGCGCCTGGGGCGGAACCATCTGACCGGCTCCGCCTCCCTGCGGCGGGGTGCAGCGGTTCGAAAGTCGAGACGAAGGAGAGAGTGATCTGACCATGACAAGGGTTCAGTAACTATATCCCCTATATCAAGATCCCTCAACCACTGTCCAGAGACAAAAACCAGATCCAGCGTGTTTCCCCCTGTGTGGGTAGGGCCATGAATTAACTGGGTCAGGTCCATAGCTGTCATGGAAGCCATGAACTCCCGAGCCATCTCTGACGTCTCACCCACGGACGGCAGGTTGAAATCCCCCATAACCATAAGCTTAGGGGTATCAACCGCCACCGCGGCGATGACGTTGAGTAGCTCGGGCAGGGCTGTTGCCACGTGGCAGGGAGCCAGGTACGTGATCAGCAAACCCATCTGAACCCCATGACCCCATTTCACAAAAAGGGATTCACAGCCGGCCGTCTGAGGAACAGTGGCCTCCCTCGGTCTCAGACCTTCTTTAATGATAACCGCTACCCCCCCGCCCCTCCCCTGTGACCTCGGCTGATGGAATGCTTGGAAACCTGGCGGGCACATTTCAACGAGGGGAACCCCCCCCTCCTGGCCCAACCAGGTCTCCGTAATACCTGCCAGGTCCGCACCCCCCTCCTGAACAAGATCACAGATGAGGGGAGCTTTATTTACTACGGACCTGGCATTGCACAGCATCAGCCGAAGGCCTGGGTCCTGAGGGTCTATGCAACCTGAGGAGCGAGTAGAGCCTTGGGGGCCGGAGCACGCCACCGCTCGTAGACAGCGAGTGCGCACTCCCCTAACACGATATGGCCCCCTGCTCCCGCCATATCTACCCCTCCCACCTACAGTACTGATGTTCAAAAAACTATCCGGACAAGCTCTAACCCCCCCCCTCTTCTCTTCCCTCCGCTTCCCTTCCCTTCCCTTCGCTTCCCTTCCCTTCCCTTCCCTCCTTTTCCTTCCCGTCCCTTCTCTTCCCTTCCCTTATCTTCTCTTCCCTTCCCTTCCCTTCCCTTCTCTTCCCTCCTCTTCTCTTTTCTCTCCTCTCCTCTCCTCTCCTCTCCTCTTCTTTTCCCTCTCCTCTCCTTTCCTCTCTTCTCCTCTCTTCTCCTAACTTTCTTGGCATTTTCAAAGACTTTTAAATTCCCAAGTCTCTTTCACAACATTTTTTTTCCGTGCAAATTAGTGAATCTTTCTCTGGGTACATTAAACCCCGACGATGTCTGATTTTTTTTTTTAAAAAAAAAAAGTGGTGTTTTTTTTTTTTTTAAATTGTGCTGTCCCTCTTTGAACATTTGCTGCGAACCGGGTTTGCTTCTGGAACGGAAGAAGAAAGTTGCAAAGAATGATGTGTGAGCTGCTGTGGAACACAGCTTCAGCCTTTTCTCTTTCTCAGACACACACACACACACACACACTCACACACACGCAGACACAGATGGAACGGGTGAGTCTCCTTCTATCAACCCTCAAAAGTTCACTCCCAGCACAATTTTCTTAGCCACTTCCTTGTTTTGGGGTGGCACCGTTGCATAACGTTACTAGAATAAACTACAAAACTGCTTACGCAGGGGAAAGAAATACTAGGAACCAGCTGAATTTAGCATTCCCTTAAAGTTTCTGTTATCTGTTTGCATAGTTATATAAATTCAAGGCTTTTTGGGGGGGGGGCGGTGCAGGGCTTTTCCTGAGCTAGAGAAACACCCCCCCCGCCCCAAACTCAGCTTTTCAGAGTTTGAAGCAAAGCAGGGAGGACCGTGTCAGGATCCTGCCAAAATGCTTTTCCCAAGAGAACAAATGTGAATTCATGAGCGAAAGAATTAAGCGTGGGGGTCCTTCCTTCGCTGTAGCTGCAGATGGAGAGCCGAGCAGAGGGGTCTCGGGACCCGAAAGGAAGCGATCTCTCTCCTGGACCGGGGAGGTTGCCATGCTCCGTAGCTTCTCCGCAGAGAGAGGTACGGATCCAGCTGGATCTCCTCGCCCCTGGGATGCAAAGCATGGTCTGGTGTGCAGTGTGGCATTAACTGACTTTGAGTGACATTAAATGACTGCTTCTAAGCGGCTTGATGGGGAAGGTTGGCATCTGATCTCCCTGGGAAAAAAACAACAACAACCCTTTATGGAAAGCAGACGAGGTGAGCCACTTTAAAAGCTGAGCTTTTCATGGACCGGAGGCAAAAAAAAGTTAGCTTGAATTCCCGTTTGTCCATCCTAAGTCTATTATTCTTACTGGCTGTCTGTGTCTGGATTGTGACTCTTTTCTGCTAATCCAGGGTAGATTATTAGTGAGTTAAGTAGGGACGAAGTTCCCGCAGCATCTGTGCATTTATCCAGAGAGGGCAACTCCCCAGAACTTCTCATCTTGAATATCAGCTTGGCTCCCTTTGCTTCCAACAAGTCTTTGTTAACCAAAATTTTTCTCTTTTGGTCTTGTTTTAGAGTTTTGAATAGATTAATTCTCTCCCAGGATTAATCTTCGAAGCGAACAGCAGGATGCCCCACTGTTTGTTTGCTTCTTCTAGAAAAAAACACCAAAACGAAAACAAATGATGTTTTGGTCTCATTTCTATTTACACTCTGTTGTGGTTTTTTTTTTTCCCCAGTGGGATCGTTTAGCAACTCAATCCCCAGGTCCCTGTTTGCAAATTGCCCAAGATCTGAAAAGTTGGAAATATTTTTTCTGGCAGTGTTCATTAGAATAGAATAGAATGGAATGGAATGGAATGGAATGGAATGGAATGGAATGGAATAGAATTAGAATTAGAATTAGAATTAGAATTAGAATTAGAATTAGAATTAGAATTAGAATTAGGAATAGAATAGAATAGAATAGAATAGAATAGAATAGAATAGAATAGAATAGAATAGAATAGAATAGAATAAGGAATAGAATAGAATAGAATTAGGAATAGAACAGAATTAGAATTAGGAATATAATAGAGTAGAATAGAATAGAATAGAATAGAATAGAATAGAATAGAATAGAATAGAATAGAATAGAATAGAATAGAATAGAATTAGGAATAGAATAGAATTAGAATTAGAATTAGAATTAGAATTAGAATTAGAATTAGAATTAATTAGGAATAGAATAGAATAGAATTAGGAATAGAATAGAATAGAATTAGGAATAGAATAGAATTAAGAATAGAAAAGAAAAGAAAAGAAAATATGGAATAGAGTAGAATTAGAATTAGGAATAGAATAGAATAGAATAGAATAGAATAGAATAGAATAAGGAATAGAATAGAATTAGGAATAGAATAGAATAGAATAGAATTAGAATTAGGAATAGAATAGAATAGAATAAAATAGAATAGGGAATAGAATAGAATTAGAATTAGGGAATAGAATAGAATAGAATAGAATAGAATAGAATAGAATAGAATAGAATAGAATAGAATAGAATAGAATAGAATAGAATAGAATAGAATAGAATAGAATTTTTATTGGCCAAGTGTGATTGGACACACAAGGAATTTGTCTTTGGTGCATACGCTCTCAGTGTACACAAAAAGAGAAGATACATTCGTCAAGAATCATAAGGTACAACACTTAACAATAGTCATAGGGTACAAATAAGCAATCAAATCATAGTAGGAAACAATCAATATAAATTGTAAGGATACTAGCAACAAGGTTATAATCATGCAGTCGTAAGTGGGAGGAAATGGGTGATGGGAACGATGAGAAGATTAATAGTAGTGCAGACTTAGTGAATAGTTTGACAGTGTTGAGGGAATTATTTGTTTAGCAGAGTGATGGCATTCGGGGAAAAACTGTCCTTGTGTCTAGTTGTTCTGGTGTGCAGTGCTCTATAGCGTCATTTTGAGGACAGGAGTTGAAACAGTTGATGTCCAGGATGCAAAGGGTCTGTAGATAATTTTCCCAGCCCTCTTTTTGACTTGTGCAGTATGCAGGTCATCCATGGAAGGCAGGTTGGTAGTAATTGCTTTTTTTCTGCAGTTCTAATGATCCTCTGAAGTCTCTGTCTGTCTCGTTGGGTTGCAGAGCCAAACCAGACAGTTATCGAGATGGCAGATGAGAGACTCGATAGTTCCTCTGTAGAACTGGATCAGCAGCTCCTTGGACAGGGGTGTCTGCTTGAGAGCGGTAAACCCAGTGGTTTTGAAGAGTGTCTTCCCCCACAGGATGTTTTTGGAGACCCTTCCCCTCCCTCTCCTTTCAAGCTGTTTCCGCTCTCAGCCGCCTCCCCGGATGGCAGCTCTCCCAAGTGCTGCCAGGCAGCTGTTCCCAAAATTAGGGAAGGAAAGGTCAGCCTTGCCATCACTGGGCTATTCTTGTCATTAACCCGCCCCGAGTGCAGCTCACGCGCTTCATTCCCCCCCCCTCTGTGCTGCCGGCTTGGATCTCCCTGGGGTCCTGCCGGTACCCGAGGATGGAGAGCCCCCCACGACTCAACTGAGTTTTAGTCTTGAATTTCGAGAAAGAGGAAGTTTGCGACCGGTTGAATGACAGGAGGGAGCGAGAATTGCTCCCACAGAGAAGATGTGGAGGAAACGGCATCGGGCGAATGCCAAGGATTACGTGATCGTTCACTTCTCCTCTTCCTCCTCTTCCTCGCTCTCAGGTAAGGCCAGGTGGCTGGGCTATCTCCCCCCCCTCCCCGTAGGGCTTGAGTCCCATGCTGGCCGGGGGTTTCTGTATGGGGCTCAGTCAACTGTCAAGATTCAGCCAGCGTCCTGCGCTGGCTTGTTGCTGCTTTATCCGCCTTGGCAAAGAATTCATTTGCAGTTGGGGAAGTGAATTCATTCGCAGTCTGACTGTTCTTTATTTTATTTATAGAATAGAATAGAATAGCAGAGTTGGAAGGGACCTTGGAAGTCTTCTAGTCCAACTCCCTCCTTAGGCAAGAAACTCTGCACCACTTCAGACAAATGGTTATCCAACATCTTCTTAAAAACTGTCCAGTGTTGGAGCATTCACAATTTCTGGAGGCAAGCTGTTCCACTGATCAATTGTCCTGACTGTCAGGAAACTTCTTCTTAGTTCTAAGTTGCTTCTCTCCTTGATTAGTTTCCACCCATTTTATATTTATTTTTTTTCTTCTGAGCAATAAAGTCTCTTTAGGTATGGTTGGGGTACGATGGACTGGCCCAAGGTCACCTGGGAAGCCGGAACCAAAATTAAATCTTCCCCCGCTCCCCATCCAGCACCCTCTCATCCATCCCTAAAGAATGCAGCTTGGCTTACTTGCTAGAGTCGTTAGCTCCTGCTTTTTCTCCCCTGAGGCAGCCTACGATTTTGAAGCACCAATTTAGATGCTGCCTCTCTGCGTTTTCTTCGCATCCCTTCCAAAAACGCAGCTCTGCCGAACGCTTCAGTTTTTGTTGATCGCCTTTGTTGATTTCGGTTTGGAGACGTTGCCCAACCCAGGAATCTTCTTGAATTCCGCTGGCAGTGCCAACCGTGCCCAAGGGACGGACTTTTGCTGAGTCACTTCGTGCCATTGATTCGTCTGTTGCTAGAGAAGGGTCGTTTTGCAAAACTTAGGTTAAAAGGTAAAGGTTCCCCTCGCACATATGTGCCAGTCGTTCCTGACTCTAGGGGGCGGTGCTCCTCTCTGTTTCAAAGCCGAAGAAGGCAGCGCTGTCCGAAGACGTCTCTGTGGTCATGTGGCCGGCATGACTCAACGCCAAAGGGGCATGGAACGCTGTTCCCTTCCCACCAAAGGTGGTCCCTATTTTTTCTACTTTCCTTTTTTACATGCTTTCGAACTGTTAGGTTGGCAGAAGCTGGGACAAGTCACGGGAGCTCACCCCATTATATGCGGCGCTCGGGATTCGAACCGCTGAACTGCCGACCTTTCTACCGACAAGCTCAGCGTCTTAGCCACTGAGCCACCGCGTCCCTTTGCAAACTTAGAAGCATGCTTTTTTTTTCGTCTGGGACTTTGAAATGTTGGTGCACCAACTAACGCCACTCAAGGGATGCGACTAATAAGAATAATACATTTGTATGCCGTTGGCTTGAATTTCCTTCTGATTTTGCTGGTTTTGCAAACACTCTGGCTGTCTACCGTTGAGGACTAGAAGCATGTTTTAAACCCGGAGGATTGTCAGAGAAAGGGGATGTGTGAGGTTGGAAGTGTGTTGTGAGGGATCTCTGCTTAGAGTGCGTTAAGTTTAATCGACGTTTGCTTCGTTTTGCTTTAGTGCAGTGTTTCTCAACCTTGGAAGCTTGAAGATGGGTGGACTTCAACTCCCAGAATCCTCCAGCCAGCGCTGCTGGCTGGGGGATTCTGGGAGTTGAAGTCCACCCATCTTTAAGCTTCCAAGGTTAAGAAACACTGCTTTAGTGGATATTAACCGTGTTCATCAAATGCGCTAAAAGCAAAGAGTCGCTTTATTTTTATTTTACCTGGTTTTTTTTCCCCTCAGGAGACTCTGAAGAAGAAGAATTGGGATTCCTGGAGGTACCAGTTTCAGATGCCAAACAGCTGCCGGAGTTGGGGCCGATGCCCGAAGGGTTAAACCCTCAGCAGGTTTGTTTAGGAAGTCAAACCTGAAATCTAAATTTGATTGAACTGGGATTTTTTTATTTGGGATTTTGGGGCCCTCTTTCTGCAAAGGGCCCTGTCTGCTGCAAACCAACCCTCCAGGACAGGAATCTCCAACCTTTCGGACCTCAGGAACCACTAAATTCATAATTTTAAATCCCGCGGACCTCTAATAGGATCTGCCTAATGACCAGCTGGGTGGGCGGGGCCTACTCAATGTCACTCACATTGAATGGGCATCTTGCAGGGTGGATAAAAATCAATGATTTTTTTAAAAAAATCAAAAAAATCAGATTTTTTTTATTTAAATTGGGTTTTTTTTATTTAAATCGGATTTTTTTTTATTTTTATCGAATTTATTTTAATAAAAAACTTTGGGGGTAAAAATCTATCGTAAAGATAGTTTTCTATTTAAGTTACATAAATAATTTAGTTTACTCAGCATGAAATGGAGCTTAGTTATGTAGCAGGAGGCTGTCTATTCTGCAACCCTGGGACTATCGGTGAGTCAACAGTGGGTCAAAGGAGTAGCAGAGATGACAGCTGCTCTTTAAAAATTATGATTTAAATCGAGTTGATTTAAATCAAGCCTTTTTACTAGTGATTTAAATCATGATCCACCCTGGCGCCTCGTCGGCCTCTACCCGCCCCTCCCCTCCCAGACACTCCTCCCCAGCCCGTCTGGGCTCCTTGGAGCCCCAACAGGAAGCAGTTGTTGGAGCTAAGCGGCCACCATGAGAAAGAGTTGGCAAAACAGCTGGCTTGGTTCAAATTGGATCTGGCCGAGAAGGAGGCTCAGCAGAAGCACCTCACTGAGGACTAGGAGCATAGGCTTTCCAAGCAAAGGGAAGACCTGCGGGAGTGCAAGGCCAGATACCGGCACCTAGAGGCTCAGTGGACTGAGATGGTCAGCCAGTTCCAGGCCATGATTCAGTCCCACTGGAACAAGGTCCTTCGGCTCTTTGCCACCAGCGGCTCTTCCCTCCAGCCTTCGCCCAAAGCCCCACGCCAGGAGGCCGAAGCAGACCCCAAGTCAGAATTTCTGCCCCCCTCCGACCCACACAAAAAGACCCCGAAGGGGGAGACTCTCTGCAGCAACACAAACATATCATTGCGTGTATCCGTCCCAGGGGCTGTAGTTTGAGGACCCCTGATTTAGTGCAATATAAAAAACGCAAATAATTTTTCCGCGGACCACCCAAATTTTCTCGTGGACCACCAGTTGTCCACGGACCACCAGTTGGTGACCGCTGCTCCAGGGGACATTTGAGTTTTTTTGAGACAAACACTACTGAGCTGGCAAATCTCCTCTTGTGGTGGGGAGTTCCACAAGCTGCCCTGTGGGCTTAATTCTGTGCCTCTTTTTTTCTCCCAGGTGATACGTCGTCACATCCTGGGCTCCATTGTGCAGAGTGAGAGGAGCTACGTGGACTCGCTTAGGCGCATTTTACAGGTATTTTGACTTTTTTTTTTGGCTCCTCTGAAGAGATGCTCTCTGGGTGCCCCTTTGGCCAATGGTGGGAAGCCAAACCTCACATGTTCTTGTTGATTCTGGCTTTGTAATACAGGTAGTCCTTGACCTATGACCACAATTGAGCCTAATATTTCTGTTCTTAATTGGTTAAGTGAGTTTTGCCTCCTTTTACCACCTTTCGTGCCACAGTTGTTAAGTGAATCACTGCAGTTTGTTAAGTTAGTAACGCAGTTGTTAAGCGAATCCAGCTTCCCCCGTTGACTTTGGTCGCAAAAGAGGATCACATGACCCCGGGACACTGCGATCCTTCATAAACATGATTCAGTTGCCAAGCATCAGAATTTTGATCGTGATCGAAGCGGTATTAAGTGTGGAAAATGGTCATAAGTCACTTTTTTCAGTCCTGTTGTAACTGTAACTGCTGGAACGGTCACTAAACGAATGGTTGTAAATCAAGGACTACCTGTACATCAATTCCATTGTCTTTTTTTTATTATTTTTTTAATTTGATTCATATGCCGCCCTTCTCCGGAGACTCAGGGCGGCTTACAATGCGTTAAGCAATAGCCTTCATACTTTTGTATATTTATACAAAGTCAGCTATAAAACTTTATACAAAGTTTTAATGACCCCATAATCCCTTGTAGGGTGGAGTCTGGGCAACTGAATGGAGATGAATGTTTACTGGCCGAATGCCCTCCCTGTCACCAGTACGGAGTTATATTCAGCAAATATATTCTCATTGTGCCCCTATAGAGAGAAATATCTGCCTCTACCTAGGATCGAACTCCCAGCCTCCTGATTGTGAGGCGAGAACTCCACCTCCACTGCACCACTGTACCTGTACATCAACATGATAACTCAAAAGATGGATGGGTTATCAGTGGTGTCTCCTGCCCTCTTCCAAACAGGATTATAGGAACCCCTTGATGGAGATGGAGCCCAAAGTCCTCAGTGCCAGGAAATGCCAAGTGGTCTTCTTCCGGGTCAAAGAGATCCTCCAATGCCACTCCATGTTCCAAATCGCCTTGTCTTCACGGGTGGTTGAGTGGGACTCCATGGAGAAGATCGGTGACCTCTTCGTGGCCTCGGTGAGCAATGATTAGACGTGGAATATGGCTGCCCGTCTCAAAAGATCTGACTTCTCCGAACCTTCTAGGGACTCTAGAAGTGAATCTTGGGGTCTCACTGTCCTCCATTTCTTCTCCAAAGTTCTCCAAGTCCATGGTCTTGGATGTGTACAGCGAATACGTCAACAACTTCACCAGTGCCATGTCCTTAATCAAGAAGGCCTGCTTGACCAAACCAGCTTTCTTGGAGTTCCTCAAGGTAAGAAGAATGGACATCACAAAAGTCCTGGACTGTGGGGCAAGACCCATCAAGGGGTTATTCCAGTGGTGAAATGTAAAATTTGTTACTACCGGTTCTGTGGGTGTGGCTTGGTGGGGGGGGTAATGTGACCGGGTGGGCATGGCCAACTTTTTTTTTTTTTTTTACTTTTAAAACCATTTTGCTTTTAAAAGCCTCTGACGATCCCAGCTGAGTTGCCGGATCATCAGAGGCTTTTTTTGCTTTTAAAAGCCTCTGACGATCCCAGCTGAGTTGCCAGATCATCAGAGGCTTTTTTTCTTTTAAAAGCCTCTGACGATCCCAGCTGAGCTGCCAGATCCATCAGAGGCTTTTTTTCTTTTAAAAGCCTCTGACGATCCCAGCTGAGTTGCCTGATTGTCAGAGGCTTTTTTTCTTTTAAAAGCTTCTGACGATCCCAGCTGAGCTGCCCGATATCAGAGGCTTTTTTTTTTTTTACTTTTAAAAGCATTTTTTCAACCGAAGAGGTTGTAGAAGAAATGCTTTTAAAAATTAAAAAAAAAGCCTCTGATGATCACACGGCTCAGCTGGGCATGGGGGCCCCAGGGATTTTTGCTACCGGTTCTCCGAACCACCCGCCACCATCGCTGCCGGATCGGGCGATCCGGTCTGAACCGGGAGTATTTCACCCCTGGGTTATTTTTAGTTTAGTGGTCATAGAGGTTTATCCCTCAACTTGGTTTCTCCAGACACATGACGGTTATCTCTCCGTCTCTTAACCCATCTGAACTTCGATGGATGAAGAACTCTTCCCTTGTCCTTGAAGTTTCAGCTATTGAGAAGGATGACGGTGGTTTTGATGGTTAGGAAAGCAACGACTGAAATGAAAGATAATTGGATTCGCTAACTAATCCATTCTGCAGCTAAATTGCATTTGAATATGAACGCATTGTGAGGATCTAATGGGGATATAATGAAAAATTGTGTTTGCTTTCTGCCGTTGAGTTTAGAAGTGTAAAAATTAATAATTTGAGTCTAATCTCCTGCTCCGTTCATTCGGGATCGGGTTTTTTTTTTTTTGGTAAACAATGGAGAAATATTGCAAAATTGGATGCAGCTGAAGAATTCCTGGATCCAAAACACACTTTAGGGTACAATTGTAGAGTAGAATGGTTCACTCCAACCCATCCTGAATTCATTCAGTTGGCAAGATGGTCCTAGACCCGTGATGGCGAACTTATGGTATGCGTGTCACAAGTGGCACGTGGAGCCACCTCTGCAGGCACCTGAGCCGTTCCTCTAGGTCAGCTCCACCGCGCATGTGTGTGGGCCTCCTGCCAGCCAGCTGATTTTCGGCTGGCTCCGCCCAGGCCACCCCTCCCCTCCCAGGAGTCTCTACCCGGCCCATTTTGTTATGCCAGGTAAGTGCAGGGCTCACCCGGAAGCTCTGGGAAAAAACTGGCCTACCGGAACTCCAGAAACGGGCCATTTCTGGCCTTCAGAGGGCCGGGGGAAGCCATTTTTGCCCTCCTGAGGCTCAGGGAAAGCCTCCAGAGCCTGGGGAGGGCAAAAAACAGGCCTACCGGAAGTCCGGAAATGGGCTGTTTTCTGGCCTCCGGAGGTTTCAGGGAGGCCTGCTAGGCCCAAAACAGGGCATAGGGGGGTCGCGCACGCATACGCAGGGGCTTGGGCAGCGCGGGGGTCACACACACCTGCGGGGGGGAATTGCATTATGGGTGTGGGCATGTGTGTGTGTGTTTTCGGCACCAGAGGAAAAAAAGGTTAGCCATCACTGTCCTAGACAGAGGTAGTTTTCACATAATTTTACCACCGATTCATGCATCGAAAATGTGAGCGTGCAGCCTTCTGTGCATGTGCTTTGCTCGCGTGCGCGGCTTGCACATATGCGCGCAGCTTAGAAAACGTGGCTAAATAGGACGGCATAGCGCCAGGGCAGGTGGGTGGACTCACCCACTCCCACCCGCCAATCGCCACTACTGGTTTTTCCAAACTGGCTGAATAACCTCCCACCGGCCAGTACGCTCGCACAGAGAGGGCCTCCTCAGGGTGCCGTCGGCCAAGCAATGTCGGCTGGCGGCCCCCAGGGGGAGAGCCTTCTCTGTGGGGGCACCCAACCTGTGGAATGAGCTACCTCCTGGAATACCACTGATCCCAGACCTCCGCGCTTTCCAAAAGGCCCTGAAGACTTATTTATTCCAACAAGCTGGCCTAGTTTAAAATGGTTTTAATGGGGTTTTTAAATTTTCGATTTTATTGATTCTGGGTTTTAAATTGGGAACTTTTCGAACTTTTGTAGATCTGGGATTTTAAGTTGGAAATGCCGATGATTTAATTTATTTTAGTTTTTTCTTAACTTTTGTACTATATGTGTTTTAAGTTTGGCTGTCCACCGCCCTGAGTCCCCCTGGGGAGAAGGGTGGTATACAAGTTGAATTAAATACATATATATATACCATCACTGGTCCTAGAGGCAGAGTTGACATTGAATAGGATAAGCCTTGCCGAGATGTGACAACTCAATGAAAGGCCCACAGATACATTGGAGAAGGAAGAAACAGACGTTTTCACATCTCAACCAAGCAGTTATAACTTCCTTTTTGCAGAAGAAGCAGATGGCCAGTCTTGACCGTGTCACACTTTATGGCTTGATGGTGAAGCCCATTCAAAGGTTCCCCCAGTTTATTCTTCTACTCCAGGTACCGTTTTTGTTTTCTTGGGGTTCTTGAATTAGGGAAGAACCATCTAGGTCAGTGTTGAACCCGGGCACGGCACAGAGGCGACACAGTCAGCTGACAGTTCAAACCGCCCCTTTATTGCTCCAAATGTTCCCAAAATGCTCCCACGTTTCTGGCAAGTCCCAGAACAGAGTGATAACAAACCCCCACACAAACCTCAAGCAGCCTCTGGCTGCAATTAGTCCAGCCCAACACTGTGAGCACAATGGCTGCAAAACATGAAATCCAGCAGGGCAAGGGAATAAGTAAATTAGTTCAGGAAGCAAAGGAACAAGGCTATTAATCCAGGAAGCAAGAAATAAAGCAAGAAGTCCAGTAAATGTCCGATGTCGGCAACGGCACACAATCCTCCATGAATTCAGTGTTTGTTCCCGACAAATGCCCCTCCCCACAGCATCTCCTTAAGTTTCAGTAACCCAGGTGTGCCTTGTGGAGAGGGGTGGGGTACTCTCCTCTCGAGTAGCCGGCTCAGTCTGCGCTGTTCTTGCCTTCTCTCCATTCTCCATGCTCGCGGATCAGGAGGGAATAGTCCTTGCTCATCACCTAAGCTCTGTCTCTCATGTTCACTGCTTAGCTTCTCTTGGTCATCCTGCCCTCGTTCCTCCTTGTCTACAAGCTGTCCCAATCCTGAAAGGCCCTGGCCTGACTCGGCCTGCTCCTCCCCATATTCCTTCAAAGCCTTGGTACTACAGTGGTTTAAAGCACCCTGTTATTAACACAGCTGCCTGCAATTTACTGCTGGTTCGAATCTCTCCAAGGCTCAAGGTTGACTCAGCCTTCCATCCTTTCTAAGGTAGGTTAAATGAGGACCCAGTTTGTGGGGGCAATAAGCTGACTTTGTATAAATATACAAAAGTATGAAGGCTATTGCTTAACGCACTGTAAGCCGCCCTGAGTCTCCGGAGAAGGGCGGCATATAAATCAAATTAAAAAAAAAAAAAAAGCCAACGAAGCCGACCCCTCGATCTCCGTCTGCTCCAGTTCCGGCTCGTCTTCCTCCGCAGATTCAGGCTCCGACGGGGACATGACAAGATCCATGTTTCTCAACCATTTGAAGATGGGTGGACTTCAACTCCCAGAATTCCCCAGCCAGTTTGAGTTGAAGTCCACCCATCTTCTAGTTCAGGGGTCGGTCGGCAGCCTGTGGCTCTGGAGCCGCATGTGGCTCTTTCATCCCTCTGCTGCGGCTCGCCAGTCAGCTCCACAATTGATAGGGCTTTCAGTTAGGACAGGTAGAGGAAAAAGGACACCGCACTAGGAGGGGAACCGGACATCCGGTTGGCTCCAGAATTGAACGGGAGCTTCCAGTTAGGGCCTTTGTGGCTCTTTGAGTGTTTAAGGTTGCCAACTCCTGTTCTAGTTTGTAAGGTTGAGAAACATGGATCTAGGTTACGCCAAGCAGAGGGAAAGGGTTGGCTTGGCACGTTGAGGAAACATCTGGAGTGGAACTGAGCATGGAACTCAGATGGCCCTCAATTGATTGGTCTGCTTCCAACCTTGTTCTGTCTTCCTTCCTACCAGGATATGCTGAAGAACACTCCAAAAGGACATGCTGACCGGTTGTCCCTCCAGCTTGCCCTAACAGAACTGGAGACCTTGGCTGAGAAGCTCAACGAGCAGAAGAGGTTGGCCGACCAGGTGGCTGAGATCCAGCAGCTGACCAAGAGCGTCAGCGAACGCAACCATCTCCATAAGGTGGGTGTGACTCTCAACAGGATGCCCAGCCCAGTGGTCAGTTCCAATTTCCTCCTGGATGTCCTTCGGATGACAACTTCCAGCACACAAGTGTGGTTGACATCTGCAAACATCTGGTGGACTTCTACAATAGGGGCCAAAATTGTGGAAGCCTTTTGGGAAAAGTGTATTTTCTAAAACTAGCTAATAACACCATTTTTTTTTTTTGGAGTAGTACCATTAATTTTTTATTTTTTTTAATTTGATTTATATGCCGCCCTTCTCCGGAGACTCAGGGCGGTTTACAATGCGTTAAGCAATAGCCTTCATTCTTTTGTATATTTATACAAAGTCAGCTTATTGCCCCCACAACTGGGTCCTCAATTTACCTACCTTAGAAAGGATGGAAGGCTGAGTCAACCTTGAGCCTTGGCGAGATTCGAACCTGCAGTAATTGCAGGCAGCTGGTCTTAATAACCAGCTTAATAACAGGGTGCCTTAGACCACTGTACTACCAAGGCTCTTAAATTATATATCCATGGAAAGATGATTTAATCAAGAATGTAACGCCATAACTTTTAAGAAGGATTTGCTATTAGAATAGCAGTGACAGTATAAAGAAGAAAAGTGAAGCACGTAGAAAAAGCAAGATAGACAAAAATGATCCCCATGTCAGTTAATACTTTGTGGGGTAACCTTTAGCATGATTGACGGCCTTACAACGTCTTCCCATGGAGTGAACCAAGTCTTTTAGTTCTGCAGCTGTTCTAATGTGAAACCAAGATGGAATGATGGCTTCTATGAACTGGGTTTTATTGCTGGGTTGCTTCTAACAAGTTTCTTTAGTCAGCTCCCTAGATTTTCAACTGGATTAAGATCTGGCCTATTCCCAGGCCATTCCAGCAGTGGAATAGGATTATCTTGAAACTCCCCCCCCAAAAAAGTGATGTTATTAGCCATCAAACCTCAAAAATACACTTTTCCCAGGGGTGAAATGCTCCCAGTTTGGATCGGATCGCCCGATCCAGTAGCGATGGCGGCGGGTGATTCGGAGAACCGGGAGCAAAAATCCCTGCCCCACCCCTACCCCCACCATGCCCAGCTGAGCCGCAGGATCATCAGAGGCTTTTTTTTACTTTTAAAAGCATTTTTTCTACAATCTCTTCTGACCAAAAAATGCTTTTAAAAGTAAAAAAAAAAGCCTCTGATGATCCTGCGGCTCAGCTGGGATCGTCAGAGGCTTTTCAAAGCATTTTTTTCTGCAACCTCTTGGCCAAAGAGGTGGTAAAAAAAATGCTTTGAAAAGTCTCTGACGATCCCAGCTGAGTTGCCTGATCGGCAGAGAGATATTTTTTAAAAAGCCTCTCTGACGATCTCAGCTGAGTTGCCTGATCGTCAGAGGCTTTTCAAAGCATTAGAAAAAATGCTTTGAAAAGTTTTTTTTTTTTAAAGTTGGCCATGCCCACCACCACCAAGCCACGCCCACAGAACCTGTAGTAACAAATTTTACATTTCACCCCTGACTTTTCCTAAAAGGTTTCCACAATTTTGGCCACTAATGTAAGTTCAGAAAACTTGCTTTGCTTTTGGTTGGCTCTGTGAGGGTCTTGTTTCAGGGGTGAAATTCTCCCATTTCGGACTGGTTCAGTCGAACCAGTAGCAATGGTGGCCGGTGGTTTGGAGAACCGGTAGTGATGGCGGTGCGAGGCTTCGCCCACCCGCCCGGTCATCGTTACTTCCTGGTTTTAACCAGGAAGTAACCTGTTTTTTACCCTCTGCGCACGCACTTGACGTGCACTTCCGAACCAGTAGGTAAGTTAAGTAGATTTCACCCCTGTCCTGTTTGGTTCCTGGAACAATTTTAGGGTTTACTTAAAATGGAAAGAGCCATGCAAGCAGAGAGAACGATTTTAACGCTTAAGGGCTCTAGGTTTCGGAACGTCCAGAGTGATCTGAGATGAACCTCCCACCTCTTCCGTACAGACGTATGACCGCCAAAATTTCCATTGCTAAGTGAGACAATTGTTCAGTGAGTTTTGCCTCATTTAGTCACCTGTCTTGCCAAAATTGTTAAGTGAATCATTGCAAATGTTAAGCGAATCACTGTAATTGTTAAGCGAATCGCTGCAATTGTTAAGCGAATCGCTGCAATTGTTAAGCGAATCACTGCAATTGTTAAGTGAATCATTGCAGTTGTTAAGTGAATCACTGCAATTGTTAAGTGAATCACACAGCTGTTAAGTGAATCACTGCAATTGTTAAGTGAATCACTGCAATTGTTAAGCGAATCTGCAATTGTTAAGCGAATCGCTGCAATTGTTAAGCGAATCACTGCAATTGTTAAGCGAATCATTGCAGTTGTTAAGCGAATCACTGCAATTGTTAAGTGAATCACACAACTGTAAGTGAATCACTGCAATTGTTAAGCGAATCACTGCAATTGTTAAGTGAATCACACAGCTGTTAAGTGAATCACTGCAATTGTTAAGTGAATCACACGGTTGTTAAGTGAACCTGGCTTCCCCATGGACTCCGCTTGTCGGAAGGTCACAAAAGGGGATCATGTGACCCCCGGGACACTGCGACCGTCATAAATATGAGTCAGCTGCCAAGCGTCTGAAGTTTGATCACATGACCATGGGGATGCTGCAACGGTCGTAAGGGTGAAAATGGCCATAAGTCACTATTTACAATGCCGTTGTAACTTTGAACGGCCACTTAAATGAACTGTTGTAAGTTGAGGACTACCCGTACAACAGAAGGTTTACCCGGAGGTTGCCTTCGCCTTGAGTTTAAAGCATCCACAAAATTTGCTTTAGTGTTGGGCTCCAAAATAAAAGCACAAAGTTCCCTGGGCGTTCTTTTTCCCGCCTCTTTTTCGAGGCTACATTTCAGGAAACCAAACTTTTAACTTGAAAATAAATAAAAGGTTTTGAAGCTGGCTAATATACTGTTATGTATGTACTGTATATCTCACTCACTCACTCACTCACTCTGTCTGTCATCCATCCACCATTTCTCTCTCTCTCTTTGTCTCTCTCTGTCTGTCTCTGTCTCTCTATCATCATATCTATCTATCTATCATTATCCATCCATCCATCCACCTACCCATCCATCATCTCTCTCTGTGTCTCTCTCATTATCTATCTATCTATCTATCTATCTATCTATCTATCTATCTATCTATCTATCTCTCTCTTTGTCTCTGTCTCTCTGTCTCTCTATCATTATCTATCCATCAATCTACCTATTTATCTATCTATCTATCTATCTCTATCTCTCTCTGTCTCTCTATCATCTATCTATCTATCATCCATCCATCCACCTATCCATCCATCATGTCTCTCTGTGTCTCTCTCTCTCATTATCTATCTATATATCTATCTATCTCTATATCTATCTATCTATCTATCTATCTATCTATCTATCTCTATCTATCTTATCTATCATCTTTCACACATCTAATTATCTATCATTATATCTATCTATCTATCTATCTATCTATCTATCTATCTATCTCTCTCTCTCTCTCTTTGTCTCTGTCTCTCTGTCTCTCTATCATTATCTATCCATCAATCTACCTATTTATCTATCTATCTATCTATCTCTATCTCTCTCTGTCTCTCTATCATCTATCTATCTATCATCCATCCATCCACCTATCCATCCATCATGTCTCTCTCTCTGTGTCTCTCTCTCTCATTATCTATCTATATATCTATCTATCTCTATATCTATCTATCTATCTATCTATCTATCTATCTATCTATCTATCTTATCTATCATCTTTCACACATCTAATTATCTATCATTATATCTATCTATCTATCTATCTATCTATCTATCTATCTATCTATCTATCATCCATCCATCCACCTATCCATCCATCATGTCTCTCTCTGTCTCTCTCTGTGTCTCTCTCTCTCATTATCTATCTATCTATCTTATCTATCTATCATCTTTCACACATCTAATTATCTATCATTATATCTATCTATCTATCTATCTATCTATCTATCTATCTATCTATCTATCTAATCTGTCACACACGCATGTAATTATACAGTATCTATCTATCCATCCATCCACCCATCCATCCATCATTTTTATCTATCTATCTATCTATCTATCTATCTATCTATCTATCTATCTATCTATCTATCTATCTATCTATCTCTATCTCTATCTCTATCTCTATCTCTATCTCTCTTTGTCTTTCTCTGTCTCTCTGTCATTATCTCTCTCTCTCTCTCTCTCTCTCTCTCTCTCTATCTGACACAACCTCCCCACTGAGCTGATCCATTTCACAGCTTACACAACAAAGTAGATTTCCCCAAACCCGCTTCCGATCTGAACCGTTAAGACACATCCTTAATTGGCTTCCTCCGAGCAAAGCAATCCTTTCATTTAAAAAAAAAAATTCTATTAATTCCATAGCATTCTGTGGCTTGGCCTTTAGTTTGTCAACAAATAATGATTAAATCCACCGGGTTCATGAACAATATCAGAAGTACAGTTCCCTATTCTTTTTTTTTTCTTTCCTGTTTTCTTTTTTCCTCCAGGGAAAATAGCCTTTAAAAACGGAGATTTTTTTTTCCCCCGCTCGGGTTGTTTTCGGATAAGGCCAAAAAGGTTCCGTTTTGCTTTGTAATTTTATTTTTTGTTTTGCTTTGTTTTCCCTTCCCCCAGTTGTTAAATTCGGGGCAACGGCAGCTATTATTCTGCGAGACCCTGACGGAGACCGTTTATGGCGACCGAGGTCAACTTATCAAATCCAAGGAACGGAAGGTGTTTCTTTTGAATGATGTGTTAGTGTGCGCCAACATCAACTTCAAGTGAGTGCCTGTCAAGAGTTGTGTGTCACAGAGAGAAGGGCACACGCGGGGAGGTTGTGATCCAGCACGTGTCCGAACAGAAATAGAAATTTAAAATGCAAAGGGGTTTTGCTGGCCTTCCTTGGCATTCTTTGGCCTCTGCAAACAGGTCTGAATTTTCTGCCCTGCGTAGAATTATTGGCAGACCGTGTGAGAATTATTCCTTGCTCAAATGTGTGTGGTTGTGTATGGGGGGGGCGGGTTGTCACTCCAGAAGGCTGGTGCATTGTTCAAAAAGCGGAAAATGTTTTATTTCCAGAGTCCGAGGGTTTAGGACAGGGCTTTCCAATCTTGGCAACTTTTAAGACTTGTGGACTTCAACTCCCAGAATTCCTCACCGTGTCTAAGGGGGGGGGATTCTGGGAGTTGAAGTCCAGGGGTGGGGCTGCTGTGGGTTCGCAAGGGTTCGGGAGAACCCCTAGCTAAGATTCTGTGCAGTTCAAAGAACCCCCAAATCCCACTCCTGGCTGGCCCCTCCCACCCCTCCCCTCCCGTCCCAGGAGTCCCCACATGGCTCATTTTGGATGCAGGTAAGTGCAGGGCATGCGAAGAGGCTCGGGGAGGGCAAAAAATGGGCCTTTGGGAAGGCCAGAAATGGGCTCATTTCCAGCCTCCAGAGGTCCTCCAGAGCCTGGGGAGACTGTTTTCGCCCTCCCGGAGGCTCAAGAAAAGCCTCTGGAGCCCAGGGAGGGAAAAAAACGCCCTCTCCCATGGTACAGGTGGCCAATTAGGCCACGCCCCCCATGGCCACCCCCCCCCAGCAACCAGACAGAGAACCCCTTGCTAAAATTTTTGAAGCCCACCCCTGCCGAAGTCTTAAACATTGCCAAGGTTGGAGTCCCCCGCTTTATATGGGGAGGAAGAGCCCAAAACCAAGAATGCAAATAGAAGCAAGAATTAATTTTGGGGGGGGCGGGGGGGTGGGTTGGCATTAAATCCTTCAGCTGCTCCAAACTGCCAAGGAATTTTAATTTTTATTCTAAAATTAAAATGGAGGAGAATGAGATAACGACTTTTTCCTTTGATGTTTCTCTTTGCCAGGCCTGTGAACACCGGGTAGGATGTGAATGACAGGTTGGAGAGAGGGGTGCAGTGGTTGTGTGAACGGCTGCGAATGCATGCACTTTTGAAGCATCTTGGTGTTGATTTGTGGGGCTGTAGCGCCCAGCAGTGGCGGCGTTTTGCATTGTTGTGTTTTTTAAAACAATATTCCAGTCTGGGGGCGTGTGTGCATTTTTCTACAAGCAGTCCTCGACTTAACTTAGACTTAGAAATTCGAATAATAAATAAATAAATAATAAATAAATAATAAATAATAAATAATAACAACCGTTCATTTAGGAACCGTTCAAAGTTACAACCGCACTGAAAAAAAACCTGACTCGCAACCAGTCTTGCACCTATGGCTGTTCGCGTGAGGATGTTGTGAAATACATCCTCAACCAGGATATATTTCAAACATCCCAGGGCTGGTCCAATCTCTGCTTGCCACCTGTTCCGACCTAGGCTTCACCAAATCACGGAACAGACTCCTTGTCCCGAAAAAAACACACACCTCTTTTTGTGCATTCACACTGCTAATGTGAATTCATAGCACTTCACATCCAGAAAAGTCCCGGCAAACAGTCTTTCAAGGGTGAATTGCAACCACAGAACTTATCAGTCCTTGGCTAGTTGCCAGGCCGATAGCTTCCAGGCGCCACGCTGAACAAGGAAATACTTGGCAAGGAGTCTCTCAGATAAGCAAATCTTCACACTAATAAACAAATAAAATTGTTCCTTGCAAACACCACTCCCCTTTCGCTCCTCTTTTATTCCCTCTGAGAGGGGCCATTTATCGTCCACCTGTGGCTTTACTCCTGAGTCGACCCTTGTTCTTTAGCTGTTCCCTTTGTCTGGCAACTCTGTGCATGTGCACACTGGGAACAGGCTCCAGTTGTTCCTCTGCCTCACTGATGTCTGACTCCGAAGGCAGCTGATAACTGGCAGACGGCCCTGGCTTCCTCTCTGCCTCTGACGCAGAGCCCTCATCAGAGCCTTCCCCAGACTCCAGGACTGGCCCATGTTCCTCCCCAGCTTCCTCACTGTCCGAATCTGCTACCAGTTCCGCTGGCGGGCCACAACACTGTATTCTCCTTCCCCTTGCATGTCTTTGTAGTGTGTCTTACGGCTCAATTCAAGAATTATATTCTTGCAAAATCTGCTCGGTGCTTTGAGGATTTCGGAGTGTGGCTTGCAGATTTTCCTGGGCTGCTATTTTGGTTGTTATGGACCTGGAAGCAGAGAGTATCCATCCTGTTGTTGTTGTTTTAAAATATCTGGGCTTTCTTTCTCACAGGGGGCAGCTCGAGATCAGCAGTCTGGTCCCTTTGGGGCCCAAGTATATCGTGAAGTGGAACGCAGCCTTGCCCCAGGTTCAGGTCCTAGAAGTGGGGCAGGAGAGCAGCGCCAAGGAGAAAGACGGTGTCGCCATCCCAAACGTGGGCTCCAAGAAACCGGTGCCACCCAGCCAGTCTGGCCACAGTAAGGAAATTTCTCTCCTTTTCCCATGGTTCAAAACAGCCAGCTCAGGAGAGGGAGGGAGACGAGACATGAATGATCAAGGCAGTTGGTCCTTCACCCCTAAAAAAAAAAAATCTCCTTTTTAAATCTTTCTTGGATAAATCCTTTTTCCTTTTGGGAGCACCCAGTGCAAAGATCATCTGAAATGTTTTGTAAACTCTGTTTTGAGCCAACTTAGGTGGCTTGTAAATTCTCAAGACTCTTTTTTTTCCTCTGTGTATTCAAAATGGACTGTGATTAATCTCTCTCTCTCTCTCTCTCTCTCTCTCATCTGTCACACACGCATGTAATTATATCTATCCATCCATCCACCCTCCATCCATCATTTTTCTCAAACATCTGTCTGTCTATCTGTCTATCTATCTATCTATCTATCTATCTATCTATCTATCTATCTATCTATCTTCTATCTATCATCTCTATATCTATCTATCAATCATCTCTCACACATCTAATTATCAATCATCTCTATATCTATCTATCAATCATCTCTCACACATCTAATTATCTATCATCTCTATATCTATCAATCATCTCTCACACATCTAATTATCAATCATCTCTATATCTATCAATCATCTCTCACACATCTAATTATCATCTCTATATCTATCTATCATCTCTCACACATCTAATTATCTATCATTATATCTATCTAATCTGTCACACATGCATGTAATTATATCTATCCATCCATCCACCCACCATCTATCCATCATTTTTCTCAAACTATCTATCTATCTATCTATCTATCTATCTATCTATCTATCTATCTATCTATCTATTTATCTATCTATCTATCTCCATCCATCCATCCATCCATCATCCATCATTTTTCTTAAACATATCTATATATCTATATCTATATCTACAGTATCTCTCTCTCTCTCTCTATATATATATATATAATCTCTGTCACACGCATGTAATTATATCCATCCATCCATCCACCATCCATCCATCATTTTTCTCAAACGTCTGTCTGTCTGTCAGTCTGTCTATCTCTGTCTATCTATCTATCTCTATCTGTCTGTCTGTCTGTCTATCTATCTATCTATCTATCTATCTATCTATCTATCTATCTATCTATCTATCTATCTATCATCTCTCACACATCTAATTATTTACCTATCATCTCTATCTCTATCCATCCATCCATCCATCCATCCATCTATCATCTTACATTTTACCTGTCGGTCGGTCTATTATCTTGTCTGTCTGTCTGTCTGTCTATCTATCCATCTACTGGTATCTAACTTTGTCTCTATCTCTTTTATGTCTTCTATCTATCATCTACTGTATCTATCATCTATTGCCCAATTGGAAGATGTGAAATGCTTGGGAAATGATTTTTCCAATATTTCTCCTGAAAGGGGGCCCAGCATTCAACAGGCTGCCCCTCCTGAATTTAAACTGAAGAGAAATTTTTGAATTTTATTTTTAAAGCTGTTAGGCACCCTGTAAAATTCAAAGAGCATCCTTTTTTTAAAAAAAGTCAATAGCGTTTAGTATGGGTTCAGTATGATGCATCCATTACCTGAGTTTGCTAGTATAGTTAGTCTTCAACTTAAGACCATAATGGAACCTAATTGTAAGTCACGACAATAGATAGATAGATAGATAGATAGATAGATAGATAGATAGATAGATAGATAGATAACTTTATTGTACATTATACACAGTCTACCCATACAACAAAATTCACTTAACACCCAAAGACCAGGTCCAACACACATAACAATCCCCAAACACACTCCCACCCACCACAATTCTCCACCCCTAAACCACCCAAACATCCACACAACAGACCCAAGTAATTCTGTCCAACAGCTCACTGATGGTGGCCCTTTAGTTCATTGTTGAGTGCAATTATAGCTCTGGGATAAAAACTATTCAGAAGACGTGTGGTCTGAGTTTTAATTGTTCTGTATCTTCTGCCAGAAGGCAATAGTCCAAAAAGCAGGATGGGAAGAGTCTCTGAGAATGCTATGCAACTTCCTCCAACAGTGAGATTCGAAGATGTCGTCCAGGGCTGGTAGCTGGAGCCCGATGATATTCTGGGCAGTTTTAATGATTCTCTGTAGAGGTTTTTTGTCCGCTACAGAGCTGCTCCCATACCATGCAAGAATGCCGTATGTCAGGACACTCTCAGTGGTGCTGCGATAGTAGGACAGAAGGAGATGCTGAGATAGTAGATTGATCTTCCTGAGGTCGTGTGGCCATAATTGCAGTTGTGTTGCCAAGAATTTTGGATCTGGGTCATAAGTAGCCCCCAAATAACAGCGTAACTTTGAACGTCTGCTTAGAGACCGGACTACCTGTATTGGGAATAAAAGAAAGAAAAAGACATATTTGAAACGCAATTGTCCTGGGAAAGGCTGAGTATGTACACTCTAGGCAAGGAGACTCTCTGGTCATGGTGTTCCTTAAAATCCAAGTTTGCCTCCTTCAGATAAAGTTTATTTGGGACCTCCGCGCCTGTTTCAGGAGCTTCAGGATCTGCAAAAGGATCTGGCTGTGGTGCAACAGATCACTCTTTTAATCAGCACCCTCCATGGCACCTACCAGGTGAGTCCACTTCGGGGGAATCTGAGAGAATTTTGAGCAGTTCGTAGAACCAGTAGCAGAAATTTTGAATAGTTCGGAGAACCAGCAAATACCACCTCTTGCTGGCCCCAGAGTGGGGTGGGAATGGAGATTTTGCAGCATCCTTCCCCTGCCACGCCCACCAAGCCATGCCCACAGAACCAGTAGTAAAAAAAAATTGGATTTCACCACTGGTTCAAGCCCATCTCTCCCTCTCCGGGGGAAGTGAAGCCACTTGCAGAATCCTGTAGTTTTTTCAGAGGTCTTTTAAGGCTGCTTTGACGGCTTTGCAGCTCCTCCTCACAGGACAACTGCTTGGATTTTTACTCAATCCTTTGGACCAAGTAAGGAATAAATGCATGCAGCATGTTCTAAATATGTGGAGAACAGAGAGGAAAGGATACTGGCATGCTTTATTCTGTCTGATGAGCTGAAGAGCTGATGTATTGATGCTAATTTATTGATCAGCTCGGGATTCTGGGTGGGTTAGCTTTTGAGGAATTAAAAAGGGTAGGCTTTAGAGAAACTCCAGCAAGCACATGATGTGTAAATACAGGTAGTCCTCGACTTACGTCGACAGTTGAGCTCCAAATTTCTGTGGCTAAGCAAGGCAATTGTTAAGTCAGTTTTGCCCCATTTTATGACTTTTCTAGTCACAATTGTTAAATGAATCAGTGCAAGTTGTTAAGTTAGTCACACGATTGTAAATCAAGTCTGGCTTCCCCGTTGACTTTGCTTGTCGGAAGGTCGCAAAAGGGAATCACAAGACTCCTGGGATTCTGCGACCGTCATAATATGAGTCAGTTGCCAAGTGACCAAGGTTTGATCATGTGACCATGGGAGTGTTGCAACGGTTGTGTGAAAAATGGTCATAAGTGTGAAAAACAGTCATAAGCCACTTTTTTTCAGTCCCATCGTAACTGTGAACGGTCACTAAACAGATGGTTGTAAGTTGAGGACTATCTGTACTGTTCTTGAGCAATGGAGAGAAACCTTAGAGACTCCTTTCCGTCAAAATCCCTGATATGTCTTTCAATCATAATTGGAGGATTTGCTCTCAACTGTCAGCTCACAAAACATCCCTGGCCTGCTCTCGAGTTGCCATAGGCAAGGGGGATGGGAAACTGACGAAACAGCATGGCAGCCAAAGACAGATGCACATTCCAGACTGATCTCTCTCAAGGCTGTCTCCCAGGGTTACCCACAGCAGCAGGAGGGGAGTGATCTCCACAACCCGCGAAATTGCTCCATTGGCGAATGTGATTGATTGACACACCCTGGGGGGAGGGGGGAAACAGGGCCATGATTGGGGCGTAAATTACATGGGGGTCAGAGTTGGCTTCACTTGGGAACTTGCGGACATGAAGCTCCTAATAAATAACTGGATTTCTTTTGAAGCTTGGCTCGAGGCTCATGATTTAATTAGGGCATCCTTTGGAACCCTGACATCAACCCTGTCATCCTTGAAGTCCACAGTTCAGATTCATGATATCTTCCCAGGCTGTACCCCTGAATAAGGATCCCTATTGAATTAATTTTCTTTTTCCACTTGCCTTCCAGAACCTGAACATGACGGTGGCCCAAGACTGGTGCTTAGCTCTGCAGAGGATGATGAGGGTGAAGGAAGAGGAGATCCACTCGGCCAACAAATGCCGCCTCCGTCTCTTACTTCCTGGAAAGCCCGACAAGTACGTGGGACGGTTTATGTGCTAAGGCTGGCTCGAGAGAACCCATAATGACATTAATGAAGCCCGCCCACCCATGACTCTAGCATCAGCTCATCCTTCCATGGCGGCTTCATTTCCACCAAAGCCAGAAGTGGGTGACCCACCTCTTGTCAAGCTGTGTCTTCAATCAATCAGAATAGAGATGGAAGGGACCTTGGAGGTCTTCTAGTCCAACCCTCTACCTAGGCAGGAAACCCACTTCAGACAAATTGTTATTCAGTCTCTTCTTAAATACTTCCAGTGTTGGAGCATTCACAACTTCTGTTCTATTGGTTAATTGTCCTCACTGTTAGGAAGTTTCTCCTTAGTTCTAGGTTGCTTCTCTCCTTGATGAGTTTCCACCCGTTGCTTCTTGCCCTGCCCTCAGGTGCTTTGGAGAATAGCTTGACTCCCTCTTCTTTGGGGCAGCCCCTGAGAGATTGGAAGACTGCTATCATTTCACCCCTAGTCCTCCTTTTCATTAAACTAGACATACCCAGTTCCTGCAACCGTTCTTCGTATGTTTTAGTCTCCTGGCCTTTAATCATCCTAGTGGCTAGGAATAGAATAGAATAGAATAGAATAGAATAGAATAGAATAGAATAGAATAGAATAGAATAGAATAGAATAGAATAGAATAGAAATAAGGAATGGAATGGAATGGAATGGAATGGAATGGAATAGAATAGAATAGAATAGAATAGAATAGAATAGAATAGAATAGAATAGAATAGAATAGAATAGAATAGAATAGAAATAAGGAATGGAATGGAATAGAATAGAATAGAATAGAAATAAGGAATGGAATGGAATGGAATGGAATAGAATAGAATAGAATAGAATAGAATAGAATAGAATAGAATAGAATAGAATAGAATAGAAATAAGGAATGGAATCGAATCGAATAGAATCGAATCGAATAGAATAGAAATAATGGAATGGAATGGAATGGAATGGAATGGAATGGAATGGAATAGAATAGAATAGAATAGAATAGAATAGAATAGAACAGAACAGAACAGAACAGAACAGAACAGAACAGAACAGAATACAGTACAGTACAGTACAGTACAGTACAGTACACTACAGTACAATACAATACAATACAATACAATACAATACAATACAATACAATACAATACAATACAATAGAATTCTTTATTGGCCAAGTGTGATTGGACATGGCATATAAAGGCAGAGATTGCTGTAATGGTAGTTTAATACTCTGACGATGTCAGCAGATGACTGCCGAAAGCTTAGTAAAATAAAATTGTAATTATTTTAAAATTTTAAGTTCCGGAGCTCGCAGGATGTCTGCTTCTTTCTTTACTAATATACCTGGAACTCGTATTTTTAGAATAGTTTGTAATATTTATTTATATTGACAGGTCTGGTCGTCCCGTCAGCGTCATGGTGGTATTCATCACGCCCAATCCACTCAGCAAAATTTCCTGGGTGAATCATTTGCACTTGGCCAAAATTGCCCTCCGTGAGTAAATCACCTTCGCTTCGCTATTCCTTGGTTCGATGCTCCTTCGTAACGCAGTACAGTTAGTCCTCGACTTACAACCATTCGTTTAGCGGCAGTTCAGAGTTACAGCGGCCTTGGAAAACAAAAAGTGACTCGGGCAGGATCCAATCTGAGTCGCTCGCCGGGATTTAACGTGATGAAAGTGCGAGGAATTGTCATAAAGTGACTTAACGACAGTCCTCGCACTTACAACCAGTAAGTGACCCCAATGGTCACGTGATCAGAATTCAGGTGCTATGGGGCCGCTGGCATGTACTTACGACAGTTGCGGTGTCCCACAGTTGTGGGATCACTATTTGCCAGCGGCTGAAAAAGCAGTGGCGGACGCTGGATTTGTTTAACTGCCCGATTTCACTTGAACAACTAAATCAAACAATGTCTTTAAGCTGCCTTGTGTTTGCCTTCGGTGAAATGGGCAGCATACAAATTGAACGAATGAATGAACGAAGTGCAATGATTAGTTTAACAACCATGGCAAAAGTATTCGTGAGCCACGGTGGCGCAGTGGTTAGAGTCGGCTACTGCAGGCTACTTCTGCTGCCTGCCGGCTGCCTGCAATTTGGCAGTTTGAATCTCACCAGGTTCAAGGTGGACTCGGCCTTCCGTCTTTCTGAAGTGGGTAAAATGAGGACCCAAATTGTTCTGGGGGCAAGAGGCTGACTCTGTAAACCGCTTAGAGAGGGATGTAAAGCACTGTGAAGCGGTATATAAGTCTAAGTGCTATTGCTATCTATCTTCCTTCCTTCCTTCCTTCCTTCCTTCCTTCCTTCCTTCCTTCCTTCCTTCCTTCCTTCCTTCCTTCCTTCCTTCCTTCCTTGTGATTAGAATGCAATTTTGCAAGCTCTGTCCACTGACAGCAGTTTGATCCTGACAGGCTCAAGGTTGACTCAGCCTTCCATCCTTCCGAAGTGGGTAAAATGAGGACCCAAATTGTTGGGGGCCATAGGCTGACTCTGTAAACCGCTTAGAGAGGGATGTAAAAGCACTGTGAAGCGGTATATAAGTCTTAAGTGCTATTGCTATCTCCCTCCCTCCCTCCCTCCCTCCTTCCTTCCTTCCTTCCTTCTTTCCTTCCTTCCTTGTATTTAGAATGCAATATTGCAAGCTCTGTCCACTGACAGCAGTTCGATCCTGACCGGCTCAAGGTTGACTCAGCCTTCCATCCTTCCGAGGTGGGTAAAATGAGGACCCAAATTGTTCTGGGGGCAATATATGCTGACTCTGTAAACCGCTTAGATAGGGCTGTAAAGCACTGTGAAGCTGGCTTGATCCCATCCGTTTCGGTTTTAATTTGAAATTGGTTTTAATTGGGTTTTTTAAATTGTGGGCCGAAATTATTTAATTACCTTTTAAACTATTTTTTAAATTTTGTATGCTCTGTTTTATCTCGGCTGTTCACCGCCCTGAGTCCTGCTGGAGAAGGGCAGTATACAAATCAAATAAATAATAGTAATAATAATAATATATAAGTGCTATTGCTAAATAGGTTGCAACCACAATGCTTAACAACCACACTGCTTAACAATGGAAAAGTTTGTAGAGATTCTCAGTCGTCTAGGCCATGGATGCCCCAAAGGTGATTTTTTAAGAGGCAATTGGACTTTCTGGGTTTTTTTCCCCTCTTTGAAGACGTTTCGCTTCTCATCCAAGAAGCTTCTTCAGCTCTGACAGCATAGTGGGGAACGGAAGGATTTATATTCCTTGCAGACAGCTGGTCGTTGGCATCTGGAGGTTTATCTGTGTCCTTAGAATCACCTGAGTTATGCTCCTGCTTCCTGTAGTCTGCAATTTTTTTTTTACTTCTGGAAATCCATCCCTACTCCCACACCATTCCAAGGGGAGGGTTCGTCCCAAATTGTATAGCTAAAAACCTGTAGAGATTCTCCAGTCCTCCAGATCACAGTGCTTTTTTTTTTTTTTTCAACTGGACTTTCCTGGTTTAACGATGGAAATTCTGGTCCCAACTTTGGTCATTAAGTCGAGGACTGTTCCTGCAGAAGCTTTGGAAAAAAACAAACAGTTAATGTGATTATCAGGAACCCCATGTGTGAGCTCCTGCTAAAATATTCAGTAAGCTGTTCTTTCTTTCTTTTTTTATGGCTTATGTTTTAATATTTTCTGTAATTAAAGTGCTGAGCTGCCACTCCCAAAGCACGTGGCAGAGAGGAGAAATTAATTGCTTATCTCTCCGTGGGTGATGGGGCTTTTCCCACCCCCCACCCCCGAATATTCCATAAAGAAATCCATCAAAGTTTGTAACTTTTAGGGGTCTCCTGCGTTCGGTCCTCCCTTCTTCCCTGCATCCCTTAATGAGATAACTTTAGGTGAAGAGAGGCTTAAATTTGCTTCGTCTGTTTTAAAATTTTATTAATGAAGTGTGGCAAACAAACAAGGGAAGAGCGATACAGTCTGCTTAAATTTTTATTAATGAAGTGTAGCGAATAAAAGAATAATGCATTAATGATAATGCGATAAGCAGCGACATACATTATTTCCCCGCCGATCACAGCAACTTTTTTAAGAGTTCTGAAAATGGAAGCTCCCGCAACTTAAATCTTGCCAGGGCTGAGAAACACTGCATTAAAATGAAAATTAAGAGGGGTGGGTGGGTGGGGAATGTGAATTTAGAAAGGAAAAAAAAAATCCTACATGCTGCTAATATAACACTGATTCAGTCCTCAATCCTATTGTATCTACCGAGTTTCCCCAAAAATAAGACCCTGGTCTTATATTTTTTTTGAACCCTGAAATACGCGCTTGGCCTTATTGCCATGCATTCAAAAGCCCGATTGGGCTTATTATCAGGGGGTGTCTTATTTTGGGGGAAGCGAAATAAATCATATAAAAAAATACTGCCAGATCTTTCCCTTTTTATAAGAGGAAGACTTTTCAGAAACGGATGAAAACATCACCTTTGCAGAGATGATGGACGGCCGTATCAATCTGATTGATCGATAAAAATAATTAATCAATAAAACTTTACTGTACACACTTTTTTTTAGCTGCAGGAGAGGACAGGGGACAGGGCTGGATGTCGGTTCCTTCCCTTGTTGGCCTCCTTTTTAGTTATTGAGTGTGTCTGTACTTCTAAAGATCATGAGTCAACCTTCATTTAAGGAATCCTAAGAAACCCCGATCGATAAAATTATTCACTTCCTTTGCAAGGAGCACGGTGTGGGGAAATCTACATTATTATTAGTGTTTCTAAAATCGGCAAGCTGTGGCTCTGGGGTGCTGGACCATCTGTGGTCCTTTATGTGCATTTGAGGAGAGGGCAGTCAGAAAATTTATCATTTTTATCCATGGCTGGCACAACCCAGACAGCTCTTCCAGGCTTCTGTGAAGGGCATTCTCATTCTGCTTCACTTCACAGATGGGCAGTTGACCAAGGTTGACTGTTGACCAAGGTTGACTCTTGGTCAAGGTTGACTGTTGGCCAAAGTTGACTGCTAATCAAGGTTCACTGTTGACCAAGGTTGACTGTTGGTCAGAGTTGACTGTTGGTCAAGGTTGACTTGGCCAAAGTTGATTGCTAATCAAGGTTGACTGTTGACCAAGGTTGACTGTTGGTCAGAGTTGACTGTTGGTCAAGGTTGACTTGGCCAAAGTTGATTGCTAATCAAGGTTGACTGTTGACCAAGGTTGACTGTTGGCCAAAGTTGACTATTGACCAAGGTTGACTGTTGACCAATAGCAATAGCTACGTGCTATTGCTATTGGTCAACAGTCAACCTTGGTCAATAGTTATATACAGTTTCACAGTGCTTTACAGCCCTCTCTAAGCGGTTTACAGAGTCAGCATATTGTCCCCAACAATCTGGGTTCTCATTTTACCGACCTCAGAAGGATGGAAGGCTGAATCAACCTTGAGCCAGTGAGACCCGAACTGCCAAATGCTGACAGCTGATAATCAGCAGAAGTAGCCTACAGGTACTGCATTCTAACCACTGCACCACCGCAGCTCAAGGACCAAGGTTGACTGTTGTTCAAGGTTGACTGTTGTCCAAGGTTAACTGTTGGCCAAGGTTGACTGTTGTTCAAGGTTGACTGTTGGTCAAGGTTGACTATTGACCAGGGTTGACCATTGGCCAAAGTTGACTGCTAACCAAAGTTGACTGTTGACCAAGGTTGATTGTTGGCTAAGGTTGACTGTTGATCAAGGTTGACTGTTGGCCAAGGTTAACTTTTGGTCGAGATTGATTGTTGGTTAAGGTTAACTGTTGGTCAAGCTTGATTGTTGGCCAAGGTTGACTGTTGGTCAAGGTTAACTGTTGATCAAGAATGATTGTTGATCACGGTTGACTGTTGACTAAAGTTGACTGGTGATCAAACTTGACAGTTGGCCAAGTCATAGGACACATTTGGACCTCACCCTTGGAAAGGGGAATTTTCCAACTCTTCTCTCTCCCCCTGCAGGGGAAGAAAACCAGCCTGGGTGGGTCTGCCCTGAAGAAGACAAGAAGAGCAAAGCCGCTTTCTGGTGTCCCATTTTGGTCTGTCACATCCCTGCCTTCTCCTCCAGGGCCCTTGACCTGCAGGTAAGGAGACCCCATCTCCTTGGCCCCATCTCAAGGGCCAACTTCTGACTCGTCTTTTGAAGGACTTGCATCTTCTTCTACTCTCTGTTACAGGTAGTCCTCAACTTTTGATTGGTCATTTAGCTGAAGTTACAGGTGACCCCCCCCACCCCACCCCAAAGCTACTTATGACCAGGTCCTAAAGTTACAGCTTACTGCAGTGCCCTCATGATCCTTCATCCTTACGACTGACCATCAGGATGCTTCAGTGTTCCCTCCACTTAGTTTTCCTAATGACCATCAAGACTTGGGAAGACTGTAATGATCAGGCTCCATTATGGTCATAGGTCGAGGACTTACCTGTAAAGCCATCCTTGCAATAGTGTTAACTCGCTCAGAGGTGCTTTGCAGAGAGATGGGCAGCGTACTATAAATCAATCATTCGCCCTTATTGCAAAAATCAATCAATCAATCCTGCGAAAGCCCTCAGAAAACCACCAATGGATGTTGGGGATGTGAAGGATGGCTATTATTTATTCAAATTTATTACAGCCACACAACTCCCCAATGGGTCACACACACCAGCGTGTGTTTCGGCTGGCTGCGTGTACCTTGCTGGATGTTGGAAAAACAGGTCTGGTAAGCAGGAAGTGTCAGCCATGTGTCTCAAAGGTGCTTTTTCCAAAGGCTGCTGGACTGTTTTTTGAAGAAGAAGAGGAGGAGGAGGAGGAAGAAGAAGATGGGGAGGAGGAGGAGGAAGAAAAGGAAGAAGAACAAAAGGAAGAGGAAGAAGAAGAGGAGGAGGAGGAAGAAGATGGGGAGGAGGAGAAGGAAGAGGAGGAGGAGGAGGAAGAAAAGGAAGAAGAACAAAAGGAAGAGGAAGGAGAAGAGGAGGAGGAGGAGGAGGTCCAGTTGCCTTTTGAAAAAACACCTTTGAGGCAATCATGACCTGGATGACTGAGAATCTCCATAGATAGTCAACCTGTGCATTTTGGTACAGTCCAAAGGCAAACGTTGGAAAGTTGTTCTTCGACAAACCTGTTGGAAAAGCCGCTTAAAAAAAAATCCACCTGTACAGCTCTTTAGCAGAATCCCACATAATTGGGCCTCTTCTGAAGAGGGTCTAAATATCATCCTTTTTTTAAAAAAAAAATAGCCCAGCTTTTTAGCTGCTGGTGGAACCTGTTTTTTCTTAAAGCATAAGTACCCAAAATAGTGTGATTACAGACAGACACTAGAGTGTCTACCATTTATTTATTTATTTACTTATTAGATTAGTTTGGGAAGGAAGGAAGGAAGGAAGGAAGGAAGGAAGGAAGGAAGGAAGGAAAATTGAGGGGAAGGAAGGAAGGAAGGAAGGAAGGAGAAGGAAAGTAGGAGAAGGAAGGAAGGAAAATTGAGAGGAAGGAAGGAAAGAAGGAAGGAAGGAGAAGGAAGAAAGTAGGAGAAGAAAGGATGAAGATTGAGGGAAAGGGAGGGAGGGAGGAACGGGAAAGTAGGAAAAGGAAGGAGAAAGATGGAGTGGGAGAAGGAAAGTAAGAAAAGGAAGGAAATAGAAAGATGGGGAGGGAGGGAAGGAAGGAGAAGGAAAGTAGAAGAAGGAAGGAAAATTGAGGGGAAGGAAGGAAAGAAGGAGAAGGAAGGAAGGAAGAGAAGAAAGGAAGAAGATTGAGGGGAAAGAAGGAAGGAAGGAAAGAAGGAGAAGGAAAGTAGGAGACGGAAGTAAGGAAAATTGAGAGGGAAGGAAAGAAGGAAGGAGAAGGAAGAAAGAAGAAAGAAAGGAGAAGAAAAGATTGAGGGGGAGGGAGGGAAGAAAGAAAGGGAGGAAGGAAGGAAGGGGAAAGTAGGAAAAGGAAGAAGAAAGATGGAGGGGAGGGGGAGAGAAGGGAGTGGGGAGGGAGGGAAGGAAGGAAGGAGAGGGAAAGTAGAAGAAGGAAGTAAGGAAAATTGAGGGGAAGGAAGGAAGATGGGAGGGACGAAGCAAGGAAGCAAGGGACATTTTCAATTCCAGAATGCAAGATTTCACCCAGTGTTGCTAATTGATTCCTTTTCTCTCCGCTTTCTGTTTTCTGGGGAGGTGGAAGAAAAATAGATTCAGCTGGAAAAAAAGAGAAAGCAGGCAGATAATTACCTTTTTTTTAAAAAAAACCAGACTTCTAGGCCCTCCCATTCCCTTTCTTTGGAACATCTGCTGTTTTTCCGAGGCAGTTGGGCCCCGTTCGGTTTTTCCCGGAGACTAATTTTAGTCCTCTGTTCCCGCTGCTCCTCTCAGCCCCTTCTCGGGCGGCTCTGCCTTAATTGAGTGTTTCCATTGATTGATTCTGTTGTTTTCCCAGATGTATTTTTAGCTGTTCTTAACAATTCCTTTCCTTTGTTTGAGACTGGTGGTGAAGATAATCGTTTTAGAAAGTTGGGCTTTACAGTCCCTTCGCCAAAGCTCGTTTCAAAGAGTTGTAAAACTCATCCTGTCCAATAACTCTCAGGTTTTTCTTCTTTTTTTCTCCCCTTCTGAATGGATTCCTACCTTCAGCTGGGGGCGGCCGTGCACAGCCCCGTCCAGTCTTCCTTGCTCGGATTCTCGGCCATCAGCACTTCTCTGCCACAGGGATATTTTTGGGTGAGTTTATGCAAAAACAGCATCTATTATGGCCTCGCGGACTGGAGGCTAAAACATAGGATGAACGGTTGCAGGAACTGGGCATGGCTAGTCTAGTGAAGAGAAGGACCAAGGGAGACAGGATAGTATCTTCCAATATTTGAGGGGCTGTCAGAGAGAGGAAGGGGGTCAAGCTATTCTTCTGTTCTGCCCCAGCTCCGGATTCCCAAGGATTGTGATACACACCAACAGTCCTTATCAAAGTTATAACATACCAAGAATAAACAAAGTCTGGCAAAGGTTGGCAACCAGCCCAGAAAACAAGATATGATAAGACACTCACTCTCCAAAATGCTCTGTAATAATTACACGTTGTTTCCAGCAAGAAATTACTAACTGCGTGCGATTTAAATAGGCTAAGGGAGTGGCTGATTATTCTCAAACCTTACTCTCGAGGAGACCTCCTCCTCCTGAGTAGCCACTCCTGCCTTTTGGCAGCCCTACGTGCTCGAGCATTGAGGAGAGGCTCCTCCACCTCACTCTCTCCACTTGAAGGAGCCTCTGGAGGTTCTGAAGGCCCAGGCTGAGTCTCTGCCTCTGGCACCACATCCTCTTCGGCCTCCTCGCTGTCTGATGCGAGCGCCGGCTGTGCAGGCTGCTGGCGCGACCCCACACTAGCCTCGTTGTCTGGATCAGCCACGATCCGCACAGACCGCTGGCGGGCCACAACATCTTCAAAGCACCAGAAGGCAGGACAAGAAGCAATGGATGGAAACTAATAAAGGAGAGGGGCAAGCTAAAGCTATAGAACCACACTATAAAAAAAGATGTTGAGACTCTAGAAAAAGTGCAGAGAAGAGCAACCAAGAGGATTAGGGGACTGGAGGCTAAAACATACAATGAACGGTTGCAGGAACCGGGCCTGGCTGGTCTAGTGAAGAGAAGGACCAGGGGAGACATGATAGCAGTCTTCCAACATTTGAGGGGCTGCCACAAAGAAGAAGGAGTCAAGCTATTTTCCAAGGCATCTGAAGGCCTCTTTCTTGCTCCTCTAGGTCGGAGGAGGTCAAGAGGGCGCCGGGGGTCAAGTGGAGATATTTTCCCTGAACCGGTCAGTGCCTCGTACAGTCAGGTCCTTCCCAGTGGCCTCGCAGGTCCTCTGCTTGGAGTACATCCCCGAAAGGGCCGAAGAGGAGCGAACGGAGGAGTCTCAAACAGCGGCCGACCAGCCGTTTCCAGCTCAGCCTGCCCTCTGCCTTGGCCTGCAAGACGGCAGGTGAGAAAGAGTCGGGGTCCTGGAAATAATTTGGGGGGGAGGGGCTTGGAGGGTTAGGAAGCCCCTCATATCTATGCTGGTCACCCCCATTGTGACATCGTCTGTTTAGCCTTCCTTTTGTGCTGGTCAGTCGAATGCTGGACACCCAGCATTCCCATAGTTACTTTTATTGTCATTGCATAATCTCGTGCAAAGAAATTAAATGCCCTCTTCAGTGTACATTATACATAAGGAAACGATAAAAAGAAACATAAAACGCAAACACACATCCTTCACGTTCTATACAATTGAATTGAAAACCCCTGATATTGCATTCATATTGCACTAAAAGGTAAAGGTTCTCCTCGCACATATGTGCTAGTCGTTCCCGACTCTAGGGGGCGGTGCACATCTCCGTTTCAAAGCCAAAGAGCCAGCGCTGTCCGAAGACGTCTCCGTGGTCATGTGACCGGCATGACTAAACGCCAAAGGCGCACGGAACGCTGTTACCTTCCCATCAAAGATGATCCCTATTTTTCTACTTGCATTTTTTTTTTAACGTGCTTTCGAACTGCTAGGTTGGCAGAAGCTGGGACAAGTCACGGGAGCTCACCCCGTTATGTGGCACTAGGGATTCGAACCGCCGAACTGCCGACCTTTCGACTGACAAGCTCAGTGTCTTAGCCACCGAGCCATTGCGTCCCATAATATTGCGCTATACGGTAGAATTCAATATAGATACTACTCTGGGATCGAAGCTGTTTTTCAGCCTATTTGACCTTGTTTTTAGTGTCCTGTACCGGCTGCCAGATGGTAATAGTTCAAAAAAAAAAAAAAAAAAAGGTTGCCCAAGATGAGATGGATCTTTAAGAATGTTTTGAACTTTCTTAAGGCAGCGGGAGCTATCAAGCTCTCCCAAAGAGGGGAGAGGGCAACCCATGATCCTCTGGGCAATGACGTTAAATCCTCTGGAACGCTGTCCTATCTGCCACTGTGCAATTGGCAAACCGTACACAGGTGCAAGTGAGTTAAAATACTCGTGCTGCTGATCTTTGATTTTCTATCTGTGGATTTTGAACCATCTCCACCCAGCCCCATTGCACTTCCTCGGAACGGGGAGGGAGAAGCCCTCTGCACGCGTTCAGAGGAGCGGTCCCAAATTGTCAGCGGCTAAGACGCTGAGCTTTGTCGATCAGAAAGGTCGGCGGTTCGAATCCCTAGTATGGGTCTCCTGCGTGAGCAGGGGGTTGGACTAGATGACCTCCAAGGCCCCTTCCAAACTCTGTTACCGTCTTCAATTCAAGGGAAAGGGATGAAACTACTCCTGCTGTTCCCTTCTCAGCCACTGGGGGGTGCCCTTTCAGTGCTAGTAAATAAATCTTCTGGCTCATGATGGGTTTTTAAGGTGAGTGGGGGTTTGTTCCCCTCTGCAGCATCTTGGCCTATAGCAGTCTGGACACAGGGGCTCAGTGTTTGCTGACCAGCCGAGCCCCTGGAGGCCACCCCATCCTCTGCTTGAAGCACAACGCCGATTACCTCTTTGCCGGACTCCAGAACGGGACGGTGGCGGTGTACTCCAGAATCAGTGGTGAGCATCTTTTTGTACCTGGATTTTTTCTACCTCGAGGTACATTTTCAGCAGAGCAATAGAGAGAGATAGAAGGAGGAGGAGGGAGATTGAAGGAAGGGAGAAGGAGAGAGAGGAGCAGAAGAAAGAGGAGAGGAGAGGAAGACAGGAAAGGGAAACAAGAGTAGGAGAGAAGGTTAGATAGAGGGAAGGAAGGGAGGAGGGGGAGAAAGGAAAGGGAAGTAGAGAAGGAATAGGAGAGGAGGGAAGAAGAAGGTAGAAAGGATGAAAGAAAGGGAGGAAGAGGAAGAGAAGAAAGACAAAATGTCTTATTTGTATGCTCTCTTTAAGAAAATATGTCTATGTATGATTAATTACGTATAAGAGAATGTACATTTACATTATTTGTATAAGAAATAAAAATTTGTGACACAAAAAAGAGGAAAGGGAGGAAAGGCATCCCCAAAAACGTTTAAATATATCGAGACAAAAAATGAACTATTTAAAAAAAAAAAATTAAAGGAGAATGTAAAACGATTAAGAATGGAAAAATAGAATTTGAGCGGGAAGAAGATACTGTTTATAGAAATAAGAAAAGAAAAATTAAAAATTGATGAATAAATATGGGAAAAGAACATTTTGGCAGAAACGGTAACAAAGTAAAATGCGTTTGAATATGATAAATTGTATATCATATGATGTGATATGGGCAATGCTCTGTTTCAAAAAAATATGTGGGTGTATATTGGGGGGGAAAAAACAATAAAACTTGTCCCCCCCTCCCAAAAAAAGGTGAATTTTCAGCACAAATCCCTTCTCCAAACTTCTTTTCCCAACACTATTCACATTGTTCCAAAATCCGGATGTTCCATTAGTGTCATACATTGTTTACTGGGAGATAGATACGCGTTTAAAAACAAACAGATTTGGCATTTTAAGTTGTTGTTGTTGTGTTTTTTTAATATAAACATTCCATCTTCCCTTAAGCAGTGTGTCGTCTGGGTACAAATCTCTTTTTTTTTGGAACATTTTTGAAAATAAGACATTTTAATTGCATTCGGGGTTGCTCTTCTACCGTTTCTTTTCCCTCATTTCACAACAAACCTTCTTCTCCTTCTTCCTTCCCCCTCCCTCCCTCCTCCTCTCCTTCCTCTTTCCTACTTCCCCTTCCTTTCCCCCTTTCTCTCCTTCTCTCCTACTCCTCTCCCCTGTCCTTTCTTCCTCTCCTTTCCCCTTTCTTCCATTCCTCTCTCTCCCTCTCCTCTTCTATTCCTCTGTTCCTCTCCCCTTTCTTTTTCCTTTGTTGAGGAATATATTCCCTCTTTGGTATCCGAGCAACTCCATTATTCTAATAATATATACTTTCTTTTCAATTTCTTTTCATGGGTACAAATATCTCTGTGCAATCACCATCAAAATTTACAACAGCATTCATTACATTGATATTGATTCTCTAACCTTACAATTGTAGTATTGAACCTAATAAACCTATGCATTTTTCCCTCTTAACATATCTTCTAATAAAAATATAATAATAATATTAAGCATAATAATCCTAATAGTCGTAATAATAACAATCATCATATTGTTTACATCTCTATCTTAACATATTTTCTACTCTTCTTTAATCTCCTTCTATTTCCAAATTCCATTTCTATTCTCTAATCATTGATAAAATAATTACCATATCATATAATATTCAGTTTGTGCCGGGGTGAAATGCTCCCGGTTTGGACCAGATCGCCCGATCCGGTAGCAATGGAGGCTGGTGGTTTGGAGATCCGGTAGCAATCATCAGAGGCTTTTTTATTTATTTTTAAAAGCATTTTGTCTACAACCTCTTTGGCCGAAAAAATGCTTTTAAAGCACAGCTTTAAAGCGCAGCTCAGCTGGGATCATCAGAGGCTTTTAAAAGCATTTTTTCTACAACCTCTTCGGCTGAAGAGATTATAGAAAAAATGTTTTTAAAATGAAAAAAAGCCTCTGCCGATCAGGCAAGTCAGCTGGGATCGTCAGAGGCTTTTAAAAGCAGTTTTTTTACAACCTCTTCAGCCGAAAAGGTTGTAGAAAAAATGGTTTTAAAAGTAAAAAAAAAAAAAAAAGTTGGCCACGCCCACTCAGTCATATTACACCCCCCCCACCAAGCCACGCCCACAGAACCGGTAGTAACAAATTTTACATTTCACCAGTGGTTTGTGCTTTCTCCTTAATTGCAAGCTAAATTAATCTGTTCATTTCTGCACATTCTAATATTTTCCTAATCACATTCTCATCAGTCGGGAATCTCTTCACTTTTCCAATTTTGTGCAAGTACAATTCTAGCTGCAGTTAATACTTGGATAATTAAATATGCATTCTCTTTACTATAAGTTTCAGGTAAAATCCCCCACCAAAAATATTTCTGGTTTTAAATCTATGTGCTGCTTTATCATCTTTTCCAGCCGTGTATGTATTTTTGTCCAGTATTTTTTTTTGCTTCTACACAGGAATTTTAAGTTTTCTTGTATAGTCCCATCAACCAAAGAATTATCTACATGGGCTGGCAGCGATTCTCCCTGGGAACCTAGAGACTTGAAAATAGGTGGAAAATAAGGTCCGTCATAAATTAGAACAGTCACTAAACAGCCATTCGTAAATGGAGGACTACCCATTGAACCACATCTCTATAAATTTATCCTAGAAGCAGTTGAGAAGTGTGGACGTAATACAGTCCACTCTGTTGAAACACCTAAGTGTCAGGGTTCCAAGTATTTGTTTTAAAAATACTTCCCCCCCCCCCAAAAAAATACAACTACTCCTTGAGGTGCAGCAGTTTGTTTAGTGACCGAAGTTACAAGGGCACAGAAAAAAATTGACTTAGGACCGCTTTTCACACTTAACGACCGTTGCAGCATCCCCGTGGTCACGTGATCAAAATTCAGGGCACTGACTCGTATTTATGACGATGGCAGTGACCCCGGGGTGGGGGTTTGGGGGTTACACGATTCCCCCTTTGGCGACTTTCTGACGAGCAAAATCCAGCAGGGGAGCCAAATTCATTTAATAACCGCATTACTAACTTGATACCTTGCAATGATTCACTTAATCACTGGGGCGAGAGAGAGGTCTTAAAATGGGGCATAACTCACTTAACGTCCCACTTAGCGTAGGCAATTTTGGAGCTCGGTTGTGGTTGTAAGTTGAAGACTGCCCCTATTACATTTTTCTCTTAGAGCCTTTACACGTCAGACTTCTATTCTTTTGCTTTAGATCAGTGTCTGTCAACCTTTGTAATTTTAAGACATTTGGACTTCAACGCTTAAGAGGTGTGGACTTCAACTCAAAACCCCCACACCTCTTAAACGTGAACTTGAGACCGTACTCCCAAAAAATGCCATGTCGAGGACTCCCTGTAGGAAATTTATTTGTGTGTCTGTTACTCTTGAGTTTGACTATCTGGTCAAGAGGCGCCTTCGGGACCCTTGAGAATCAGTTTTTGCAGGGGTTTCAAACTCACGGCCCTCCCGAGCTCTGTTTTTGTTGGCAGAGGGTGGAAGTAGGCCATCCTGGCTTAAAACGGGGCCCAGGGGATGCATGTGCCCCCCTGAGCTCCATTTTTGCTGGCAGAGGACCACACCCACCCCATCCCGTCCACATTCCCCCCCCCAAGGTCAAACACAACCCTGATGCGGCCCTCAATGAAATTGAGTTTGATACCCCTGAGTTTTTATGTCTGTCCCCCCAGTGGTGAAGTCTTCTGAAGTTTGCAGTCTGCGCCAAATGCGCGCTGTGTGCACACATGTGCAGTGCAAGTCAAATGCACACCGTGCACGCACGCATGCACTGCACGCCGAAAGTGCACTTCACGTGGAAAAAGGAGGCTTAAGTAGGCAAGTAGAACAGCGAGGGGGGGGAACAGCTGTGCCGCGTGATTTAGATTCACTAGAAAGCAAGATTTCCTGCTTTCTAACAAACATAAATCATGCGGCACAGCTGATCGTCGGAAATACCAGTTCCGACGAACCTGGAGCATTTTTTTTACTACAGGTCCGCCGAACCAGTAGCTTTTATTACCAGCAGTTCGCCTGAACCGGTGCGAACCGGTAACATTTCACCCCTGCTGTGTCATCATCCCCCCCCCCACACCTCCCTCCAGAGTTACTCCCACTTTGTTTCCAGGTGCTTTTAATTAATTTAAAATCTATTTTAATTTCCTGCTTGTTGTAACCCGGGAGGGCGGCAGAGTTCCCTGCGTCGCGTGTCCCCGCAGACACCCAAAATATTCAACGTTAATTGGCTTTCAGAAGGCGGCGCCTGGAATGTGGGTCTGGAGACAAAAAAAGCTGAGTTTGAAAACTCCGTAATTTTCTATTGATCGGCTGTCAGTTCTCCCCGGCCCTGGGGAAGGTGACTGTTTTACTCCTGCTGAAATCTGTCAGCTGGGTTTAATCCTCCTGCTTTTGTCAGCTTCGGACAGATTTAAAAAAAAAAACAGGCAAAACAAGACTCACCTTTGCGTTCAGCTGGCTCTGATCCCCCCAGACAGGCTGGAGTTGGTAGGTCTGCGTCAGGGGTGGGTTAGTTACCTTTACTACCGGTTTGAAACTGGGCCGCTCGCGCACGCACACTCTTCTGCACAAGTGCAAAAGCTGATGATGTCAGGGTTGGTGGGTGGAGCCTCCCACTGGTTTTACTACCGGTTCTATAGAACCGGGGGCAACCCACCACTTATCTGCGCCAGCCTCAGCTTGCGTCCGTGTCGTGCGTCTTGCAAGGCAGCCCTGCCATTCAGGCAAATATATTTATTGTTGTTTATCTGCTTTCTCTTCAATCTTTCCTCTCTGGGCCCCTTGGAACGTGGGGTGATCTGAGCCGGCTGATTCACGGATCCAAAACGCCCAGAGTTTCTTCCCCTCCTCCTCTTCCTCCCCTCTGCACTCCCTTCAGCACTGATGATGTTATCTAGTTGGGTAATGAAAGTTTGCAAGAAAACCGCCAAGCTCAGAGAGCACCAAGGACCCCACAGTTTTCCTCCCCCCTCCCCCTCCTCCCTGCAAATCCCACTCTCTTCCAGCACTGAGGATGTTACCTAGTTGGGTAATGAAAGTTTGCAAGAAAACCGCCAAGCTCAGAGAGCATCAAGAACCCCACAGGTCTCCTCCTTCTCCCCCTCCTCCTCCTCCTCCTCCCTGCCTTTCAAATCCAAGTATCAAATCAACTTTTCCTTTTAAGGCCACTTTGGGGTGTCTTCCTCATAGTGCTTGCATCACCCCCAAATCTTAGCTTGCTTGTCATCCTTCAGCTATCTTAGTCGATGTTGATCTGACTTCTCTGTGATGCCCGGAGAAGATGTTCATTGTTAGCATCCAATCCGAATTCCTGCAAGTCTCATCCACGGTTATTTTTTTCAACTTCCCGCAAAGTTGGCAGCAAGCGGAATGAAAAAAAAATGCAAAGATCCGTCTCTTATTCTGCTGTTTCATACCGGATCCCTCCTCCTGGCCCCAAAAACATAGTTTTCCTTTGGACCAGGTGCGGTCCCCGCTCCGAATCAGGCATGGCTTAATCCTCTTTTTCTCCCTTTTCGTTGCTTCCCCCCCCTCCCCCATTTCGTGCCGTTTTCTTCCAGAGTGATTCCTCTCCACGTCCCATTAAACTTCCACCATCTGTGGCTTCTGCTGCCCTCCGTTCCGGGGTTATAAACGCCTGTTTACGCTCTTGCGCTTCCGAGCTCCGCTTGCCAACACGTTGCTTCTTATTAATTAGCTTTTGATAAGCCGTTTATGTTTTTTAATTAAAGCGTGTGCTAGGGCAAAGAGAGAAAGAGGGGCGTTATCTCCCAGGCAGTTACATCTGCCACTTAGATCTTCCCAGGGCACGGGTGGCAAAAAAACATTGCCGTGCAAAGGAACCTGTTGCACCAGCTTATTTATTTATTTATTTACTGCCAATTGAAAAAGTGGCATTTGAGGGTGAAGGTTGCTTCTCCGAACTGGTGGGTTGGTCTCCAAAACATTTTGTTACCTGCAGGGGTAAAATGCTCCCGGTTCGGACCGGATCGCCCGATCCGGTAGCGATGGAGGCGGGTGGTTCGGAGAACCGGTAGCAAAAATCCCTGCCCCCCCCCCATGCCCAGCTGAGCCACGCGATCATCAATGTGTTAAGCAATATCCTTCATACTTTTGTATATTTATACAAAGTCATCTTATTGCCCCCATAATCTGGGTCCTCATTTTACCTACCTTAGAAAGGATGGAAGGCTGAGATTAAATTATCTTTCCATGGATATATAATTTTATGGTACTACTCCCCCCCAAAAAAGTGGTTTTATTAGCTAGTTTTAGAAAATAACACTTTTCCCAAAAGGTTTCCACAATTTTGGCCACTATTGTATGAGACTGATACTTCTCCTAAACTGAAGATATATTCTAGATTTTAGCCCTCCGGGGAAGAAAAAAAATAAAATAAAAGTTTAGTTTGTGCTGCATTTTACCTACAAGATCGCACACCAAACATCTTTGTCCTTTGTGCTGCCGAATTGTGTGCATTTGCATCTGGGCAGCGGAAAGGCTGAGCCGATTATATCCAGGGCTGACGTCAAAATCGGTTGTCTGGGAGTTACAAAGTGATGTGACATGATAAGGCTGTGTTTTGACAATAGCTGTGGACGTGTTCCGAGAAATGCCACCGAAATACCATTATGAAAACCCCCCCTGGGAAGACTTGGTGGCACGGACGCTTGGGAAATTTGCAGCCAGGGCATGTGATATTTCATTTCAAACTCCAAAATTGGGAGACATCCAGGAACCTCGTGTTTCGGTAAAGGTTTGCGTGCAATTTCTTCTACATGTTAAATCGATAAAAAGGCCCTGCAGAGAGAGAGAGAGAGAGAGAGAGAGAGAGAGAGAGAAAAGAGTTTATAGGAATGGTGGCGGAGAAAGCATCAGAGAAATTTAATTTAGTGGTCCAAGGGGTTTTCGCTCTTCGGATCAATTAAGAACGGTCCTACGTGCAAAGATTCATGGCACCTAACCAATGTCTTCAGGAGAATAAAAACGGGTGGAATTTTAAACCGGGTTGGGCTGGAGGATCAATAAAGAAAAAAAATCCTGCAGTCTTGAGGATGTTTTGGTGCAAAAGTGGGAAAACAGAACTTCAAGACTGGAGGAATAATTAATAATAATAATAATAATACTAATAATACTAATAATAATAAATAAGAAGAAGAAGAAAAAATCACAAAGTACCGGGACTTGCAAATTGAAGTTGAGCGACTGTGGAAAAAGAAATCGTGTGTTGTCCCGATTGTAATTGGAGCCCTTGGAGCAATACTCAAAGGGCTACCCCGCTATTTAGAAATTCTAAATTTGCCAGACTTGAACATTTTGACTCTACAAAAAACCACCTTACTTGGAACAGCTTACATCCTCCGACGATACCTTAACAGTTCCTAGGTCCTTGGTTAGGACTCGAGCTGCTGAGCTATTAACCAGCCTCAAAGGCTGTGAATCTCACTAAAGATTAAATAATAATAATAATAATAATAATAATAAAAATAATAATAATAATAATAATAATAATAATAATAATAATAATAATAATAATATAGTTGCTCCCACAACTTCTGAAGGCAACTTCTATTCCATGGGTTGATTGTTCTCACTGTCAAGAAATTCTTCCTTATTTCCAGGTTGAATCTCTCCTTGGTCAGTTTTATTTTATTTATTTATTTATTTATTTTATTTTATTTTATTTATTTAGTTTCCATCCATTGTTCCTTGTCTGGCCTTCAGGTGCTTTGGAAAATAGCTTGACCTCTTCCTCTCTGTGGCAGCCCCTCAAATATTGGAAGGCTGCTATCCTGTCTCCCCTGGTCCTTCTCTTCCCGAGACTTCTTTACTTCTCAGCAGGCTTCCGAGAAACTTTAGGGGTGCTTGCGAAAATTAGCCTGTGTTGAAAGTGAGGCTGTGATCACAAAAACATTGCACTTCGCAGGCGTTTGAAAGGATGGCCTTCGAATTCTCCTCCTTCGGTTTTCGTCTTCCCAAAAAGCTTTCCAACCAACTCCCATCTTATCCGCTTTTCTCTTCCCTGGTGCAGGAGGCCTGTGGGACGCCGAGGCTGAGCCCACCTGCCTGGCGGTGGGGCTGGCCCCCGTGCGGACGCTGCTCACCTTGGATGATGCCGTATGGGCCAGCTGTGGCAATCAAGTGACCGTCTTCGATGCCGTCAGCCTGAAGGCTCAGGTAGGTCTCTCTCCAGGCGCGTCTCGATTGAGTTTGGGAATCAACAGCCATTCCACTGATTAATTGTTCTCGCAGGGGGTTGGACTAGAAGACCCTCCCAGGTCCCTTCCAACACTGTTATTCTGTAATTCTATAATCCCAGATCAATTAACTAGTGCGGGTTGTCAACTCTGCAAAGCTTTCAAGTTGCCATGAGCAGGAGGGAGGGAGAACTGAAGTGCATTCCATACATTCTTTCTGACCGCAATCAGAAGGAGGGTGTTAGGTTTCACAGCCAACCAAAGTGGTTAATTGGAGAATGTGCTTCATGACATGGCCAGAGAGGAGGGGGAGAGACAGGGTCATAGGGGAACGTAAATCTACGTAGGATCAGTCCTAACTGCATCCGAGTATTGCCGGAATGTTGCTCCTAATAAATGACTATATTTCCTCTGAAGTTTGGATCATGGCTCATGAATTAATTAGGGCATCTTTCGGAAACTTGACACGGGTGTCAGCAATCTGCGGCTCCGGAGCCGCGTGCAGCTCTTTGGGCCCTCTGCTGTGGCTCCCGGTCAGGTGATCTCACCACTGGCTGGCCCCTCCCCTCCCAGTCACTCCCTGCCTGGCCTGAGAAGTTAAGAGCAACAATGGGGGATGGAGAAGCGGCCAGGGCAGAGACAGAGAGATACAGAGAGATACAGAGAGATACAGAGAGAGAGAAGGACAGAGAGGGAGGGAGGGAGGGCAAGAAAGAGAGATGTCAAAAGGGTTTTGTGGTTCCCAGTGTTCTTTAACCACCGGTTCTCTGCCCTAATGACCGGCTGGGTAGGCGTGGCTAGGAGAGGTGTCATGTGACTGGGTGGAAGTGAGTGACATCGAGTTGGCCACACCCACCCAGGTTTTGTGGCTCCCGGTGTTTTATTTTCTGTGGGAAACGAGTCCAAATGGCTCTTTGAGTGTTTAAGGTTGCAGACCCCTGAAGTTGTCTTCAGAAGTTCTGGATGTGCTCCAATATTGGAGGTTTTTAAGAAGAGACAGGACAGCCACTGGTCTTGAATGGTATAAGGTCTCCTTGTGCGGAGGGTTGGACTAGAGGACCTCCAAAGTCCCTTCCAACTTGGTTACTCTATGTTCCAAAATTTCTCCTGTCTGATGGTGTGACTCCTCTGAGCCGGCCACTGTGTGGCACTGTCCCTGCGTGGATGCAGGTGCCCACTCAGAATGGCAGAGATGCTTCCTCCTCTTTTCTCTTTCTCCTGCTTCTTTCCCCCTACTTTTTCGGGCACTGCTGGATGCCAGGACTTAACAGCATCATTTGCCACCCTATCCGTGGCATATCTGGCACCCTACCAGAGTTTCTATTCTCTTCTTCATGAGACAAACTCATGCCCGGTTTGGGGTGGGTGCTCTCCCTGCGCCAGTTGTGACTTCAGATTGAACCAATACTGCAAGTTGGCATAGAAGAGAATGACCAGTGATCCCGGTTCCCTCTGTAGAGGCAGTGGCCAAATTGACACACATGGATACACGGATACACTAGGGGTGAAATGCTACCGGTTCGGACCGGTTCACCCAAACCGGTAGTAAAAAAAAAATGCTACCGGTTCGTGCGAACAGGTATTTCCGACGATCAGCTGTGCCGCGCGATTTGTATTCCCTAGAAAGCTTTCTAGCGAATCTAAATTGCACGGCACAGCTGTTCCCCCCCCTCGCTGTTCTACTTACCTTTGCAGGCTCAGAAAAGGCTTCTTAATCCTCCTTTTTAATTGCTGCACGGTAGCGCCTGCGGTGCACCTGCATGCAGGTGCGTATTTGGTGCGCACTGTGCATGTGAAGCAAACTGGTAGCGAAGCGAACCGGTAGCAGAGTTCAGAGCATTTCACCCCTGGGATACACACACCTGTGTAAACAGAGCAAAGGCACAGGTGTCCTTAGGGAAGATGAAATCTGGTTTCCTTTTCATTTTGAAGCAATGACCCTTCCTCCCTCAGTGTCCTTTCTTTTTCCACTGCCACCTGCTATCTGGCAAGGCGAGGCTGTCTCCTCCTTCTGCCTGGCTCTTTGTTGTCAGGTGGCATTCACTGCCTTGTCAACAACTAATGCAACGTTTTACGTCTCCCCAGCCGCCCAGCGGGGATTGATAGGAGCTCTGCTTTTATAGAGATACATTGAGGTACATAAATGCCGCGGCGGGTAGGGTTGTATCAGCATTTTCCGGGTAATATTCCGAATTTATAACGGAGGCATTAAAAAGAGGGCTCGCTCTGACATTCTGTCCCGCCTAAAAGGGAAAGTGTTTTCTCGTGGGATGTGAGAAAGTGGCTTTTGCAGACACGAGAAAGCCGGAAAATCGGTGTGGGCCGCGTTACGAGACACGTGGCGAAGCAGTCAAAAAGAGATTAAATTGGAACGAGTAGACGTTAAAACTTAAAAAATAAACAAGTAGTCCTCGACTTACGACCTCGATGGATACCGAAATTTCTGGGGCTAAGCAAGATGGGGGTGAAGCAAGTTTGGCTCCATTTTGCAACCTTTCTTACCACCGTTGTTAAGTGAATCACTGCAGTTGATAAATTAGTAAGTTGGTTGTTAAGTGAATCTGGCTTCCCGCGTGACGTTGCTCGCCAGAAGGTCGTAAAAGGGGATCATGTGACTCCTGGGATGACTGCAATAGTCATAAATATGAATCAGTTGCCAAGCTTCTGAATTTGGATCATGTGACCATGAGGGAAGCTGCAACGGTCGTCAGTCTGAAAAAAGGTCGTAAGTCTCTGTTTTTTCAGTGCTGATTAAGTTTACTAATAAAGGAGAATACAGGTAGCCATTGACTTACCTGTTGTGACCTAGGCTTCCTGAGTCATTAAAACACACGAGTAGTCCCAAAAACCTCTTTTATTGCAACAGCTGGGAATTCGGTTCATTCGCAGAGGAGTCCCAAAATAGTTGTAAAGAGTCCTTCGGGATAAGGCTGATCATCACCCACCTTTATCTCCCTTGACACGCTGCCAAAGACATAATTGGCAAAGCCACACGGAGTCCAGGATCAAACAAAGATGCCGACTGGGAACAGAGTTAACAACGTTACTTTCCTGCAAAGGGCCTGTGTGCCTTTGCTCCTCTTTTAAGCCTTATGGGAGGGGCCAATCATCTCCAGGCCTTACTCCCGAGTCATCCCTTTTGTTTTAACTGTTCGTGCCTTCTGGCAGCTCTGCGCATTTGCGCACTAGGAACAGGCTCCTCCTGTTCCTCCACCTCTCTGCTGTCCGACTCTGGAGTCCGCGCATCACTCCCAGATGGCCCTGGCCCCATCTCTGCCTCCGACACAGAGCCCTCATCCAGGCCTTCTCCAAACTCCAGGACTGGCCCATGTTTCTCCCCAGCCTCCTCACTGTCCGACTCCACTGCCAGCTCCGCAGGCTGCTGGTGGACCACAATATTAACAACAGTTCACAGTGGCCTTTCAAAGGCACTGAAAAAAGTGACTTACAACCGTTTTTCACACTTACGACCTTTGCCGCATCCCCACGGTCAGTGAAGCTTGGCAACTGACTCATATTTATGACGGTTGCAGTGTCCCACCACCCATTCATAGGGTGTCCATCCCAAAGTGCATAGTTAAAATTCTGTAAGAGATTCTCGGTCATTGCAGGTCATGGTTGTCCCAAAGGTGCTTTTTCAGGAGAGAACTGGATTTTCTGGGTTTTTTTTCTTTGAAGACGTTTTGCTTCTCATATTTTCCTTGCTGACAGCTGGTCATAAGCACCTGAGTAGTGCAAATGGGTGTACAGCTTTTTTGGAACTGCTGAAAGGACTACCAGTATGTTGTAGACTGGAGATAGATGACGTTGTATTCCCACCCCTCTCTGTTGAGAGAGGGCTGTTCAATTTGGACACAGATGGCCTCTTTGACCCCTCTTTCAAACCAGCCGTCCTCTCTGTCCAAAACATGGACTTGGCTGTCTTCAAAAGAGTGTCCTTTGTCTCCAATGCAGACGGACTGCTGAATTTTTTTCCCTGATGGGTTTGTTCTCCTATGTTGAGCCATGCGTTTGTGAAGTGGTTGTTTTGTTTCCCCCAAATGACCAGCTGTCTGCAAGGAGTATCAATCCTTCCCTTCCCCACCATCCAGTCAGAGCTGAAGAAGCTTCTTGGATGAGAAGCGAAGCGTCTTCAAAGAAAAACCAAGAAAATCTTGAAAAAAGCACCTTCAGGATAACCGTGACTGGATATCTCTATAGAGAAAAGGGATCAAGGCTGAAAACTTCCTTCGTTCAGCACACGTTGCTGAGTTGCTGGCATTATTCACACACACAAAAAAAGCTACACAATCCGTTCGCTTCGTTGCCCGCTGACGCCCGATTCTTTCTTTTTCTTCGTCCACAGCAAATATTCGAGGTCCACCCTGAAGAGGAGAGCAACGTGACCCATATGATCAAGGCCGGCAGCGGGGTGTGGATGGCCTTCTCCTCGGGGTCTTCCATACGTCTCTTCCACACCGAAACCCTGGAGCTTCTGCAGGACATTAACGTGGCCACCCGAACCACGGCGGTCCTGCCAGGTAGGCTGTGAATACTTGAAACCATAAGGATCCACGCAGTGGTGGGTTCCTCCCTGTTCGGTCCGGTTCGGCCGAGCCGGTAGCAGTGACGATATGACGTCATCGAACCGGTTCTCTCCCCCCGCCCTCCCACCCCCCCACGTTATTCTTACCTTTTATTTGGTCCCACCCCCAATCTATTGCTGCCTCCTGAGTCTCAGCTGATGACTAGAGGGAAAAAAAAACTGTTTAAACTCTTGCCGGGGGGCTTCAAAGGGCCGTCCTACAGCTGATCAGTGTTAAAAGCAAACAAATGAGTTGGGTCGTAAGTGCGAGGACTGGTCATAAGTGCAAGGACCTTCCAGAAATGACTCTGACCAGCTAGCCACGCCCACCTAATCACATGACCTCCAAGCCACACCACAAAATAAGCCACGCCCACAGAACCGGTAGTAAAAATATTTAGAACCCACCCCTGGATCCACGGCAGGGGGAAAAAAAACCCAACACAATTCAGGTAGTCCTTGAGTTACGACCGTGATTGAGCCCGGTCGTAAAGCGGGTCATCGCTTGACTGGGCCCAATTTTATGAACTACTTGCAGCAGTTAAGCAAAAAAACAAAACAAAACACATGGTCATTAAGCCACTTTCCAGCAAAAACATAAATCTCAAGTCAAAATGCGATTACCTCAGAAATCTTCAAACATGGCAGCTTTAAGAATTCTGGGAGTTGAAGTCCACAAGTCTTAAAGCTGCCACATTTGAAGACCTCTGGGTTATCTGATTACCAGGGATTGGTGGTAGATGTCAGAACTTAGGAACGCGATCAGAACTCAGGAACCAGTTCATAAGTAGTTTTGGAAGGGTCTGCAATAACCTTCAAACGGCTGCTAAACAGTTGGCCATAAGTCGAGGGCCACCTATACAGAGTTAGGTGGCTCTGGAATTCTCTTCTGCTACCTGGCGTTCGCTGAAATGTAAGAAACAGGTTGTTCCCGTAAGGTCTGAGAATATTCTGTTCTTTTTCTCCATCTCGTACGGATATTCGAATTGGTTTCCCCGCACACAGCAGAGGGCTGGACTAGATGACCTCTGGCAGACCTCCCAACTCCACCATTGGTGGAAAATTATTCTAGATTGCTGCATTTGCACACCTAAAAAAACAGTCTCTCAACAAACACAATGGGTATTTTTTTACAACGTGGCAGATGATGAGATGCTATTTTACCTGTACAGGTAAATGCCCAGGTATCAATCACCACCCCCCACCCCAAATCTCCCCAATTTCAATCCTACATCAGCCTAGCCACTGTTTGTGTGTGTGTGAGGAAGCTCCCCAAAATTTATTTCTGTTCCTATAAATGAATTAATTGGGAAAGACTTCTATTCTGTTCTGTTCTGTTCTGTTCTGTTCTGTTCTGTTCCCTATTCTTCTTATTCTATTCTATTCTATTCTATTCCATTTTTTTTTTTCAATCTATTTTCCGGAATTTATGCGCTGGTTCATCCAACTCCTTCTCTTTTAATAAGGACTCGAAATAGACACCCAGAAAATACATCAGGTGCCCCCCGAAGTGGCAAATGCCAGGCTGGGCACGCTCCCAGGCTGGCACGAAGGAGGGAGAATTTTCAATTCGGCTTCACGAAGTGGGGTGGGGAAAAAATGGCCGATTAAAGCCACTGTAAATTCTTCATTAATCTTTTCCTTCCCCCTTTCCCTTCCCTTCTCTCTTTCCCACTCCTTAGCAAGAAGTAATTGTATAATTAGTGCTAAATGCATCACTTGTATAAAGAGTTTCGTGGTTTTTATTTTTTTTCTCCCCTTTAAAAAAAGAAATAAAATAAAAAATGTCACACCAGAGCCGTATTTTTTTAAAATTTAATCATGGCCCCTCTGCTTCCGCGGTGTAAGTATTTCTGTATTAATGTATTTTTTGAACTTAAGCTCCCTCATCCTTTTTAACATCCATAACGGAAGAGCCCCTTTTTAAATTTGTATATTGGCTGATTTGTCTGACATTGGAGCTTTCAAGTCTGCGGGTAAAATATTTATTGGTCTCCGGGACTCTCCTCCCTTCCTCTTTGATTTTTGGGGGTGAAAAAAAGGGGGGTAGGAGCGTTTCAAAATTCTGCTGCTGAATTCAGAGGTGTCTAAAGATTCAAAGATAAATAGATGGTCTTCCCTTTTATCCTCAGAACAGCCCTTCAAGGTAGGCCGATGGAACCTTCGCCCCTAATTTACCAACTATAAAATTTTGTCCAGGGGTGGGGTGAGTGGGAGGGAAGTATTCCAGCCTTGGGATGAGACCAAAATAAATCCTTCAGAAGAAAGGAAGACATGTATATATAAAAGACAAAATGGGTAGTCCTCGTTTAGCAGCTGCCTCGTTTAGTGACCGCTTGCAGTCGTGACAGCGATGAGAAAAAAAAATCCTTCAGAAGAAAGGGACATGCAGGAAGACATGTACATATATATATATATATATATATATATATATATATATATATATATATATACATATATACATATATATATATATATATATATATATATATATATATATACATACAAAATGGGTAGTCCTCGTTTAGCAGCTGCCTCGTTTAGTGACGGCTTGCAGTCGTGACAGCGATGGAAAAAAAAAAAAGCAACCGGATGACCTATCCTTGCGTTTATAAGCTTTGCAGGAAGGAAGGTCATAAGCACAGAGGAAGGTCATAAGCACAGCCGCGGCTTCACTTTACAATGGAATTGCGGTCGCTAAGCGAGGACTACCTGTATTCCCAAATCCATCTTGCTATTAGTTCACAACCTGAATATTTGTTCGTTAGAGATCCTGGCTTTGATTCAGGAGCTCAAGATTTAGAGAGAGAGAGAGAGGGAGGGAGGGAGGGAGGGGGAGAGAGAGAGAGAGAGAGAGGGAGGGAGGGAGGGATGGGGAGAGAGAGAGAGAGGGAGGGAGGGAGGGGGAGAGAGAGAGAGAGAGGGAGGGAGGGGGAGAGAGAGAGGGAGAGAGGGAGGGAGGGATGGGGAGAGAGAGAGAGAGAGAGGGAGGGAGGGAGGGGGAGAGAGAGAGAGGGAGGGAGGGGGAGAGAGAGAGAGAGAGAGAGGGAGGGAGGGAGGGGGAGAGAGAGAGAGAGAGGGAGGGAGGGAGAGGGAGGGAGAGGCGAGATTTGAATCCAGAACTCCCCCGTTCCTAATCCAGCACCTTCCCCAGAGGCTCAAAATAACAGAATTAAAAATCTCCCTTCCCTCCCACTGAGATTCTTCCTGCTTTTACTTTAAATCACTTTATTACTGATTTTACTTCCTTCCCCACCTCCAAATTCTCCTGTTTTTTGTTTTTTTTTCCCCAGCTCCATCGTTAATTTGCAATTAAAAATGCACCATCAAAGATGGAGAGGAACATGGGAAAAAAAACCCAGGCTCTTTTTTTCCCCAAGATTGGGGGTGGTGGTGGTGGATAGGAGTCCCAGAGGGAACTCTGTGCATGCTCAGGGACTTCAACCTGCAAGGTGATGAAAACGGTTCAGTCTTTATGCTGCTGGTGCTTTTATTTTATTTTATTCTTTTCTTCCCCCAAAGAGGCTTCCCAGGGCTGGATTTCTTTTCTTTATTATTATTATTAGCTTTTTCATTATAAAATTTCTAAGCCTCTTGCTAGAGTTGGGGCTATAAATAAACAAGGAAAGGTCACAACGCATTCGCAACCGACGTCTTCTGGGCCCTGCGGAGGGTTGATTGATCTGAAATATCATTTTCCTGCGGCTGGGCTCCCGGGTTTTTTCCCCTCGGCTTTGCCAGACGGTTCAAACAACATCCAAACCCAGTTGGTCATCGTTTCTAATTAGACAGATTAGATTGGGGGGGAAAAAACTCCACACCTACCTACCTACCTACCTACCTACCTGTCTGTCTGTCTGTCTGTCTGTCTGTCTGTCTGTCTGTCTATCTATCTATCTATCTATCAATCATCTATCTCTATCATCTATCTATCTATCATCTATCTCTATCTATCATCTATCTATCATCTATCATCTATCTATCATCTATCTCTATCTCTATCTATCATCTATCTATCTATCTATCATCTATCTCTTATCTCTATCATCTATCTCTATCTATCTATCTATCGTATCTATCTATCAATCATCATCTCTCTCTCTATCATCTATCTCTAACTCTATCATCTATCTCTATCTATCATCTATCTCTATCTATCTCTCTATCATCTATCTCTATCTCTCTATCTCTAACTCTATCATCTATCTCTATCTATATCATCTATCTCTATCTATCTCTCTATCATCTATCTCTATCTCTCTATCTCTAACTCTATCATCTCTATCTATCTATCTATCCATCCATCTATCATCTATCTCTATCTATCTATCTCTATCATCTAACTCTATTTATCTATCTCTATCATCTCTCTCTCTCTCCCTCTCTGTCTATCATCTATCATCTATCTCTATCTCTATCTATCATCTTTATCTATCTATCATCTATCTCTAGCTATCTATCATCTCTCTCTCTCCATCTATCTCAATCGATCTATCTCTATTTCTATCACTATCTATCCATATCTATCTATCTAGCTAGCTAGCTAGCTCTATATCTATCTATATCATCTATCATCTAACTATCTATTTTTCTATATTTCTATCTATCTCTATATCTCTCCATCCATCCATGTATCTCTATCTCTATCTGTCTGTCTGTCTGTCTGTCTCTCTCTCTCTCTCTGTCTATATCTCTATCTATAAAATCAATCTCTTTCTTTCTTTCTTTCTTTCCTTCCTTCCTTCCTTCCTTCCTTCCTTCCTTCCTTCCTTCCTTCCTTCCTTCCTTCCTTCCTTCCTTTCCTTCCTTCTTTCTTTCTTTCTTTCTTTCTTTCTTTCTTTCTTTCTTTCTTTCTTTCTTTCTTTCTTTCTTTCTTTCTTTCTTGTTCTGATATCTGGATTCGCAGCCAACATCGACGGACCCCTGTCTGCCTTTTTAAAAATATGAGCAGCTTTTTAAAAAAACCCTCCCGAGCTCTGTTTTCACTGGCAGGGGCACCGTGGGCTGGTCCTTCGATGTTTCCAGGCGGCCTCTCGGGCCAGTTGCCCCGTTGGCTGGATGCGGGCCGCAGACCTTGAGTTTGACAACTCTGGTATAGGCAGTCCTCGTCTGACGACCACAATTGAGCCCAAAATTTCTTCTGCTAAGCGGGACAGTTGTTAAGTGAGCTTTGCCCCATTGTGCAAAACCGCCCTGAGTCCCTTTTTTCCAGTGCTGTTGTCACTTCCAACGGTCACGAAACGAATGGTTGTAAGTCGAGGACTACATGTATTGATGACGATGTGCCAACTTCACATGGATCGCCAGTTGTGACTTAGCCAGATTCCGACAAGCAGAGCGAATAGGAGAAGCAGATTCACTTCACAACCACGGTGCGACTTGCTTAATGACCGTAGCAAAAAAATCATAACATTGGGCGTGACTCGCTTTGCGACGGAAGTTCCCATTTCAAATACGGTCGTAAGTTGAGGACTGCTGATTCGGGATGATTTCTTTCAAGAGGGCTCAGGAGGAAGGAAGGAAGGAGGGGGAAGGCAGTGGTTTCTCTCCCTTTTGCAAGCCAGGAGGAGAAGCTGTGGCTCCCAGGACATGGAGTCCGTTCCCACCGCTCAGGATGATGGTCTTGGATGATAGAGAACCCCCCCCCCCACCAGATGAAGCAGTCCCTTTTTTGCTTAACGGCCAGTTTCTTCTTTCGTTCTGCAGGGCAGAAGAATGTCCGAGTCACCAGCCTCCTCATCTGCCAGGGCCTGCTCTGGATTGGCACCGACCAAGGCATTCTGGTCCTCTTGCCAGTGCCCAAGTTGGAGGGGATCCCCAAAATCACAGGTAAGGCAGAAGATCACCTTGATCACAGAGAACGGAGACTGAAGGACGCTGAAGCCTCTTACGATAACCCAGTTTTTTAAATCTTTCCTGGCTTGGCTTGCAAGACCCCCCCTCCCCACCCGAGTTTACTTACTCCCCTTTGTGGCGAGGGATTCTCGCAGATTTGATCTCGCGGAAGGATCGATTTGGAGCGTCCTGGATTCTGATGGTGGAATGGTCTCATTTGCTTCTTTCCTTCCTTCCTTCCTTTCTTCCTTCCTTCCTTCCTTCCTTCCTTCCTTCCTTCCTTCCTTCCTTCCTTCCTTCCTTCCTTCCTTCTGTCTTCCCTGCTTCCTTGCCTCCCTCCCACCTTCCTTTCCCTCCCTCCTTCCTTCCTTTCACCCATCCATCATATATCTCCTTCCTTCCTTCCTCCCTGCCTCCCTCCCACCTTCCTTTCTCTCATTCCTTCCTCCCTTCCACCCATCCATCATCTCTTCCTTCCTTCCTTCCTTCCTTCCTTCCTTCCTTCCTTCCTTCCTTCCTTCCTTCCTTCCTTCCTTCCTTCCTTCCACCCATCATATCTCTCCTTCCTTCCTGCCTCCCTGCCACCCTCCCACCTTCTTTTCCCTCCTTCCTTTCCATCTATCCATCCCATCTCTCCTTCCTTCCTTCCTCTTTATCTCTGTCTCTTTATCTCTATCACTTTCTCTATATCTATATCTCGGTCTCTCTATCTATCTCTTTCCCTTTCTCTTTCTTTCTCTATATCTTTCTCCTTCTCTGTATAGAATAGAATAGAATAGAATAGAATAGAATAGAATAGAATAGAATAGAATAGAATAGAATAGAATAATAGAACAGAACTGAACTGAACTGAACTGAACTGAATTGAATTGAATTCTTTATTGGCCAAATGGGATTGGACACACAAGGAATTTGTCTTTGGTGCATAAGCTCTCAGTGTACATAAAGAAAAAATAAAATATATTCGTCAAGAATCATAGATACAACACTTATCTTTATCTCTCTCTCTCTCTCTCTATTCCTTTCCTTCTTTCTCTTTCTTTCTCTATATCTCTTTCTCCTTCTCTATATCTTTATCTTTTTATCTCTATCTCTCTTTCTCTATCTCTTTCTCTGTTCCATCTCGTTCCCTTTTTTTCCTTCTTCCTCTCCCTCTCTCTTTGTCTTCCTCTTTTTCCTTCTTCTCCTTCTCTTCTGCATGGCTCTTTGGCACATCCGCTCAGAGATACAACCGAATTTCTCTGCGTTTTGGAGAAATGACTTTCCTTCCCAAATCTCTCCGGCTTCGGCTTGCATGGCTGTGGATCCAATCTCTAGCAGCCTTTCTATTTAATCAAAAGCCTTCTCTTCATTGCCCAGGGAAGGGGATGGTCTCTCTCAATGGCCACTGCGGCCCCGTTGACTTCCTGGCGGTGGCATTCAGCACTCTGGCCCCTGAGGTCTTGAAGAGCGACAAAGAGGATGGAGCGACCGCAGACGGAGCGCCATTGGCAGATGACGCGCACCCCAGCCCGGGAACTCGCTCCTCCGACGTGTCTGCCCCGGACAGTTCCTCCACCCGGGAAATCCGTAAAAAGGGCATCCTTTTGCAATACCGGCTCCGATCCACGACTCACCTACCCGGACAGTTGCTCTCTGTGAGGGACACGCCTTCGCCAGCCGGCGGGAATTCTCTCGAACACACCGAGGAAGACGGCTCCATCTACGAAATGGCGGACGATCCGGACATTTGGGTGCGAAGTCGGTCGTGCGCGAAGGAGTCTCACCGGAAGGAGATTTCTTCCCTGGCCGTGATTTCGGGAGGAAGGGGCTACCGCAACTTCAACGTCAACGGGCGGGCTCCGTCGAGCAGCGAAAGCGACAGTACGTTACTCCTGTGGCAAATCCCGTTGATTTTATAGCGCTGTCGGTTTCGCTCTTCCCGTCTTTTCCGTTTTCGGCATTGAACGGTGGACGACGGGGACCTCCGGTGGGGGGACGTGTGGCTATCGGGGTACCCCCCTGGTTGGAGCCCACCAGGTTTTTACCGATTTCATAGTCTCCAAATCCCCTTCTCACCCAGCGGTGTTTGCCACCTGTCAACTCTGAAGCTGACCCCACCTCTTTTTCGCACCTCCGATCTTGACTCGAGCTAAGACTTCCGATTTTCTTTCCGTGAACGTTTTCAGGTTTCATAGGAAAATTGCACACTCCCTGCAGGTTTTGGAGGGGACAGTTGAATCCCCCCCCCTCCCCAGGAGAGACATATGGGTTTGGTGTACCCCCTGTGTGAATATCCTACCTACAAATATATATAGAGACACACACACACACTCTTAATATAAAAGTTCTGTATATTATTAAATTGTACAAATAAAAATCTGTATATATTGGGGGCAGAAATAAAGTGGTAGAAAACCCTTCCTAGTCCAGCTCAACGACAAGCTCTGGTCTTGGTTATTCCCACTGGGCTTGGTTCGAAAGTTGACCGTTTTATTAGATGCCGGGAAAATTCTCAAGCCAAAAAAAAAAAAAATGCACTTACTGCCCCTTAGTGGATACCCTGCTGCCAAACCGCTCCAGCACGGGAGGTGCAAAGATCACCTCCGCTGGGTTTGCTGGGCTCTCCGAGATCCGAGGGCATCTCTGCTTTTATTTTATCATTTACACATTTCTCCTGCAGAGTTTCCCAAGGCAGGATCTTCCCAGGAAAAGGAGGGAGCGGCTTTTAAGGGGGAATAAACCCGAAGCAGAGAAGCAGACCCATAAATAACCGTCGGTCTCCCTGCGTGTGAGATACACAGGACAGGATCGTGAGGATGGCAGCGATCGTTCAGCCGATCAATAGGAGACTCCTATCGATAAATTCAGATTTTTTTTAAAAAAAAAATCCTGATCCCAAGCAGGGACGGAACCGGGCAGGTGTCCCATGGAACGGGCATTGCGATGAAGGAACGTGCACCCCAGGAGGGTTGAGTTGGGCCCAGGGGTGGGATTCAGCCGGTTCGGACCAGTTCGGATGAATCGGATGCTAAATTTACATCTGGTTTGCCGAACCGGTAGTTGCAAGGACTGGCTGGCCCCGCCCACCTCACCAGGCCCCTCCCAGGAGTCTCCACGCGGCCCGTTTTTAGATGCCAGGTAAGTACAGCGGCCACGCGGAGGCTCTGGGAGGCCTCCTGGAAGTCTGGAAATGGTCCCGTTTCTGGCCTCCAGAGCCCGGGGGAAGCCTTTTTCACCCTCCCGGAGGTTCAAAAGAATCCTCCAGAGCTTGGGGAGGGCAAAAACGCCCCTCTGCCATGGTGCAGGAGGCCGAGTAGGCCACGCCCACCCAGCAACCGGGCGGAGAACCGGTTGCTAAAATTTTTGAATCCCACCTGTGGTTGGGCCGTCCTGAGCTTGCAGGAAGGGCCCCCCACCCCCCAAATTATCACTAAACTGCAGAACTTTGAGAAGGAAAATCAGAACGGCTGATGCATTATTCCAGCCGAATTGGGAGTCCATCTAAGGAACCGCCTGTCGTGGGGAAAACGCTGGGATAGAATCGCGCGGTGCTATTCCCCAGCTCCGTTCAGTCCGGATCCGATGCTTTGATAGACTCCCTGATTTCATTTCATTTTCAGCTTTCAATTATATTCTTAGCAACTCAACCTTGAAATAGGGTCATCTCCGTTGCCGCTGCCTTCGGAGAAGCACTATTACCAGATGTACATGATTTCCACAGCTTATTTTTTTTTCTTACCCCCCTAATTAGACATTAAATGCATGTAGCATTCCTTTTTTTTTCTTAAAAAGATGGCTCCAGATTAAGCTGTCTCTCCACTCCCCCACCCCCCATCCATTTCTTGCCCGGTTGCTTTGGCTTGACGGCGGTGGCAGCAGCAGCGAGGAGTGAAAGAGGAGGGGGGAACGAGGAGGGGGCTGCGTGCACCACCCCCCGTCCCCGTTGTCGTCCCCCGTCCCCGTCCCTGTCTCTCAAACCTGAGCATTTTACATCAGTCACAGGCCATTATCAAATCTTCCAGGAGACAATAACGGTTTGCGTAAAATACGTGGAGATTCATTAAAGTGTCAATACAATTACACAAGCAGGCATCATTGTCTTTCAGCTCCTTGGGCTCCTCGCTGCCTTTACGAAGTCGGGAGTCCGGCTGCGTGTGAAAACTAAAAGATATTTCGTCTGGCTGGTTCTCCAACGCGCTTGAAAGCAAGCCCGCGTGGTTTTTCTTACCCTAGATCAGGGGTGTCAAACTGGGAACAGGCTCCCGCTGTTCTTCTACCTTGCTACTGTCAGACTCCGGAGGTTGCACATACCTATCAGATGGCCTTGGCCACCTCTCTGCCTCTGATGGCCCCCTCCCCCTGCCTCTGATGCAGAGCCCTCGTCCGAGCTTTCCCCAGTCCCCAGGACTGGCCCAAGTTCCTCTCCAACCTCCTCACTGTCCAACTCTGGGGCTGGATCCGGGCCGCACGGTGCTTAGACCCGGCCTGCAGGGCCAGCCTGAAGATAGCAAAGGACCAGCCTGCGGTGTCTCTGCTAGCGAAAACGGGCCGCGGGCAGCCTCCGCATGGCCTGTTTTCGGCCTGGATGTCCTCCGGCAGCACCCTGCCAGCCAAAACAGGGCACGGGGAGCCCGCAGGCGACCCCGCACGGCAGGGGTGGGTTCTACTTACCTTTATTACGTATGCACAGAAGGAAATAGAATAACAGAGTTGGAAGGGACCTTGGAGGTCTTCTAGTCCAACCCCCTGCACAGGTAGGAAACCCTACACCACTTCAGAGAAATGGTTATCCAACATCTTCTTAAAAACTATCCAGTGTTGGAGCATTCACAACTTCTGCAGGCAAGTTGTTCCACTTATTAATCGTTCTAATTATCAGGAAATTTCTCCTTAGTTCTAAGTTGCTTCTCTCCTTGATTAGTTTCCACCCATTGCTTCTTGTCCTGCCTTCAGGTGCTTTGGAGAATAGCTTGACTCCCTCTTCTTTGGGGCAGCCCCTGAGATATTGGGACACTGCTATCATGTCTCCCCTAATCCTTCTTTTCATTAAACTAGACATACCCAGTTCCAGCAACTGTTCTTCATATGTTTTGTGTTTCATATGTTTCATCAGAAGCTTTCTGATGACGTCGGGGTCGGTGGGCGGAGCCTCACGCCAGTTTTACTACCAGTTCTTGCGAACCAGTCCGAACCGGGGACAACTCACCACTGCCGCACAGTCTGTTTTGGCCGATAGAGTGCTGCAGGAGGCCGTCCAGGCCAAAAACGGGGCACACGGGGGTTGCCCATGACCCCCTGCCGCGTCCCGATTTGGCCGACAGGCTGCTGCAAGGGGGCGTCCATCCCGTCTCCTCCTCCCCCCGGCTGTCCCCCACGGAGGACAACTACAATGCTGATCCGGCCCTCCAAGAAATCCAGTTTGACACCCCTGCCCTAGATCTTTGCAAATCAACTGCCTCTGCTTCTGGAGGTTCCATTTTTAACCCTTGAGGATCAATCACTTTGCAGCCTGTCTCTTCCCTCTCCCCCTTCCCCCAAACCAATGAAGAAAAATGAAACCAATGTAGAGTAGGGAGGCAGCCGTTCCATCATCTTCAGAAAGGAACCACACGACGTGTGCCGTGCCCACAGCTTTTCGGTTGTGTATTTTGCACTCTGAAACGTTTAAAAAGTGGCTGTTGAGATATTCAGTTCATTGCCTAGCACTCCTGGATTTCAGAAAGCAATGGCTCTTAGGTGCTGGTTGGCCAAGAATTGAACCTGGACCAACTCTTCAAGATGCTAGTCCTTAAGTTTCTGAAAAAACGACTCATTTTTAGACAAAGCCCACAGGGTGTGGCCTGATGTTGTCTCTGATCTTGTCGCCTCGTTTGTGGTGTTGTGGGCCTGTCCTCGTTCCAGGCGCATCAGCTCAGCAGCTCCACTCTACTTGGATGGGTGACCACCAGGCGATGCTAAGTGTTCTGACCTAGGCTCCCTTAAAAAGCAGGAAGCAGAGTCTTGGTCCCGGCAGAACCTCTTTTATTTACACGACTGTGAATTCCTTTCATTCACAGTCAGCAAGGCCTGGCAAACAGTCTTTCAGAGGAATATTTATCAACACAGACCTTATCTTGCTTGGAAAGCTGCCATTTAACTAGTTTCTAAACACAGTACAAGGCAAAACTTGGCACAGAGTCTGTGAGAGTGACGGAACAAATGAATTGTATCCTGCAAAAGCCCCCTCCCCGTTCGCTCCTCTTTTGTTTCCTATGGGAGGGGCCAATCATCTCCAAGGTGGGGCTTTACTCCCGAGTCGACACTGCTTTCTGAGTTGTTCTTGTCTTCTGGCAGCTCTGCGCATGCGCACACTGGGAACGGGCTCCAGCTGTTCCTCTGCCTCACTGCTATCTGCCTCTGACGCAGAGCCCTCATCCGAGCTTTCCCCAGCCCCCAGGACTGGCCCATGTTCCTCCCCAACCTCCTCACTGTCCGAACTCTTCTGCCAGCTCTGCTGGCTGCCGGCGGGCCACAACACTAAGTCCAAAAAAAATAATAATAAACATCCTGAGAATAGGATGTGCTGTTGATGAGAAGCATTTACAAGACGTTGACTTGGAAAAAAAATATTTTAGTCTCTTAGGCTGGCTTCCCACCCGTGTCTAAACCTTTGCATTAAACCTGGGTCCTTGCAGCCTCTTCTTTTGAACAAAACCCCGCAGACGGATGCATTTCAAAATACGTATGGAAATGATACATTGGTTATAGCCAAAAGCAACCTGCCCTGTATATTTTGCAGCCCTCTTAAAACCTGGGAAACTCTCCTTGTTTCCTGAGTGTTCAGGAAATTGGTTTGAGTTGCCAAACGGCGCTCGGAAATTCGTTTTTTGTTTTTTGGGGGCTGTTCCTTCTTTCCACTGGACCTGGCATTTGTCGATCCTGTCCTTCCGACGTTTTCCTGCCTTCTCAAGCAGTTCCCTTTTTGGGGTGAGAAAGGAGAACGGGTCAGCTGTGATTTTTAAAATCCTCGGGCTAGTTTTGGAGGTCAGAGGATGGAAGCAGCACCGTTTCTCACTGGCGATGGAAGATCTGGGCTGCCTTTTTCTTCCTAAACAGCCATAATAAGTTTGTTTTCTACTGGAAAGAAAAAAACTCCATAGAAGGGAAAACAAACACAGGTTAATGACCTCTGTGCCCATCTTCGCCTCCCCTCTTATCTCTGAAGTCAGCAAAATAGACGCACAGCTCCAATAACCCACATTTAATATCCTTTTTTGTTTGTTTTGTTTTGTTAATGTTTTAGTAAATTGCGTTAATTCAGCCCTGCTACTGTATTCACCAGAAAGCAATGGTCCGATAACCATTAGCTTTGGCACGAAGGCTGCCTTCGACTGGGTGTGTTGTGGCCCGCCAGTGGCGAGCGGAGCTGGCAGCAGAGTCGGACAGTGAGGAGGTT